GGTGGGCTTCTGGGCTAAACGAAACCAGTCTGTCTCGGAAATTCCATGTTTACGTAGCAACCAAGTGATCCATTGCGGGTATGTCAAACGACACGAACGATGGACCTCAAGACCCTGTGGCCACCCAAACAACGCGACTTTGGGAACGCGATTCACTTGCATCCTTGCCACATGTCCCACCCATTTCAGAGCCTGTCGATGCACCATTGTGGAGAATTGGTCCCAACACACCATGTCCCGGAGATCCGCATCGTTGTAATTGTTTTCGCTCATGTTGAAGATGTCAAGACCCAAACAACGTCGGATACCTCTGGCGAGGACCTGGTTCGTTTTTTTTCTTGTGCCAAGTTCCAAACACGAGTTTTACCACAGGCCAGCAAGGTCCCCTCGAGAACCGTGCGCATAACTTTAAGCTTTCTGGTGTGAGTGAGGCCTCTGTGCGAGCCTCTGCCCCTGTGAGATCCTAGCGACCATAGTTTTGCCATTCTTCTAACCGGGAAAAAACCAGCTTGCACGCGCCGACGAGTCTCCGCCCACTGATCGGCATTGTCCGCCAGGGTAGAGCCCAGGTGTTTCAAGGACCGTACCTCAAACCGGTTCAGAGGCTCCATGCTACAACGGCCCCCTGCCTCCACCACCAGTTTCTCCCTTTTTCCTGGGTGTTCTTGTTGACCCCAGTCACGCAAGGTTTGAACAAAAATTCTTTCCGCTTCTCGGAGCTCATCCATGAAACCAAAGAGGGCAGTATCATCCGCATATTCCGTGTCACCAAGAACCACCGACACCACACCTCTGGACGAACGCTTGGCATACGCAGAACGGGAGAGCCTACCATCGACCTTGAAATTCCATGACAATCCCGGCGGGACGCCCATGTTACAAGCTTGCTCCCGACGCCTGGCCCTAAAAGTCAACAGCACGCAGTGGTGAAAAATGCTAAACAGTACCGGACTCGAGGGACAACCTTCGCGAAGACCACGATCAGTGAACCATGCAGACGAATAACCGTTATGAACAAAAACAACAAACCGGGTGTGATCATGAAGTGCCCGAAGTATGGCGAGAAAATCTTCCGGTACACCCATACGGAGGAGGAGATCCCAGAGAGCGACACGGCAGACTCTGGTATAGGCCCGGACGATGCCAAAACACGTAAAGCCAACCCTTCCCGAAGTGTCCGCAGCCATATCCGCAGCCACCGATATTTCCTCCAGGACTCCCCGTGTAAGTTGGTGAACATCATCGATGCCCCTACCAGCACGGAACCCATTCTGCTCATCAGACAAAAAGGGGGACGACCAACGATTCAAGCGCGTAGCAACAATGCGAGCAAGGAGCTTGGCCGCAACGGAAAGCATAACAAGGTTCCGGTAGTTAGCTTTATCCGCTCTGTCCCCCTTGTTTTTATACATCGGGATACATACTCCAGTTGTGACCATATCAGACCAGTCCAGAGCCTCATTCCCCACCTCCGCTGTCGTGGGTTATGTCCCACAACCGGCACCGCCAGAGGTCGTCAAATATACCAGACTGGAACTCGTCCAAATGCTGAGCTCCCCATCTCACCAGGATTGGATTCGAGCGCTTGCTTCTATCAACATCCTGGTGACCCCAGTTATTATGGGGGGACGCACCAACCAGGAGCAGCACAACCTTTGGTCCTCCAGGGTGGCAGCACTCAGCCAGGTGCCTCCACTCTTCTCAGCCATAAAACTGGAAGACTCAATCAGGTCTGACTTGGGACATAGCTATGTCAGTGCGCAGAGTCCTCACCAATGACGGGCGAGTAACAATTGCCACGGGCTCTGGCGAAACCTATCAGGAGCTGGATGCTCCCACCAAGGTGCATGGATTAATCCTTGCATGCTTTAACAAGATGTGGGAGGAGCCTGAGTTTCAACGACACTGTCCCACAAGGATCGAGTTCAACCTGATTGCCACTTCCATCATGACAGTTTACAACGAAGCGGCAAAACTGGCTGGACTTCCTGCGCGGATGTTCAAGCTCAAGCCCACGAGGGACACCCAGTCCATCATGAAGATGCGGATCCAGCATGACAAGGGGATCGAAGAGGACAAGCGTCTTGCTCGCCTCGCTGCGGCTGCTGCACCGCACAAGCGCCCGCAAGCGCGGGAGGCAGATCCTGAGGGCAAACGCCAACGCGATGCCCCTTCATCCTCATCCTCGAGTCAGTGGGCCAGGCCAGCACGTTCCTCTCAGGAAGAGGACTGGGAGTGGTGGCAACAGTGGTCCTGGCGAGGATGCTATCAGTCTCCTCAACAGTGGCCGCACGGTCACAACCATTGATCCTAGGGCAATGTCACAGACTCCTAACATCCCGCATGGCACAGCCTCTGGGAATTCAAGAGATTCTTCCGACACTTTGCCCTCTCTTCGGAAGACGGCGCTGCCGCGCGCCACCTGATGTCAAATAAGCAGGCCATTGCATTCAACTCGTGCCAGCAGTATCTTACCTGCCAACTGCTCAGACTTCAGCTCTGCAGGTACCCAGGGATGATCCTTACGGCCTTCTGTCTTCAGCATGAGTAACCCGTGTGGGACGCCACGAGACGGGTACTCTGGGCGCCGGCTCCGTAAGGAGTACGACCTACTTGCTGAAACAGGTGTATGACGGACGCGTCATTTCACAGCAGGGTGGCGGAGGAGGAGGAAACAGATGTACAGACCCAGTATAGCGAGTAGACCGAGAGGAACTAGAGCGTTTGATGCTTCCAAGTCATGTGTTTCACGAGTGCACGGGACCAAAGGCGCCCGCAAAGCGCAGAGCACGCTCGCGCAGCATTCAATTGAAAAAATAGTAGTAGTAGTAGTAGTAGTAGTAGTAGTAGTAGTAGTAGTAGTATAGTAGTAGTAGTAGTAGTAGTAGTAGTAGTAGTAGTAGTAGTAGTAGTAGTAGTAGTAGTAGTAGTAGTAGTAGTAGTAGTAGTAGTTGTTGTAGTTGTAGTTGTAGTTGTAGTTGTAGTTGTAGTTGTAGTTGTAGTTGTAGTTGTGGTTGTAGTAGTAGTCGTCGCCGTCGTCGTCGTCGTCGTCGTAGTCGTAGTCGTAGTCGTAGTCGTAGTCGTCGTCGTCGTAGTAGTAGTAGTAGTAGTAGTAGTAGTAGTAGTAGTAGTAGTTTGTTTCGGGCATCGGCGTGTGTCTATTGGGATCACACAAGACAGGGGGTTCGGTTTATTACGGGCATCGTCGTGTGTATGATGTCAGATCACACATCACAGGGGGACAGGCCTTGTCATTAGCATCGGCCTGTGTATGTTGCGATATCACACATCACAGCGGGTACGATTTGTTACTGGCATCGGTGTACGATTTGCTGCGGGCATCGGCGTGTGTTTGTTGTGAGATCACACATGACGTGGGGGTACGATTTGTTACGGGAATGGGCGTGTGTTGTGAGATCACACATCACAGGGGCGCGATTTGTTGCGAGCATCGGCGTGTGTATGTTGTGAGCACATGACAGGGTGTACGATTTGTTACGAGCATCGGCGGGTGCATGTTGGCGTTACCGAGCCCAGGCCCTAAATTGAGGACGTCAACATGGTTCCAAACTCAAGCTTTCAATGCATTCAATCTTCAAACTCTTCCAACTTACCCTCAAACTCCCAAACTCTCAAACTTTGGAAAGGTCAAACATTCGAACTCCACGTCTCTCAAACTTTCAAACTTTCGAAGATTGAAAATTTTTCAATCTTCAACCACCCAAATTTTGAAAATTTTCGAGCTTTCAAGCTTTGAACCTTTCGAAAATTCTGCCATTCAAACTCCCTGGGTTTCAGACTTTCAAACACCAGGCTCCCAAACTTTCGAACTCGAGCATGAAGGCTGCTCTGTGAGCCCGTGCGCGTTCTCCAGCGGCACCTTCGCAACGTGTCGCCGCGGCTTCAAACTTCCAAGCTGGATTCCCATTCAACCTTTCAAACTCCATTCTCACGCCCACTTTCAAACTTGAAACTCTCAAACTTTCAAACCCTCCAGTCTCGTCCAACGTATAATACATTCAAACCTCGAGTTCGAAGAACCCCACTCGTGACACCTCTCAAGGTTTTGATCGCCTATGTGCGGTTTTCTGACTCCGCAGCCTTGCTCTCTGACTCGCATACTCCTCGCTCTCCGACTCATACCTACCCGCTTTCTGACTCGGTCTTCTGGGTTTTCTGAATTGGTCCATGCCGTTTTCGACTCGTTTTGCTGACACGGGTGACTCCTGCCCCTTGACCTAGATTTCCATGGAGGCGACTGGGCGGAGACCCAGTACCAGGTCATAGTAAGTTGACGGCATTAGATCATGAGATCGCAGAGCACAATGTGTTCCCTGTAAACTGAAACTATATCGGAGCTGAGCTGCGGATCACTGAGGCGACATTTGGGTCTGCCAGCGTGGGCAGATACAGTCTGCTGGTGCGCCCATCTGACATGCGTGAACAGTCGGGTCGTGAGTTATATCCGGCTATATATGGAGTGTTGCACATGACAAGTCGCCGAACATGAAGGTGAAATGCTTGGTCACGCTCACCACATGCATGTTCGTAGCTTTAGAAGTGGCCGCTGATTCACAGGCCTGTGATATTACTTCGGGTCGCACGCATCAAATCCGTGTTCACATGCCGGGCGTCTCAGCTCGATCATGCACCGTGTGCTGCCAGTCATCAGCCTGCACACGGTAATTCGATCGTTTGTCCAGTCGTCGAGCAAGGGCTTCCTTTAAGGCAGCACCTGGGGCATCCGCTCGTCTCGGATGACAAGTACGGGGATGTTGGACAGCTGGAGAAGGACAAAACGCAATCACATGAGTAGGGCACAGCATTGCACGGATGTTCTGTCAGTTGTATATTCGTCGTTGTGGTCGGCTTTGCGGTTTGTTGCTGTTGCTGGCATCGTTGTTACTTTTGCCTTCATGTCTCGAGTTGAGTAATGTGTTGTCATTGTAGATTGTAAAGAGCCGTACCCCACGCGTTCTTGCAGGGAACGCCCCTGACAAATGTTCGTGGCACTGCTGTAGCTGCGTGGTGATTTTGGTTAGACTGATGTGTGGTTTCAGCAGTTATCCGTTTGGGAACGGGGCTGTTGTCAGGACAGAACCTGGTGTCCACGGCTTTTCCTGCACTCCTTCCGCTTGAGATTCCGAGACCTGAGGACCTACGCAGCACAAGCACGACCGACTTTGGATTAAACTTGTTCATCCTTGCAGGAACGAGGTTCACGAAGTCGTGTGCCCGCTGCCTCCGGACCTGAAGGTGGGAAGGAAGGTTATGCCAATCTGCAGCTTTGAGGCATGGACCCACTATGCTTATTTTGCTCCAAGAACGTGGGAGGCAGCGCTTGTCAAGCTTGGTGCTGCGAGTCCAGATGCGCCTTCTGCAGATACCTTGTTCGATGCCTAACAATGCCTGAGATGATAGGGGACAGATGGAATCATTCAGCCGGCAAGTCGCCGAGGTTTGGAGAGACATCTTGGCAGCGTGAGGTGTCCGGCGATTGAGCAAGCTTGACATTTCCTTGCATGCTTCCCCCACATACCGTCTTTTTCTGCGTGCGTGGGCCTCGCTCCCGACTCCCTCCTTGACCCCTCCCCCTACTTCCCTCCCGATTGCCAGATTTTCCGACCTCCACTGACAGCTTGGCGGCCCGGAACGGAGGCACTCGCTGTGATATTTTTGGGGTCCAGGCAGCCTCAGCATGCAAGGGAGCTTGGGCATGGTCGTCTTGCACCCCAGCATGGCCTGACGGTGTTGAATCTGTTGCCAGGTGCAAAGACATTTGATTTCGCTTCTGTTGGGCAAAGACCAGTACTGACCTTAATGCCGCGAGTTAAGGGCCACGAATGACTGTTTGCGCAGCGTCTTTTAGAACGGAGGCCTCTTTCTCTACACGACATCAATGCAGACACAGAGCTCAAGAGGCCTGAGAGCCAACTTCACGAAGGCTTTGCTTGTGTCATGTGAGGTGTGAGTCAAGCTGGCCCTATCTGTCGCTTGCAAGAGTGAGACGTATCTCGCCCACTCCTAAATTTTGACATCACCAACTGAACGAACAGTCAAATGACCACCAAACATGCGTGCTTTTCACTGCTGCCATCATGAGACTCTGGGCATGTGCTCCTGTACTCATGTGCTTCCTTGTCTTGTCCTGCCTGGTGCCTCCTGCCGGTGCCTGGTGCCTTCTGCGTGATGCTGTCAACAGATACTCGAAACGCATGGGTTCGGTGTCACAGCGCGGTTGGCAGGCTATTGGTCAAAGAGAACCTGACGTGCATCAACAAGGCGTGGCTGGCGAAGAATTGGGATGCGCCTTGGCCCTGCACTTCGCCCTTCGTCAACATGTGCCAAGTTGATGTGTTGCTTATGCGATCGGCAGTGGTGAATGGAATTGTCCGAGGTTTTCGAGGCCCTGCCTTCTCCCGACGATGATCTAACGGTGTGTGAGACCTAAGAGCTCCCGTGCAGCTACAGCAGCTAATCTCTGCAGCTGATCTTCGTAAATTTGCGTCTGCAGAAATGCAGCAGTCTTCTGAGGCGTCTCCGCCCGTTGGCAGAAGGCTCTGAGAGGCAGCTGGAGCAGCAGATTGAGGCCGATTCAAAGGGAGAAGTTTGGTAGCGGAAGCCACAATGTCACACTCCAGGCGGTGCGCTCCGAGTGCGAGGAGCTGCAGCGGTTCGGGCCTGGTGTAGACGTTGTAGCTCACAGAACTCACAGAGTTTGGTGCTCCCGGTTGAGTTCAGACACACAGGTTGAAGCAGCGTGCCATTGCTGAAGAACAGCAGCTTGGCACATCAATTTCGGTATGAACTTGGAGGCACACAAACGGCGAACACCCCCAGATCGCTGTGCAGCAGGATGGCTTTCTTTAGGGCTCCAGGCATTGTCAAATGTCTTAGCCGTTGCCGGCACTTGAACGGTCCCAGGGGTGTCACGACTGAAGGCATGCAGCGCTGCAGGGTTCGTACGACCCGGACGGTCTTACACCCACCGAGTTGCAAACCTGTCCAAGTAGGGCGTCGCTGGTCACGCATCTGCGCCGAACAGCAAAGACAACAATTTGCTATTGCCCTCAGTCATAGCAAAGTGTCACGGGTTCCCGTGTTGCCAGTGTCATAGCTTTCAGTTCGGCATTCCACCTGACTGTCATGGGCAAGAGAGCTGACCTCATAACTACACGTCTTCACGGGACGCAGGACCACTTCGGTTTTCACCTAGAAGCAAGCATGTAGGTTGAAATGCGGCCAATGCACGCCCTTACCGCAATGAAATTGAGGTACCTGAAGGCCGCTGAAATCAAGCGCCGCTTTGAAGCCGCGGCGGCCTCAAGGGGGACGGGCCCAGAGGCCTTGCCGAGCAATTCTCTTCACTCCTTCGCGGCACCTTGTGAGGCCTCTTCAGAACTGAGCTCGCTTTTGACCCTCTGCGAGGCACCCTAGGGCCGCGCTTTGGGCTGCTGCTTGGAATCGATTGCAGGACGAGAGCCTCGCTGACGACGGACTGGCTGAAGGTCTGAGAGCCCCAGTTTTACAATCTGGCTTTGATTCCACCTTTTCACTTCTGCCCTTGCTCCTCTTTCCATCATCCCTCCATCTCGTTTCCCTTTCTGTGTCTGAGGATTCGGTTTTTCATGGTGTGTCGAAAGTAGAGAGCACTGGACCCTGCCTGCTGGCGAGGTCGGTTTGCCGCTGCTAGGCGGAACTGAGAGTCCGATCTGGCCGTGAACCGTTTACATACCGTACCTGAACTCCTGCGTAGATCTGGATGATCATTGCGCCCTTAGTCCGTGGTGTGCCATGCTTGCCAGGCAGCAGATCAAGGCCTTCGAGCAGGATGTAAACGACGAGGACGGGAGCTGCTCAGCCTAGCTCAACCGTCACTTCACGATGGTCTCCGTCGTTTTCACAGGTTCGCCTTGTCGTAGAGTGAGAGCCCAGCTGAGATGTGATGACAATGAAGGCTCTCTTTCCATCTCTAGCGGCAGCACCAAAGCAAAGCCCTCAGCTCTGCACAAGCTGCGGTGAGCTTCTGATTCAAGCCCCGGTGGACCAGACTTGGTGTCTGAGTTGCGAAGTGGTCGCTTCAGGCCACGTGCTGCGCCAGAGACGGATGATCCAGCGCCGGCCGAAGGCACAACTGTCGGATGTCCGTCCTTCTCGGGATTCGTTTCGAGAGTGCCCGGAAGGTCTGGAGGTGAAACCACCTTCCCTTGAGGCACTGGCAGTCGATGTTCCTCCACTAGATACCAGACTTGCGATGCAAGATTCACTTTGCTGCCCGCAGCTTATGTGCACAGAGGGCTGCTGGCGATTAGCGGAACATGATTTTGTGGAGTACAAGGATCTTGTGCACCTGCAGTCTGTTGGCTGGCGCAGTCTGCTCGGACTCGTCATGTCGTACATCTGGTCCCGAGCTATTGCAGCACCGTGTAGAAGTTTCAGAGGCCCAGGCAGATGCAAGATCAACGTCTGCATCCACCGCATGCTCAGGACAAGCGCATTGTGTAGTTCCTGCTGGCGAAACATGGTTCATGGACGAGTCGCTGGAAGTTGAAACGTTGACTATCTATGGCACTCTGAGGTGGGATCAGACCAAAGCAAACCTCGAACTTCGTGCCAATTACGTTCTTGTTGAGGATGGCGGCCATCTCGTCCTTGGCACGGTGAAATCGCCGATGAATCGTCCAGCAACTGTGTACATCACCGATGGCCCCCACAGCCACCCAAACCTGGGCCGGCGTTTCCTTGGTGGCATGGGTCGCATCGAGATCCATGGTCGAAGGATGGGGCGAACTTGGACCCTTCTGAGCCAGACAGCCCTGCCAAACGAGAAGGTGCTGTACCTGAAGCACGACCCGAGAGACATGGGATGGCAGGTTGGGGACCGTATAGGTTTGGCGACGACCAGCCGAGGCGAGTCCACCGTTCACCGCATTCTCGCGATCGCCCATCACCAGCTCACAGTTGACGGGCCTGTGAAGCACCAGCATTGGGGTGGGTTCAAGGAGATAGGGGGCAAGCGATTTGAGCTTGCTGCGGAAGTGGTGAACTTGGAGCGGTCCGTCCTCATTACTGGTGACCATCAGAACATCGAAGCTTCCAACGAAGGCCTCCACACCATACAGGCAGGGGGATCTGGCTACATGGACATGAGATATACTCGGGTGGAGCGCTGTGGTCAAAGACCCGTTATGGGTCGCTACTGTCTCCACTTCCACTTAATGAAGAAATGTTCGCGGTGTGTTTTTCAGGGAAATGCCGTGGTTGATGGAGAGCATGTCGGAATCACGGTGCATGGGACACACAACTCCCTCGTTGACCAGAACATTATCTGGGATGCCAAAGCAAACGGCCTGTACATTGAGGATGGCAACGAGCTGAACAACACCCTTCGTGAGAATGTTGCAATTTGCACAAATCTGAGGAGGTGTGCTGTGGATTGGGTCAGTGGGGTGGCAGTCCAAACAGCTGGCATCTTCATGATAGGCATGACGAATCACATATTGGAGAATCGCATTGTTGGCTACGAGAATGGCATCTGGACCCCTGGATCTTTTCGAGGCTCGGGGCATGGCCTGGCCACAGGCCGGACCTGCCCACAGTTTTATCCGTTTGGAGACTGGCGAGGCAACACCTGCCATGATTGTAACAGGTTCGGGCTTTACCTGGATCACCAGTACCCAAGAAAAGTCAAGATTGATGATGATGGCTTTCTCGTCGACAAGGACAGCTGCAAATGGTTCACACGTAACGGCGAGGACAACGGATTTGTGAATGAGATCCGCGACGAGGTGAACTGGCACAATACATACGTCGGCCAGTATGCCATAGGCGACATCCAGCTCCTTGGCTAGAAGTTACGAACAGAGCCAGCTTTTTGCGTCATCGAGCCTTCGTGAAATTCATATGTTGAGTAGAGTCGCTCAGCAGATGGGCCGAGGTTCATAAACTACACTAGCATCAACAATGGGCATTCCATGTATTGGAAGCAGGGCAAAAACTTTGTCGACAAGCGACCATGGCATGTGTTGGATTCCACATTTGCAAACGATGCTGACGACAGTTTCGGAGTTCTCCAATTCTTGGGCCCGGCTGGCCCGTTCGCTTTTGGCATGAAGAACTGCGCCTTTATCGGAAGCAGCCCGCCTGGGATAGCCGCATTAGCAGCAGGGCAGCACTGCGGTCTGCTGGGGGGTGCTGGGCCATGCAATGTGCAGTACGTGCTGGAGGATGTGGACTTCTCGCGTATGCAGGCCCCGCAGCCACGCCTGGCTTTCGGAGCAAACACTGCTGCGTCTCAGGCTGCTGTGTTGCCAGTGTTCCTCACGAAGGATGCTTCGTTGGGAGGTTTTCGAAGCATGGCTTTCGTGCGCAGGGCTGTCAACCTCTGAATGCCAAGTGGGCACGGCCAGGGGCTCTCGGATGCAACGGGATGATACGAAGGCTAAACGTCTGGGGTGGTGGAGCCAGGCTGCAGATTGAAGGGCCTGGTTATGAAACAACGCCCGACTGGACCTTTCCGATAGAAGGCCGTAGCTTGGATGCAGCGTTGGACTGTCACTCAAGCGTAGCATGTCTGGACTACACGCCGTGCAGGTAAGGCTCTGTTCAATGCTGCCTGGTGTCTGTGCAAGCGCCATCCCAACCCACTTCTATAGAGTACTCGGGACGCAATGCACAACAATCAGGCATGTGACCCATGTCGTGTCGTTGCATGTTTCTAGCTTTAGACTGATGCGAGTCTAAGCAGTAATTATTGAAATCCAACAAAATTGATCAACTTTACAACAACTCCACCGATTACTTCAACTCTGAACCTCAGGATGCCTAAGGCTGCAGCAAAACTGCATGAACATTATGTCGGATGGGCTTGCGCACATGATCGGCATTGAGGGTTGAACGTGCGGCCTTATTAAAGGTTTGAGACACGCAGACGAGGCATTAACGCAAGAGACGAGCGGGACAGTCTCAGCCGCAGTGTCAGAGTGGGCAGGAGCGGCCTGAAACGCTGCGTCAGCCATCAAGCATCGTCAAACTCTTCATGATTTCATGGTTGCTTTCACAAACCGAGTGGTGAAGAGCAATTTCAACGGCAATGGGTTTCTAGCAAATGGAGGACCTCCGGCTTCCGTTGCCCATATCTCCATTAGAAGGCTCGTTTTGCCGAATGCACTCGTCGAAACAAGCCTTCATCATCGCATTCACACACGGAAGATTGCACTGCACATGTGCACTCTGTTTGATCCGTACGGTCAGCATACAGCGCAGCTGCTGATCAATGGCCTGTAGACTACGAGAATCCCACAGATGCTCTGATGGAGGTTCCTCTGGTTGCTGCCATGCTACGGGGGAGTCGCCGTATCTCGCATCGCTGGCATGCAAACAGTCGGGTCTGTTTGTGAACGATCCGTTTGTTCCATGTGGAGTCGAGCATCTAGATGGGGAGTAGGTTGTTTCAATCTGTCGTAAGACCACTGATGTGTGTTCGAGCGGTTGCCCGTGGAATCGAGCGTCTGGATGAGGACTGGCTGGTTTTGATGTGCTGTGACGTTGTGCATGCTCACTCAGTCTCTAGCGGTTGCTTGTGGAATCGAGCGGCTGCACAGGGAGCGGCTGGTTTAGATGTGTTTTGCGGCCACTGATGAGTGCCTCCTGCCTGTGCTTGTGGAATCAAGCGTCTACATAAATGGCTGGTTTGGATGCTTGTGGAATCGGGCGTACATGGGGAACGGCTGTTGTGATGCCACTGATGTGCGTTTTAGCGGTTGCTTGTGGAATCGGGTGTCTGCTTGGATGGTGCATGGAGCCGAATGTATCCAAACCCAACAGCCCAACGTACGAAGTGCACAACCTCCCAAGCCTGTCGGGCGCACGGAGTCGTTTTCGTCGTGTGCCGTCCTTTTGTTTATAGGTGCTTGTTCTGCCGTCTGGGTCTCCCTGCTTGCGCTGGAGACATACACCTCCACCTCCGCATACGGGTGCACATGCATGCATGAACCCATATGACCTCGGTACGCGCGGCACCAGTGCTCCGTACGTGGCTGAAGACATCTAAGAACAGGAAGGCTTTCTGAATGCCTAGCAGCATGGCCGCAACTTACGCGAAGCAAGGCAGAGACCGCCGGTAGGAGAGCGAGCATGGATCGTGTTGTGGGTTATATATTTATATACGATGTAGAAGTTTGAGTGTAACATCCAAGGTTTTTGTCTGTTTCAGTCGTGTCATGTTGTGTACGAGACTTTCCTCGCTTGCCGACAAACCAAGCCAAACCAAGCCTTCAGACTGCGTACTGCCGTTTCCAAGGTGGTTACGTGAATCGCACGCACGGGTTACGAGACGGGGGGCCAAGATCAACGTTCGGCATGTGGGTCTCGGGCGCAGGCCCCCAAGAGCAACACTCTGTACATTGATCTCGGGGGTGCCTACAACCCGGTTTGCGATGGTGGATGTTGCTCCAAAGATCAGTGCTCGATTCGTGTACTGCGGTTGAAACCCCAGAACAAATCTCGGAATGTGCAATGTGACCTCGAGTGCTTTTCAGAAACCCGGGTTTCGCTTGATGTGACAAGTAGAAACACCTGAGGATTGGGTGCCAACATGTACTCGAGATTGCAATGAGAGAGAGTGCGCGGCACATCCTGAAGATTGAGCTTGCGCGAGCTGGAGACTACAAGCAGCATCCGCATGGGGATTAGCATCTACTGATGTGTACTCTCGCCACTCATGTGTAATTCTCTGGAACAGCATTCACACTCGGGTGATGTCCGAATGACGCGAAATAAGCCCACCGTTTGTACCACGACGGGTGGGTACGATCTGTGTTTCTGTCGGCTGATGAGGTGCAATCAAATGCCTTTCTTTCCATGCTGTTCTTTCCAGTACTTCCGTTCGCCAGATCAGTACAGCTTTCGTGGGGTCTACTCGGCTCGTTGCATCTTTCCCGAGTGACTGGCTGAACTGCTTTGAATGTGATTGGATTTGGCGTAGTTAGACTTGGACTGTCATGGCTCTCAGGTAACGCTGGAGAGATTCCGTTTGATTCTGCTCGAAGAGGCTATGGAGCCCTCGTGCTTGCGGAGCAGGCATACAAACTCACCTCTTCGTGGGATTCCGAAATGATTATTGAGTTTTCGGACCCGGTGCTGGGGCAGTACTTCGAATCGGAATCATCAATCATCCTGGATGCGGCTGGAGGCATCTTAGCCTCAAAAAGTTAGATAGCTGATTCGTTGAGTTTCTTCCTGCCAGCAGGACAGTGCATGCTGAAGGAGTCCGACAATCGAAGATTCATTTGCGACATGGGTGAGTTCGGGGGTGTGTGTAACTTTCAAACAGCATCCAACCAGCACGTGATTTCGGGTGGACGATTGCAGTGTGCTGGAAGCACCGTGCCTTCTCCGGTACCGATTACGACGTCACCTCCAATGCCGAGCCCTCCAAGCCCGACTCCCCCGAGTTCACGCCCTGCCCCCATTCCCATCCCACCCCTAAGTGGCAGCTCTTCGGGATGGATCTTGCATGTCGGGTTGAACTGCTGGGAGAATCATGGAGCCCTTCCAATCTCAGGGGCAGACCCGCTGGATGGTACCTTCACCGTCGACGGCTGCCGCCGACAGTGTGAAAAGGCGCTTGCATGCCAAGCTGCCGTCGTGCGAAGTGGATGGGATGATGGAAGCAGTCCGTGCTTCCTTCGCAGGAACCTGCTGATGAACAAGTGTCGCGACTACGCGGACTTCGATGTTTGGCAGATCGAGAGAGTGCCGATGCCAACAACCAGTCTACCTCCTGGGTCGTCATCAACCACTGCATCGACCGCGACAACCAGCCCGGCCAGCACCACTGAGCCCCCTGTTGAATTTGAGGGTGTCGACGGAGGCGTGGACAGAGCCTGTCGAGGGGCATTTCCGGGCGACAACAGCCCCACCTACTACGTGCTTCAGCATGGTGTTGCCGGGCTTCAGGGATGCAAAGGGATTTGCATGATTGATGCCTTGTGCCAGGGTATCGAGTACAGCGCTGGCAGATGTGAGTTATGGACACGGCCTGGTGGTATTCGGGCCTCGATATTTCTGCGTGGGTTTACCTGCCTGCGATTTCTTGGGGCTCCGACCACAACTGCCTCTCCGTTGCCGTTTGTTGCCGTAGATGGTGGTACAGATCGTGCATGCAGAGGAAGATCTCCAAATGATAACTCTGCGAAGTACTATACTCTAGCTGTCGGCAAGTACGATCTCAACCAGTGCAAGGAGAAGTGTGCCATGACTCTGAGCTGCAGCGGCATTGAGCATAGCAAGCATGGCCGTTGCGAGCTTTGGACACGGTCTGGCGGCATTCAAGCGACCAGGCGAGTTGCTGGGTATACATGCTGGCGTTTCGAGCTCGGCTCTGGAGGCTCGAGGTGGAGTCTGAGCGAAGGCTTGAATTGCTACGACGGTCACGGTGCTAAGGCTCTCCACAGCATTGCAGAGTTCCTGCCAGTTGAGGCGTGCAAAGCAGAATGTGTGCAACGAGAGAGTTGTGAGGGGATTGTCGTCAGATCCGGCTGGGACGAGAGTCCTTGCTGGCTGTATGCAAGCATCTCAATTGAAAGCTGCCTGGCGGTCCCTGACTACGACTTCTGGCATCGGGCAGCATGACGTGGCCCACACGGGCGAATGCGAGTACAGGCCGCAGGCCCACCTTTTGCCTTTTGCGCCTCGTGAAGGCTGACGTCGATCTGCGAGCCAAAGAGCCAAGCCATGTAGAGATGGTACAGAGATGTACAGTGGCTGGCAGGCCGTGGGCCGTGGAGTCAAAAACATATCTCTGATGCAAAGTTACCGGGTCGAGCTCAGTATTCGTACGAGTAGAAGGCCCTCTGTTTCTGTTGCATTTCAGGAGGCGCTAATGGACTTTCTGGACCGCCGCGTTCCTGGTCCAGCTGAGCGCTACGCGTTTCAAAAGCATACAGTGCCGGACAACTTAGGAAAGGAAGGCAACATCGCCCACATCAACGAGATCAACAACGATCGCTATCTACGGGAGGTCGCATGGCCTCTGCCATGACTGCCTTCGCACAGTAGCTACAGTTCTCCGAACAGAAGTAATGCTGGCGAAGACTGTCGGTCTTGTTGAGCAGGTATCGACTGGCCGAATCATGTCTGGCGGATTGCGCGAGTCGGTTGTGACAGCAGGACATGTCGTCCAAACTTGCGTTCCGGTGTTCACTGGCTTACCGTGAGTCGTCGTGTCACAGATCCATTTTGGGGGGAGTCTCTTTGCGGGCCACATGGCCGAGCCAAAATCCGGGGCTATTTCTCTCATCCCCTCTAAACATGCGAATCGGTTCACAAAGAAACCCCGTGGGGGGCCGATCCTCAAGTAGTCTGCTCGTCCTTCCCAATCTAGGCGCTAAGGAGGCCGCCAGCTTTGAATGGCCCAGTGGGTGGTAAACCCATCCTTCAAGCCAGGACTGTTTAGCATGTTCAGCACTGCTGAGGGCGGAGACTGTCTGATATTCGCGAGAGTACAGGCTCAAACTCGTGATCTTTTGCATGTTGCACCACTTCTTCAATCCTGCAAAGGTGATGGCTCAACAAGCCCCGAAGCCTATATCAGCGGTGAACAAGGTGCCTGCTGCGGGCTGGCTTGTCATGCACATGCTGCGGGATGGAACTACCGGAAGCACTGAGATCGATGCCGCCTGCATGCCGTGAGTGGCTTCAGATGACAAATCGAACTCATGGCAGGTCTGGCTGAAGCAGCATGAAGCTTTGTTTACCCTTCTCCGTGCTCAAGACAATGAGATGTACATCGCGAGGACGCAGGTGCAATTCCAAAGGTCATGTGGGTTCCATCTGGTTCAGCGAGTGGGTCCTAAGTGGGTGGACAAGAGATTTCGCTGTGGTCGAGTGTGCTAGATTCGCAGGCTGTGACCGACCAGAAGAAAGCCAAAGCCAAAATGCAGGCAGGGCCACCGGAGCTACCCCCCCCGCTGTCGGCTATGCCGTCTCCCTCCAACTGAGAGTTCGAAAGGCTGGAGACCAGAAGAAGCAGCCTGCGTATCACCAGGTGGAGTACCCAGCATCAGCATCAGTTTTCTTTTCGTCAAGGGGCTGGCGATTGAAATAGATACACCTCCCTGAACTTCAGAGAAAGCGACTGTTGTCGAAGCGCCTTATGTGAAGGTCATCCAGAAAGCCGACAAGATGGCGGAAGCTCAGTGGCATCTATTTAGTATCTGCAGCCACATGCTTGAAAGCGCAGCCGGGTAGCAAGAGGTTTTGCAGGTGGTCAGGTGGCTGCTTTCAGGCGCCCTTGGTGTACCAGTACGGCGGAGGCGCACTCAAGCCGATTCCAGAGCAGGAGGACAGACACGAGCTCCCCGCTGCTCTGCAGCAGTTGCCGTGCATCACAAGATACAAGCTTTCGGCTTTCGGTCACAAGGCTTGAAATTCTTTGTAACGTCTCCCCGTAGGAGAGCGGAGCCTGGCAAGAGAGGCTGCAACAAGCCCTGCAGGCGGGGAGTGGACAGGACTAGGCACTGCCGCATTTTTGTAAGAGGCCAGGAGCCCAACACCACAAGGCTTAACTCGGACATTTTTAGGTGAATTTGCTGCCTGCTGCATTCGATGTGGAAAACTGCCCAAGGCGGGCCCTTTGGAAGTTCCGGAGCTGCTGCAAGCCGTGCCGCTTTTCGTGCCCATCCCCAGTTCACTGGGGCTCTGCATCGCGTGAAAGTTCACGTGACTTTACTTTTCTGAGACGGCGGCGACGGGTGCCACGCGGCCATGGCAGCAGCAGGCAGCGCCGAAGTACCAAGAAGCACCCATGAATGTGTCATGCCCTTGTGACCGTTCCTCATGTGTCAAGCGGCTGCGTCGAGTCTCGCATAGGCCCCTCCCTGAATCTGTGCGAGATTGAAGTGATGTGCATCGTTGCCGGTTTCGCAGAGGAGATACTTCTGACATTTCTTCAATCATGGCCGCAGCTCTTCAAAGTTCGCGGCTCGGCAGGGTTGTCGCCTGCAGCTCTGCACCCCAGACAGATGCCAGTTTGTAGCATCATGTCACCAAGCGAGTCACGGATCTGTCGGGCCGTACTAGGTGGAGAAGCGCGGCACGGGAGCTGACAGGAAGTATCTGGTGCCGGCCCGAGCAAGTGTTCTTTGCGTTGAAGTGGACGCTGTCTTGCCTGCTTGAGGTGTCGTTGAAGTGACGACAGCGGCAGGGTTTTTTCACCGCCGCGGACAAGACAATCATTGATGCATCTGAAAACAGATAGTGTGTTCAGGTCACTGTTGAATCTCGTCTGTGTGGTACAGTGTAAGCCAGGACAATCACATAGGAGACCAGCCCTACATGCCAAGCGAGAAGGCCGCAATCCGAGGCAAGCCCAGCTACACCCGGTCCGCCCTCCGGGCCTAAGGGGAATTGCTGCAGCTTGTCGGATAACAGCAGGAACTGTGGGGAACGTTAGGACTGGACCAAACTTATCTTGCTACTTCGTGTTTTCAGGTTGCTCGGTGAGGCGTGATCCGATGACAGCATTTCCTAAAGCCAAATTGGAGCACTGTGTTGACGATCGTCTAGTGCTTTGTCATCTTGCACTGCGAATGCCGCACAGAGAAAACAACGATGCTTCAGTAGCATTTGTGCAAAGCTCAGCCCTGAACGATTCAAAAAGGGGCCAAGGCACGCCTAGATGCGGAAACCGGGCACCTGGTCAGAACGAGAAGAGAGACCTCCCCTCCCTCTCTTTGTCTGGCTCTGTCACTCTCCAGAGCAGCAGGCGGCAGGCGAGAGCTAGTCACGCGAAGAGAGAACATGCCGAGTCTGGGTAGCCTAGGCCCTCGGTACTATTTGGACTCCTCCAAGTGATGCTGTGTCTTGTGTATTGGCTCAGAGGCTTGAGCGGATCTTCAAAAAGGCTCTCCCCTCTCTCTCCCCGTCTCTCTCTCCCTCTCTCTCCCTCTCTCTCCCTCTCGCTCCCTCTCTCTCCCTCTCTCTCCCTCTCGCCCCCTCTCGCCCCCTCTCGTTCCCTCTCTCCCTCTCTCCCTCCCTCCCTCCCTTTCTCTCCCTCTCCCTCTCCCTCTCCCTCTCCCTCTGCCTCTCCCTCTCCCTCTCCCTCTCCCTCTCCCTCTCCCTCTCCCTCTCCCCTCCCCCTCCCCCTCACCCTCCCCCTCCCTCTCCCTCTCCCTCTCCCCCTCCCTCCCCCTCCCTCCCTCCCTCCCTCCCTCCCTCCCTCCCTCTCTCTCTCTCTCTCTCTCTGTCTCTCTCTCTCTCTCTCTGTCTCTCTGTCTCTCTTTCTCTGTCTCTCTTTCTCTCTTTCTCTCTTTATCTCTTTCTCTCTTTCTCTCTTTCTCTCTCTATTTCTCTCTTTTTCTATTTATTTTTTTCTTTACCTTCTCTCTTTCTATTTCTAGCTTCTCTCTTTCTCTCTTTCTCTCTTTCTCTCTTTCTCTCTTTCTATCTTTTCTCTGTCTCTCTGTTCTCTTTCCATCTTTCTCTTTTCTCTTTTCTCTTTTCTCTCTTTCTCGATCTGGCTCTCTTGTCTCTCGCTGTCTGCGCTCTGTCTCTCTCTGTCCCTCTGGTCTCTCCTGTCTCTCTCTGTCTCTCATGTTCTCTCATGTCTCTCTCGTCTCTCTGTATCTCTGTCTATCTTTCTCTCTTTCTCTCTTTCTCTCTTTCTCTCTTTCTCTCTTTCTCTCTTTCTCTCTTTCTCTTTCTCTTTCTTTCGCTCTCTTTGTCTCTGTCTCTCTCGCTGGCTGCTCTGACCGCGCAGATTCTGGCTCGTAAAGCCTTTTGAGATTTAGTGGCCGCTTGTGGCCACAGCAAGTCTTGCCATCGCCATGACCGCGGCCGGCTCAAGTGTGAATGTTTGAGCTTGCAGTGTCGACCTGGCTGCATGGCGGCGTGTCACTCCGAGGTCTCGTCGTCCGTCGACTTCGTTGCCCTCTCTGCGAGCAGCCTCCGTCTCGGCCTCTGCCTCGCCATGGAGCGACCGCGAGGTGCGAGGCCCGTCGAATAGCTTTTCTTTCTTGCAGTAGTAGCTTCAGAACGACATCGACGACGAGAAGACCGGCGGCGACGACGAGATTGAGTCGAAGGCAGCAAAGCATTTTGGCCAACACTGGCAACAGCCGCTGCAAGTGAAACAACGTTGTACTTGGTCAATCAGGCTGTGATGGAGGTGGCGACGGTTGCTGCCTTTGTATCTGTCCCACTTGCTGCAGCGTCTTGTCCGGGATGCCTGTCTGAGGGATCCCTGTGTGGACCTGCTCGACAACGTCTGAAGAGGCAGTACTGGTTGTAGTTGGTGATTTGAGCAAGGAGCAGCAGACAAGTTGTCAAGCCATGGAGGTTGGTATCTTGGCTCCAGAGGACCACCTGGGCTACCGATGGATTGCTGCTGGGTGGGACGTGCTGTTTGGTTGACAGGTTCTAAACTGGAACGTGCACCTTAACTCGCTTCGAGTTTCGGAGCACCCTGGCCAGTGAACCAGGTTGTGTGGAGCCTTGAGCTTACTTACTAGGCCTCAATCGAAAACATCTGCATGCCCCTATCAAAGAAAGGGTCATTGTTCAGGAAGGTGTTGTTGCGAGACACTGAGAGATTCTGTGGGGTTTTCTGGCATCTGATCGTGTTTGTTGCAGGATGGGCCGTGTCTCGCGGCGGGAAGCAATTGATGCCCTGCCGGCGGCCAGCCGTGCAGGGCACCCAGCGGCAGAACATGGAAGTGATTCGGCGTCGACGATCCCGAGCCCAGTCGTGCCAGGATGCCTTACTTCAGTTTATGACTTCTTGGAAGGTGCCTCGGCAGACGTCGAAGGGAGAATGGCGGCGTTGCACCTGTATTGCGCCTGCATTTGTGAAAGGCCAGTGGTGGTGCCGTCAGGGTACCGAGTGACTTCTCGCAGGCGATGGGCCCGGCGGCACCGACAGCAGGTTTCAAGTAATCGCTCTCGTCACTGGAGGCTCAGACTCGGGTCATGCACTCAAAGAAGCCTTTGCAGGCGGGATGGGGCTACGAGATTGCGAGCATATGTCGGCATAAAGATCGGCTTTTGCACTCTGACTCTGCCAGCTGGGCTCAAGCAAAGAGCCGCCAAGGCATCAATTGCCATTTGCTGCCACAAGGCGTAGAACGGATGAGGAATGTCCAACAACCAGGAGGCAAACACGAGTTGCTTCTTCGGTTAATTGGTGTAACAGAACGAACCTTGACATACGCAGAAAGGACTCGCTTAGCACGACGTTGTAAGGCACCTCGCATGCTACGAACCAGCACGCAGCGCACGCCTGCTTCCCGATTGGCGCAGCCGCTTCTACACGCTGGTGAGACGAGAATGATGCGATGGATGCAGCTCGGAATTTCGTTGTTGTACCATCACATGAAATCAACTTGGAATGTACACTGCCGGGTATAGCATAGTTGTATCAAGCTTTTCTTTGCATGCATTCACCATGTTTGATCAGGTATAGACGTGCCAAGAGACTGGTTGCTGCTGTGCTGGTCCAACGGGGAATCCGTCGGACGACAGCAGCAGCTGTCATCTGGCTTGGGCTGTTGGCCTGGTCCTCAATCAGCGCGGGATACAGCTGCATCTAAGCTTATCACCTCGACGATTATGTCCCGTAGTTACTGTATGTTGCTGTTCTCGGTCTATCTTTCACGGAAATGGTGCCTGTTTGTGCCAGGGCCAGGGCACACTCACATCGGCATGCCGAACTGCTGCGCTTGATTTTTAGTAGACACTCCAGTGCATCCGGTGTGTGGTCAGCTGGACCGAGACTGCTGCGCTGGTGAACTTAGAGAAGTCCCTGCTTCCGGACAAGCCGAAGAAGCTACAGCTCATAGACCCGCCCTCCGACAAAGCCCTTGCGGCCGTGATGGCAGTTTGCCCCTCGGCAGATGCTAGGGTTCTCTAAGTTTGGTTGACGACAGCATCCCACAGCCGGAGTCGAGGTACAGTGCTGCTTATTCCCTGGTCAGTGGGTTTTTGGTGGACTTCCCGTCCAAAAGGCAAGTGGTCGATCCGAGACTTCCTTGTGACGGCGGCCTTGCCTGCACTGCACGGAGTACTGAGTACTGGTCTGTTCGTGTTGAGGATCAATCATTGCTCGCAGCGCTTTTCGCAGTACATGCTGAAGCATGGCCAACAGACTAACAGAAACCAGCGCAACTACATGAAGGCTTTTCCCTGTCGATGCATGTTCTTCTCTGAGGTCCTTCTCTTTGGCACTGGTGGATTTGCAATCTACTGTGTGCTCACGTCGAGAGATGGAGAGGATCGTGGTATTGGAGACATCCACAACTCCACTAGCAAAATAGTAGGCCGCAGTAAGCCACAGCACATTGGATGTGACGGTTTCCCTTCCGAGACAGCGCCTGTGCGGACCTTCTTGGGCGCGCGGGTGCGGATAGATTTCTGACAAGCCACACACTGGAAACGGGTCATGCCTGCCAACGCACCCCCATCAGGACACATGGATGTCGGAAAGCGGATCCTACCTGGCGTGCTTCTACGCCGTTGCTGAGCACGATAGAGCGTGGTCTAAACTCTAAACCTGTGATGCATACCATGAAGCTGTAGACGGGGAACTAGTAGTGACCCAGTGTAGTGGTGGCAGTTGCGAGGTCTCAGCTGTCAGGCAGAGTGGTACACAAGTCTTGAGCATTTCGAAGGGCCCACCTTTTTCCAACCCCCAGTGGGAAGCAGGTTCGAAAGGTTCAGGGGTCAGAAAAATGGAGGGGGGCTAGAAAAGCAGATCAGAGGACAGGATCTCATGGAAAGGGTTTCATTTTGTGCCTGCATCAGGCACTCTCTTGAGCACAACGGTACGGGTTGGAAAATGAGGTCGCCACCTTCAATTGCATCAACATCAGGCCTTCTTTGCATTACCTACAGCAGGGTTCGCCGGGAAGAGAGAGAGAGAGAGAGCCGTGGAAGGCTTTTCGCCGTGGCACTGGACTCCTTCCATGTCAAGGTGGGTGTCAAGTGCGCCTGGTTGTCCATGCTTCGCAGACTTGCTCAGGCAGGCTGGCACCATGAGCGCGTGCTCAATCACTTTACCCTCTGCTTAGTCAGCGCCTTGGGGTTCCTGAGCCTTTTTGGAGGACAGAGCTTTATCAAGCGCTTAAATCTGGGCATCCAAACTTCAAGCGAGCTGTGGCTAAGAAGGACCGCATGTCGAGAGGCTGCACCTGGAGGCCTCATTCCCTTGTGCAGCCCGTACATGTGCGTCTTTGTCGCTCTGCATCTGTGTTGAATGCTTGCAGGTACCCGGGCTTCCTAAGGCTGCGGAAGGAAGCTTGTAAGGGAAAGTCACGAAATCATTGTGTTAGTCCGTTAGTTACAGCGATGCTGCGCATCCAGCATCATCCAGCAATAGACCTGCTAAACTTTAAACCTCTCGAGACAAGTTGAACATGCGACGCATGAAGGCGTAAGTAGGACCGAACGTTGTGGCCGTGTCAAGGTTTGTTGCAGCTCAGGATATAGTCTCTGCCAGCTCAGCGACCTACATGCTGGACCTATCTACGGAACAGACAAGTTGAGGCTACTTGGAAACCTGGCTACGCCAGGAAGTCCTGGGCAGGTAGTGCGGGATGAAGTCTCACCCGTGGTTTTCATGTGCAGTTTGGCCTCGCACGTCTGTTACATCGACTCTTGCTAAGTTCATACCATTTTGTGTGTTTTCGTCCACGATACCGACAAGGGTGCCAGTGTCTAAGGCATGTCCACGGCACCTGTGAGGATGGATGGAGTGTAGTTGTGTGAAGCTGTTTAAGTCCTAATGGTCTGCGATCCAGTTAATGCGTATTCGTGTAACAAAATCATGTGCACGTGCGTGTTCCGGTCCGACGCAAGGTATATAGCGGAGGGTGTGTCGCAACTGCCGCTCGGCACATCGATCATTTCAGATCTCTCCAGAATTTTGGTCAGATTGCAGGGGCTGCAACGCGATTGTCCTCAATGGCGACATTGCAGAAGGCTGCCCTGCGGAAGGGAGCACCACTTACTGCCGCACGTTCTTCCAACCGTTCTTTTTTGCTGATTTTTCCAGGCAAGCACACGTATTACTCGCAAAGCGCGCTCCGGGGAAGTGCCATCATGGAACCAGCTTCGACAGCTGTCATTCTGAGCCCATTGACCAGGATCGGTGCAACTTCGTCAGCACAATATGGAGGCCTTCGCGAACCTGGCATCAGCTGCCCCAGATGGCGCATACTATGTTCCTGGTGGCTCGGCTGCTAAGCTTTGACAAGCAGGCCACAAGGATCCGAATTGGCACAATGGGAGAGGGTGTTGTTGACTAGTTAGTGATCGTCGAAGATGATCCAGAAAGAAAAGGTTTTGTTCATAACTTGAGGGCTTCGGGCTTGCACATGGTCGACACTGATGTGCACCAACAGCGCATGGTGGAAGCACCTGCAAAGAGCCACGGAAATGTGCTTGGGTTTTTGCACAGAGATGCAATGCAGAAGGCAGATGTTGGTCCAGGTAACCACGAGTATTACAACTACAAGGGGAAGAAGGGGCAGCGTGGAGAGGCCCGGAGGGCTAACGAGAAGCCGCAGACCTGATTTTCTGCCTTTCGCGACAGGCCGAAGCGTGGACAGAGTACTGGCAGCAACATGGCTTCGCGTCGCTGAACAATTCGTCCCTTGGACTCTGGACGAACTGACGTTGAAGTTGGTTCCATGCAGTTGAGAAAGGGGGATTGCAGATTTCAGGCATGTGGAACTTCCACTGAACGGATCCAAGCTCATTACCCTTGCAGGCTGGTTTCCTGACTTTTGTCACAGCTGCTCAGGTCAGGTATACCGGTATACCTACTCAAACCACATGGGCTGCATGTTGACACAGAACCTGGTTAGGAGGATAGGAGGTCAAGGTGTGTCTGCTTTTAACCATCATCGTTGCTTGCTAGGCCAGTTAGTTGTCTGACCTCAGGGTTCAAAGTTTCTCAAGACAGAAGTTGAGGCTGCCATGGGGCTTTTTCCAGATCGGCGAACGAAAACCGAAGAAATTGTCTCGGCTGCTCAATCGTTGGTCTGCCCTTTCGAGGGCTGCTGTGTGCAGTGCGAGAAACCGAGACTAGATTCTGGCAGATGCACAGCAGCTAGCACATGGAACTGGACCCACATAGTGACCGGCCAAGCATGCCGTCGAGTCAAGATGGGCAGGGTTTGATGCACAGGTGATGCTGCATGACGCCCACGTGCAACAAGATAAGTTGGGTGTTGTGATCGGGCGGGGATCCCCGGCAAGCTTCCGACTTGATGTCACTCGAGAATACAGTTTATGATACGGCAAGAATCGATGGGACTCTTTCGCAAGCAGGGTAGGTCCAAGCATGCCTCATGTGCTCACGCTCAACACTTGTGAGAACGAACTCTTCTGCTCGGATATGTACACAACATGCTGGCATTCCCATGCTGGCATTCACATGCTGTCTTGCCAAGACACTGTTGCAGACACGAACCTGGGACCAAGGGCCTGTGAGTGAATGCAGAAAATTGCCTCGTAATGCCAGCCCAGAACTTGTGCCCCTCGCCGCCGGGGGCCTTTGTGTGTTGGCAGGTGTTGATGACACTTTGGGCGCACCCGACTTGAAGAAGGCTTTGCCTCGGGCTCAGACCACGAAGTCAAGAGGCAACCTTGCGATTGTTCGAACATCCGAGGGATGGTCGCCACCCGGACTTGCCGACTGTGTTGGTGGCCCACCGACCATGGCCCCATGCTGATGCCGCGGCCGAAAGCAATGTGCAGCTCCAGCTTTCCGGACCACGTCAGCTAGCATGTCTTGTGAAAGTCTTTGTCATGGTCATTGTGACCTTTGCCATGGTCACCGTGTTCTCGCTCTGGCTCTCGCACTGTCGCTCTCTCACTCTCTCGGTAGGTCTCTCTCTGTCTTTTTCTTCTTGTCTCTCTCTGTATCTCTCTTCTTCTCTCTCGCTCTCTGTGTCTCTCTCTGTCTCTCTCTCTCTCTCTCGCTCTCTTGCTCTCTTTCTCCGTCCTCCAAAGAAAAAGGTAGGTCTGGAATAAGAGGGTCACGCTCCTGCATTTGATCAGCATGCAGCTGCTCTTTCTTTGATGTGAGAATTCCGTGGCCATTTTGTATCGAGACAATCGCCTCGATCCGGGAAGAATCTTTTTGTGACGATCAGGTTGAGGTCTAGGGTCTGTGTAGCTTTCGCTCGAGCCATGGCTGGTTGGGGACAGGACACGAACTGGGGTCAGCCGGCTGATCAGCCCTATGGGTACCATGGTCAGCCACGGAAGGACAGAACCAATGCGATCGCGGAGATCGCCGCAGGAACCGCGATCGCTTCCCCCCGGCTCATCAGGGAAGCGGCGCTGGTGGTGGCCTACACCTCAACGTAGCATCAAGGACAACTGCTATGTTCTCTGCCCTCATGCGATTTGGTAGATCCTGCGACGTCACACTTCGGTCAACACTATTGTCATTTGATAGGTCCCTCCAAAGGCGAGCTGGGCAGGAGTTTGCGATGTGAGAACACCCACGGGTGATGAAAACATTCAATTGCCGCTCCTATCTCAAGACATTTTGCGGCAAAGAGGGGTAGCCGACAGGTCATGGATGTAGTCCGGCCTCGGATCTTAGTGGTGCTGGCTTCCATTGTTATCGGAGATTGGCTGACGGAACCGAAGCCCATCGTAATCCCTCCTGTCAGCGAGTGCCAGTGCCAACTGCTGCTGCAATACTCCTTGGTGGTGGAATCGGAGCTCACCTGGGGTTTTGCATGGTGCCGTATGGATTCGGACTCCTACTTCACCGGGACCATTGGCTCGTTCGAGGCCGATCGCGGATCTACGCGCGATTGGATGGTTCGTGATCGCCTCTCCAGACAATGACATCTATGCAGAGCCTTACACGGTGCAGAAGGTGGTTGGCTTCGTTCTGTTGGGTCCTGATCGGTGGCTTCCACCTGGCTTCGCTCGCCGACAGGTTTACCGCTTCGAGGACGGCCCAGCTGGACGACCACTATTGCCGGGTGACCTTCGTCTCACAGCTATGTTTGAGCTCGACACTGTCACTGCTGAGTTCACTACCTTCAGCTGGCCAGGTGGACGCGGCTCCGTCCTTGCCGACGGGACTGTTGACATCTGCTGGTTTATCTGGGGTGGCGGTCTCTACGGCCGGTCGTATCAAGGGCAGCATGTTGCCCTTGCAGCTCCGTAGCGTTGGGCGCCCGCTCGACCCCAAGGCTGTGGTTGCCCTCTCCGACGGGGGGATACTCTTCGCCGAGAAACTGGTCAGCCACGAGGTCGCCGCTTACGGCGAGGTTGATCGGCCCTCGCACAGCACGGCGGGTCAGCCAATACATCGTCAATAATGGGGGAGGCCCCATGGCAATGCATACCTCGTGGAAGACCAACTGCAAGTTGCAGGCGTCTGACAATGGCGTGCTGGAGCACGAAAACTCAAGAACTACCATCAGCTCAACCTTGGTGATTTGGGGCCTGCCTGGAGCTGTTCTGCCGGCAACTGCAGATGGTGCAGTACCGATGGCGCAACCGAGTGCTGGGCAGCACCAGCATTGGGACCATCGATGACGAGGCTCGCAAGGGAATTGACCCCACCAGTGGCAATCTTTGCATCGATCAAGCTTTCATCACGTGGTCGGGAGAAGAACTTCACAAAGAGCACTTGGCAAACAAGGAACAGCGTAAAGCCCGAGAAGAATGCGCCCTCTTGCGGGCGGCGAAAAAGTAACTCTTCGTGGGGTCGTGGGGCGCATGGTGAGTGGTTTGTGGCACTTGTCGCTCGCTCTCAGCCCGTTTGCCAGTTCTCTGAGCGTGTGCCACTCGCCACTTTTCGCTCGCAGAGCACTGGTTTTCGTCAAGTGCAGGCCATGTCCTTGGGAATGTCACTTGGCCGCCAGCGTGACTTAATGCCTCCTCGGCTATTTTTTTGAGCCAGAAGGGCACCGGCTAAGCCACTGAGTCGTGCGACGAAGCAACGAATTAACATGTTCGTGGGTAAAATGGGCCACTGAAGGTGTCCAACCTTTGAACGAGCTTTACTGCGGCAGTCAGGTGTCCAACACTGTGGCTTCACAACCTGGGTCTCGTTGTTTTCTCTTGCGGCATTTGACCGACTGCTACGGACAAAGGTGCAACCGGGACAGCAAAGGCCATTCTCAACATCCAAAGAACATGTAACCATCTGCACAATACTTGTAGGTCGAAGGCTCGAAGGTGGAAGTTGCCGGAACCTTCGGCTATCGCAACATTTCACCATATCTCACCTCTTCAACATGTCTGGCCATATTCAGTGACATCGCTGAAACTGCATGCCCCCTAAACTGTTGTCGAAGTACTTTCCCAGTGGCGCAGTGAGCTTCATTGCGATCCCGGCCAGGAAGAGTTCAGCAGTCAGCGCATTCCTGTCGCAAACAGCATGAAACAAAGCCAGGCAATCACGGTTTTTTGCGAGCTAACTTCAGCGTGACTTCCTGATGCCTGTGCAGGCCATGCGGCCATGCTGTAAGAATGTGGATCAAGCTGTTTGAAAAAAATGACTGACTAGTCAGGACACACGCACGGAGGCCAGCTCTGGCCGATTCAAGCGCTGGCCGCGCATTCCTCCGGCGGATACCTCTCCGGCCTCTACAGGTGCGCGAACTGACCCTTTCAAAGACCAGTCCATGAGTCTGTGGAGCCGTGCAGGCTGTCAGGTGGAAAGTTTCTCCTCTACGTGTCCGATGGGCTTGTTGGCATCTGGACTGCGTCATGACATGCATCGCCTGTACCATGCATCAAAGCTCGCGAACGAAGTCGGAATGTGAGGCAGTTACATCACCCGGGTCCGAATCCTCTCCCGTGCTGAGCTGACGATGGCAGTTTTGCACACCGCACCCTGTGCCTCGGAAAAAGCTGAGAAGAAGCGAGTGACTTGGCGAAAGAGGGACGAGGTGCAATCACAACCCAGGTGAGGTGTGCGACAAGCGCGACCTGCTCCGACAAGCCACCTTCGGGCTTTGGCTTGGCAGCATGGCTGCAAGGCTGTGCACGACGAGTTCTCAAGACGTAAGCTTCTCGCAGTGTGCGGCTGTTATCAGACTTCGCTCCCGAGATTCGAAGATTTCGACCAGGCGTCAGCGTCGCAGAACCGTGTCTTGCTTGTAATGCAGAAGATCGTCCCAGGTCGTGTTGCCTTTATGTTCGGCCCGTGCATGCTTCTCCTCACAATGCTTGGTGGGTGCTGCCGCCTCTGGCGAGGCATAGAAATCACAGCAAAGCACAGCAGAAAGCGGCAAGGATGTGCTGTGACGCAGTTGCCGTAATCCATCATGCACAGGCAGGTCTATGTGCGTGGAGCCTGGAAACGGAAGCTCTGAGCCGTCTCCGGCCCTGGCCGAGATGGTGTGAGGACCAAGAGCCACGGCGCGAAGCGCTGACTCTCGGAAATTCTGCGGCCATCGCATTGAGGGCAGGCCCTGCATGCTGCAGGCCGTGGGAATTCACGGTTTCGAATGGACCTTTTATCATCCCTTTAGGGACTCAGCATGGACAAAGTCAAAGTGTGGCATGCCGTGGACATTCCAAAGGGATCTCCGGGCAAGCGAGCGCGCATGCGAACAGTGCTGCTTACAGTTTGATGTCAGCTATGGCTATGGCGCGGGTCACAGTCTGAAATGAGGATCCATCCTCTAGACTCTAGACCAGAGCAGTAAGACTAAGACTGATGCTAGGAAGCAGTTCTGAAGCTTTGCAAAGCTCTGTAAAGATCTGCTAGGCTGTGAGCGACTCCTGTACAGAGGCCTTCGATCACCTGGATCGGCCTGCACTGCAGCTGTACAACTTCCGCTGAGGAGAAGACGCCCAAGAAGCGACTGGCCCGCACGTCACAAAAGAAGCTTCACCGGCAGCAGTCGTCTCCAGACAGAAGTTGCACAACTCTTAGCTACCACTGTTGACACCGAAATGACTTCTGGACACCTCTTCAGAGCAAGAGGAAGCCACCAGGCACACACAGCTTTGATGGTGCAGGGATGTCCAGAAGGCATTTGAAGGCTTTTGGCCAGCGCCGGTGCCTACGGTAATTAATGTGCACCCTGGCCTACATCAGCCATCTTCCCAAGCTTGGGAGCCGTGCTCGTGAGATGCTGGCAACGTCAGCTTTAGAACTGTCCACTGAGATGCTGCAGGGACGGAGTCACTGATGAGCCCAGCCTACTGACCAAGTGATCGAAGCTGTCCGCCTCTCGTGGTGTCAAAGGCTCGATGCAGACTCCTTCCTCCAGCATCCTGACAATTGCTTACGACATGATGAATTCGTCGGTTCGTGGACTCGACATCCAGAGCATCGCTGATGCGATGCTCATTCCGTGTAAAGCAAAATTGTTGTGCGACACTTCCGCTCCTCAGAGACCAGGAAGTTGAATTGTATGATGTTTGCGGTTGGCCTCAAGAAGACCCTGGATTGCTCTTGACGACAGGCCCGAAGCCCAAAGCGCAGCCGTGGTGGCGTGCGCCGTGTGAGGCAATCGTCAGTCTGGAAGTCCGCCTGCAAAGTGTCGTGAGAGAGAGTCGCAAGCAAGGCAAGGGGCTTTTCAAGCCACCATCTGCTTCTGTCGTTTGATGGCCCTATTCTCAGTATGCTGTGAAGTGGAAGTAGAAGTAGAAGTGAGGGTAGTAGTAGTAGTAGTAGTAGTAGTAGTAGTAGTAGTAGTAGCAGCAGCAGCAGCAGCAGCAGCAGCAGCAGCAGTAGCAGTAGCAGAGGTAGTCGTCGTGGTAGTGGTAGTGGCAGCGGTACTGGTCGTGGTCGTGGTCGTGGTCGTGGTAGTCGTCGTCGCAGTGGTAGTGGTAGTGACACTTGCACTTGTAGTTGCAGCGGGAGTTGTCGTCGTCGAAGTCGGCAGCAGGAGTAGGAGTAGGAGTAGGTAGGAGTAGGAGTAGGGGTATAGGAGTAGGAGCAGGAGCCGGAGTCAGAGCCGGAGTCGGAGGGGAGTGGGAGTAGGAGTAGGAGGAGGAGTATGTGTACAAGTAGGAGTGGGAGTGGGGGTGGGAGTGGGAGTGGTAGCAGTAGTAGTACTGGTTACTAGTAGTAGTAGTAGTAGTAGTAGTAGTAGTAGTAGTAGTAGTAGTAGTAGTAGTAGTAGTAGTAGTAGTAGTAGTAGTAGTAGTAGTAGTAGTAGTAGCAGTAGTAGTAGCAGTAGCAGTAGCAGTAGCAGTAGCAGTAGCAGTAGTAGCAGTAGCAGTAGTAGTAGTAGTAGTAGTAGTAGTAGTAGTAGTAGTAGTATTAGTTACTAGTAGTAGTAGTAGTAGTAGTAGTAGTAGTAGTAGTAGTAGTAGTAGTAGCAGTAGTAGTAGCAGTAGCAGTAGCAGTAGCAGTAGCAGTAGCAGTAGCAGTAGTAGCAGTAACAGTAGCAGTAGTAGTAGTAGTAGTAGTAGTAGTAGTAGTAGTAGTAGTAGTAGTAGTAGTAGTAGTAGTGGTAGTAGTAGCCGCCACGAGTGATCAAGCGGCCGCGCAGTTGAGAGGCTTTCTAGAGGTCCCGACCAGCTCCTTTTCTGCACAGTAAGGGTTTGTGCCTTTTCTGAGCCATGTACTCTCCTTCTTGCAACAGGAGCCGTTTTGATCCGCCAGGTCCCAATTCCTGGGCCCAGACTCTGTTTGAAACATTGCATCATTGGGTAGGCGGTAGGGTTTCCACTTCCGCGCAGTGGAGGGAGTCATTAGGCTTCGGTCTCTTGATGAAAGCAGCGGATGGCGCAACTGCCAGTGCATTCACAAGACTTTACATCGCTTCGCAAGAATTCGTTCAAGACAGCATGTAGACGTTCAGTACGCAGAGATGAGCCTGTCAATTATCGTGGACAGGTCCTCACACCAGCTCAGGATCATTCTGATGAACCTAACCTGTCTAATCTTCTGGTTAGACTTCGCCTGGTTGCATTGAACACTTGGCAGTGCTCGCACATTCCCACGTATGAACAGGGCTCTACTGCGACGCAGATAGACTTTATTCTCACTGAGGAGACGAACGCAGGTGCCAAAGCCAAATGCTCTGTCCCTTGGACAGATTGTCCTCTAGGCAGCTGGAAAACAGGAGGACATCATCCGATCTTTGCGGAAATCCCACCCCTACGGCATTGGCTGCTCCCAGCTAAGCGAGAGAGCTCCCAGCGGTACGAATCAGCGGCCTTGCAAGCCTCAGTCCGGACATATGATGAAAAGGCCAAGGATTTCCAGCTCTGGGTCGCATCTCAGGTCGACTCCTGCAGCGAGCCTGCGGAATCGAACGCTCTGCTGCTGAAAGGTGCCGAGCATTCTTTCCAAAACAACCTAGGCCACGCTTGGTGCCGCTAGACGAATGTGGCGCTCCAAATCCAGCGCCCCAGGCATGCCTAGCCCATCTCCCTCAACACCGTTGATGGAGAACCCTGTGGCACCGCCTACCGGGTTTCCTACAGAGATCCAATCCCGAGTCCGTCAGAGGCGGAGCTGGCCCAGGCGGCACACAAGCAAGCCGTCAAACAGGCGAAGAAATACAGGATCGCTAATTTCTTTGCCGAAGTTGACGAATGTTTAGCCGAGGGCGATCAGCATATAGCATTCAAGACCCTGCAGAAGCTTCAGCCTTGGAAGCCGGCACGTAGAGCCCAGCTTAAGGATGCCGCAGGACACCTCCGGGGGTCCCAACAAGAGCTGGCCACTCTTCGCTCACTTTTGCCGACCAGGTCTTCTCCTCCCACGCACCACTCTTGTCTATGCAAGGCCCGCTCCCATCTTTGGACGTCACCAAGCTTCAGGCGCACATTCACTCCGTCAAGCCAGGTAAGGCAGTTCCTGACGGCTCCGCCCCGGCCCTGGCGCCTGTGCAGCAAATCAGTGGCCACGACTCTGTCTAGCCATATCGAGGGACGGCTCTTGATCGATGCTGACCTCTGCCTCATTCCCAAACCGGGCAAACCAGCTGACAAGCCGGCAAATTTGCGTCCTTGGCATCCTCCGTCCGGACGCCGTATTTGAAAAGCCTGTCGCAATTCGCCTACGTCCCGGGGCGTGGCTTGTCAGACACGCTGGATCGTGTGGTCCACCACCTTGGGGAAGCCAGGACACTGTTGCAGCAGGCTCACCTTTCCCGGCATGCCATCCAGCAAGGCATTCCCATCCCAACTCTAGTCGGAGGTTTAACCTTCGCACTTGACTTGAGTCAGGCGTTTGACGACATCATCGGTCTCCTTTAATTAGAAGGAGCCGATGGGGACACCGTCCGCCTTGAACAAGCGCTGCACGACAGGTCCAGGTATGTACTGCGAGCCCAGGGGGATTCCACCTCCATTGAAACCACAGCAGGCATCAAGCAAGGTTGCAAGCTTGCTCCCACGCTCTTCTTTTTCCTGACAGGCAGTCTGTTTCGTTCGCTCGTTGACCTCTTCGGGGTTGAACAGGTCCTGCAGTTTCTTACGGGCGATGCAGACGATCTCACGCTGCACCGGACCATTCGCTCGGAACAGGACCTGCGGGCCATTCATCGACTGATTGCTTGGCTTTTTTAGCGGTGGTTCAGAAACATCGCCTGGTCGTCAACAAGAGTAAATGCGTCATTCTGGTTAAGCTAGCTCCCCCAAAGGTGACAAGGTCAAGGGATGGAGGATTGGCCCAAACAAGGCATTCCCGGCCTTTCAGTGGGTTGCCTCTAGCAAATATCTGGGCGTGATGATTTCCTACAATCATTTCGAGCTGCAGACACTCCATTTTCGCATAGGGGAAGCCAAGCAAAAGTTGCACCTAGTACCTCAGTTTGTGTACAACCGTCGTCATGCTAGCACTAAGGCACACTTAAAGGTCTGGCAGAGTACCGTTCTCAGCGCGCTGATGACTAGCCTCTCGGACACAGGTTTGAGCGAGGAGTCTGCCAAGCAGCTTCGCAGCTGGCACGCGTACAAAGTTAGATCCGTTCTTAATTTGCCAGCACACATCTCCAGAATCACTACATCTGATTTGTATCAGCTGTATGAGATCAAGGATCCGGTCCAGGCAGTCCTCCTCAAGCTCCGCAACCGCCTCAGGAAACTCGAGCGTCGGGCAGCCAGGGACCCAGACATCACCCTCCAGGTCATTCGGGACAAGATACGCTCTCTCTCGCAACTGCCAGAACCGGCGGAGCACCCTACCCTCTTGCACTCCTGTGAAGCTGCGATTGAAACCGCAAGCCTGCATCTGCATCGATCACGAATACATCCCGCCAAGGTTCAGCGCTTCATCCCGTCAAGCTTTGATCGTAAACTTCATGCCGTTGATGGTATGCCGCAGTGCGCTGCCTGTCGGAAGAAGTTTAGTCAGTGGAAAGGATTGCGAGATCACTTGCCGTCCGGTGCCTGCCCGGAGCCGATACGCTCATGAACCTGAAGGACGATGACAAACAGGCAGCACATCCAGAGGTACATACGGACTCTGCAACGGCTCCGACGTGACATAGCACTTCTCCCACAGCAGCGTCTTCCCGTCTTAGCTAGAGCGACACCCTCCGCATCCTCACGCACAGGTGCCTGTCGTGTAACTTCTGGACGCCCGACTCGCATTTTCCCCAAGGACTGGGCGCGCCTGCATGCCCGTGCCATTCAGTTGTGGTGCCAAGGACACTCACTGCAACTGGTCAAGAATCAGCCTTGTCCCTTCTGTGGCTTTAAGGTTTACGACAGACAGACGACTCCATCCGGAACAGTGCCCTGTCCTGTACCAGATTGGTGTGCCGTGGTTGTGCAGTCAGCCTCAAGAGCCTATTGAACCTGTGAGGCCCCGACCAACCAAACCTGGTCGCACTATTGTGCAATTCTTTCAGAAAAGTCAAGTGGCACCGCCTCAGACTTGGGCAGCACCGCTCCCCACATGCTCCAGGCAACTGACCCTGCCGGGGGAGTTGCTAGAACTAGTCAGCGTACGGGACTTGTGCAGCCTTTGAGCAGAGCGCTGTCCAACACGGCAAACTCCTGCTACGCGAACTCGCTGCTGCAGGCCCTTTTAACTGTGTCTCACCGAGGATACGACTTAGCACCCTTTCAACCAATCATACGTCACCTGGAAGATGGACAGGCGCCTCGATTGCTTAATCTTTTCGGTCTTCTCTTTGAGTTCCGTCATGCGATAGCAGGATGGTAGGCAGCATGATGTAGCCGAATTCGTAAATCACCTGCAGCAGCGCCCCATCGGTTCATTGCAGCCGTCGGCATGGCAAGGCAGAACAGATGGACGCGTGGAGGATTCGGACGTCGGTATCTCTCCCCGACCGCTTCCCCTGCCAACAGGCTCTCTCACCGTAGCAGCCTGCGTGCAAGCTTGGGCAACGCGAACCTATAGAAGAGCCCTTGTGTGGGTGCCAGAGCTTCTTTCTGTCGTTGTGTGCAGGTGGCAGGACGGCGTCAAACACACGGGAGCATGCTCGTGGGGAGGTCCTGTCAGTGTACCCATTTGGGGAACACGGGAGGCCCAAACCCTCTGTTCCTATCAGGTCATAGCCGGAGTCACGTAGGTGACTCCCTTACGTCGGGGCACTACCAGGCCTTCTGGCCGGAAAACCCATCGGACCTTTCATCTCAGGTATGGATCTGCAATGACTATGACTACAAGCTTCCGGAGCTGGCCTCTCAGACCACGCTCCAACTCATCTCACGTAACGTCTACTTGCTTTTCTTGGCACGAATTCACTAGCATCTTCGCTCAGTCAGAGGTGTATTTCCGGCCCATTCCGCAGCTTCTAGGGATTTCGGACAGGGCGCCCGTGCGTGGGAAGCTTGTAGTCAATATGTGGTTGACGCAGTCCCCGCCACGTCAAGGCCAAGTACGTCCTGCGCGTACGCGGAAGTGCACTGCGTCGCTCTTTCCCTCTCGACTTCGATTTCTCTACTGTGCAGTCTCAGCTTCAGCTGGCATCCCAGCACTGCATTGTGACGGCCTCCCCGGTTGCAGTTCGCAGCCCGGACCGCAAGCGACTTCGCCGCAACGAAGGAGAACCTGCTCACTTCCCGCTGGACCCGATGGAGGTTACTACGAATGGCTCGACACAGTCCTCTCTGTCACCAGCAGCGAAGGTAGCGGCCATACTCACGACACCCCAACACGGGCCACCGTCGCTCCGCGCCGAGGCAGAGAGGCAGCTGGACAAGCAACAGTTCCAAGGACGGCGGCAGTGTCAACACACCCACTCACCAATGAGGAATTTGAAGGCCTTCCTCATTCACGACGACCAGCTGAGCCTACTCCAGCACCAGCCCGCGCTGGTCTACAAGATTCTCATGGAGCATGGGCTGTCCCGTTCCCTCCTGTACTGGGTGAAATCGTGGCAGGGTGGACTCAAACAACTTCGCCCTGGCGAAGCCCATCCAGATGGCTTTTGCTCTGTAGCGGTAGCCACCGTCCTGCTTCATGAGCTTACCAAAGGCAACCCTCCGCGGGATTTGGACAAGACTGACTACGGCCGCTTTCTCAAAGTCGTGGACTCCCTGATCAACATCACCACTCCGAAAACCAAGCTCGCCAACGACGTGGTGCATTGCTCGGCTCGGCCTAACAAGCTCAAGTCCCACGTCATTGTGGACTTCAGGGTCGCCATTTACTCGGACCTCATGCCCTACACCTCCATGCTTGCCTCCATCTTTGACTCCTACGACTGTGAGCGACTTGGCAAGAAAGCGCCAGGCCGCCGAATAAGTCGTTGATGGCTACACTGCTCAGTGGTTCCTTTTAAGTTTCAGTCTCTCAGCGCAGTCCTTTCTTTCAACAAAGTAGGCCGCGGAAAAAGTCATTCGCACAGCAGGGGACGTGAGGCAGCTTCATCAGCATTAGCAGTCTTTTGCGCAGCTTGGCCCGAACACCGAAAGTTAAGCACCCAGCGCACGGGCGAATGGAGTTCTCTGACCTGCCCGGACCGGACCAAGTCCCGCAAGGCCTCTGAGATAACTGCTGACTCCACTGGCCCTTCTGACGAGGGACCGCGACATGTTCGTCGAGGTGCCCTGGCTTCGGGCAAGGCTCGTCCGAGACATTTGTTGTAGATTCTCGACTTCGATCAGATTCGATTGTCATTTCTTTCATCCTGCAGCCTGGCACCGCCACGCATGCATCTCAAGTGGCACCGCCTCGGAGATCTTGCAGTGCGTCTATTTGTCGGTCTCCTGACCTGCAGCCGAGTGCATTCTTCAGCAGACCGGCCGTTGTTTCGAACGAGCCTTGATGAAAACAGTCGGCTCGATGTCCCATCCATTGGAATTGATAATATTACGGTTGGCCTCTGGCCACTCACTGCAGGTACTTCAGATCCCCGCCGTCATTCCCTTACGGCCCACCGTTTGATGCATGAGTTAACTAGTGTGGGACGCCACTAGATTCTAGACAGGAACTCAGGGCGGCTGCCCCTGGAGGGTACGACCCAACTGCCATCAAGTGCGTGAGCACTGGACGCAGTGGCTCACACTTAGGGTGTCGGAGGACGTCGGAGGAGGTTGAGTCGTCTCTAGTAGAGTCAGTTTCCTCGTTTCACGAGTGCAAGGGAGCAACAGCGCCCGCAAAGCGCAGAGCACGCTCGCGCAGCGTTCAGTTGAAAAAATAGTAGTAGTAGTAGTAGTAGTAGTAGTAGTAGTAGTAGTAGTAGTAGTAGTAGTAGTAGTAGTAGTAGTAGTAGTAGTAGTAGTAGTAGTAGTCGTAGTCGTAGTCGTAGTCGTAGTCGTAGTCGTAGTCGTAGTCGTAGTAGTAGTAGTAGTAGTAGCATTGGAAGAAGAAGTAGTAGTAGTAGAAGTAGAGGTTGAGGTAGAGGTAGACGCAGAAGTAGAGGTAGACGCAGGAGTAGAAGAAGAAGAAGAAGTAGTAGTAGTGGTAGTGGTAGTAGGAGGAGTAGAAGTAGCAGCATCGGAATTTAGGGGTCTAGGGCTCGAGCTGTTGGGGTTTTGGGCTTGAGGGCATCAGGGGTTGCCGTTGTTTTGGGTAAGCTTTAGGGTTTTGGCTTTTAATTTGAGGGTTTGGGGTGTAGGGTTTTGGGCTTCTAATGGTTTTGGGCTTCAGGTGTCTCAGGCCTTTGCGCTTTCGGACTTCAGGGCTGTAGGGGTTGAAAAGTTCTTGGGGCATTATGGCGTTGGCTGTTTAGGGTTTTAGGCTTTTAGGGGTTTAGGGCTTTAGCGCTTTGACGGTTTAACGCCTCAAATAGCTTTCGGGCTTTCGGGGTTTGCGTTTTATCTGCTTTAAGGGGTTCGAGCTTTGGGGTTCCAGGCTCTCGGGGTTTAGGGCTTTGGGGGTTTAGGGGCTTTTAGGGATTGATGGCTTTAGGGGTGCTTTAGGGTTTTAAGCTTTCAGGGGATTAGGGCTTTCGGGCTTTAGGGGTTTGGAGTTTTAGGGCTTTATTTTTTTGGACACGTCATTTTATAGAGGCCCGTCGCGGGGGATAGCAAAACGGGGATGATATCGACTTGGCATGGCTGCAGGTTCAGCTTGCACGTCAGTTCAGAGAGGCAAGTTCCTGCCCGAAAGCAATGGCCCGAGTAGGAGGAGTCCCTGTCACAGCTCGCTCGCTGGAGGGATCTTCGAGCGAAATTGGGCTCGCAACGACGTCCCGGGTCCTTCAAGCAATTGGATAATTAGTTCCGAAAGCATCATTGGGTAGAAAACCTCCAGCGCGGACGATCGTAAAACCCCCAGTTCGAGCGGACGATCGGCGCGTGAAGATGGCTAAGCCAGTTTCAGGGTCCACGTCCCTTAAGCAAGGGTGATGATGTGGAAAAGTGCTGGGTGGCAAACCCTTGAATCGAATTTCACAGGGCTGGTTGAACACCTGGCAAATACCACCGTGTCAGCACAAAAACCAAAAATGTGCCAGTTTCAACAGATTCTGACAAGGCTTTCGTTCCGGGACCACCAACGTAAGGCAACTGCTTCCCGGCAATCCTAGCTTGCCGCAACGGTGCTACTTGAAGCCATTTGTCAAAGTACTCGTGCTGTTGGTAGTGCGATCGATGGTGATGGCAATTTGCACAAAAAGCATCGTTCACGCATTGCCTAAAGGTTCTTCCCGCACATATACAGAGATATACGCATGCACAGATATTGAGATATTTGCATACGCGTATTATGTGAGAGAAGATGCAATCTTCGATGGTAGCACGTTAGTTTCAAGTCCAGACGTTGGGGTTCGGGCTGGCAGTTTACCTGTGGCGCTGTCGTGTCGTGGTGTCGTCTCCCCGGCCGAGGTCCGGTCTGCTACAACGCACTGCCACTTGCGAGTGGCTAGGCTTCCAGCTAGGCACAGTGCTCCTTTAAGCACGCGAAAGTGTGTGTGCGTGTGTGTTGAGCTTCGTTGGAACCGAGGCCAAGGCTTTTCATGCGGTGCTTGCACGCCTTTGCCGTGGACCTACTGTGCCTAGATTCAATCCGGCCTCACGGGTGATGCGGCGGCATTGTCAGCGCAGACGCAATGCTTGGCAGCATCTTGGTTTTGCTTCGTGCTCCTTTCCGAGACGAGCTTGCGATGGGTGCTCGCGGAAGTAGCACCGAACTCCAAGAGGACTGGTGATCGCTTCTGCATTCCTGTATGAGCAGGAGTTGATAGCTATGATACGAGCTGTTGCATTGATGTGCGTGGCTGACCAAAGGACCATATAGCTTGGGCAACGGAAATCGCCTTGGCTTGCGCCTCTGCGGGAGGGCATATGAGTTTTGGGAGCATGAGAAGGAACAGTCTGTGCATTTTTGGTCGTGTGCGTGGAGCGGAGCTGCAAGTTGCAGTGGGTAGCAAAGTAATTTGCAGGCCGAATCTGGACTCTGCGAGGCCGACCTGAGGCAGATCGCTGTAGGCAGCCTGCAGGCATGTTCCGTGTAATAGAGTCGCTCTGACTGCAGCGGTCTCCCCTTCTCAATTCTTGGGGTTGCTCCAGGTGTGCGCAAGAGTTTGCATGCTGGCTGGGAATGCCAGGCCAAGCTATGCAGCAGTGGTTAGCTCCGGTGTGATTCCCGGAGTTTCTGTCAGCAACGGGGGCATTCTAGAAAAATGGCTCCTTGTCTTCTCCGAAAGCTCCCGTTTGATTCGTCAAGAAGCCTGAGCAAATGCTATTGATTGGGTGGAGCCTGCCCCAGCCGTGCTTCGGCATCAGCAAAAGGACAAGCTGACAAGCTAGCTCAAGGCTGCAGGAAGGCCCTCCGCTGTTGAAGGGCACACTCAAGCCACACTCAAGAGTGTTTTGGCCAAGATCGCATTAACGCGTAGGGCAGAGGCGATGGTGCAACGAAACCTGTACAATCTGTACAACAAAAAAGCTACCTCGCTGAGAGTGCTGCAAAGCTTTTTAACTCGGCCAACCGTCACCAGACCACACCCAGGGGGCTGGAGCGACTTTTGTAGCATACTCGTCTATGCGGCATTTTGCTTTCTTACCAGATGCAGCGCGGTGCCGCCCACCAGACACCGGATGCCATCTTTAGGTTTTTGGGAGGCTTCTCAGCATGAGCAATCAGTATTCATCCGACGACAGGCTTTAACGGGATCAGTCGTTAAGCACGAGACTAGGAAAATGCTCAAACTGGATCAAGCAGTTCCACGGGCTTTGGGATCACGAACATCGGTACGTCTTCGCTTCTTGCAGGGAAGTTCAGGAATTTATTTGGTGGGTGGCATTTGCTCTTCAACTTCGTCTCGTCAGACGGCACAGTCTGCTCGAGTTCCTGCAGACCCGATCTGACGATTGTTCTTCCATCGACTGCGGCGAACTCTCGGAAGCACACAAAGGAAGGTATTCCGCCAGGGGTAAACATGTCTAGCGGGTTTCGGGACAGCCGCTCATCGAAGTTGCTTCACGACAGCCAGTCATGCTGCCTGTTGTTTGTCCCAATCAAGGATGCTTGGCCGGTGTTATCGAGTCGCCAACGACGTCATCTCTGACACAGGCAGAGATGCTGCGGCAACGTTGTGATCTTGACATAATGTAAATCGCGACAAGCAGCTGCAAGCTTGGCCTTGGTTGGGAAGAGAGGGCCGGCTGTTCTCTGAAAAGGCCTTGGCTTGGCGTTGGCGGCTTGGGTTGGCACGCTGCCGGCCCAGTCGCAGCAGTCTTCGGTGCACTGCTCCAGTACTAAGTTGTTCTCTTCGAAAGCTTTATAGATCTCAGCTTCGAATTCTCAACTGAAGAACTGGAAGCATCCACACCGAAGTCGCGAATACCAAAGTATCAATCCTGAGCTCCGAAGCCGCCCCACCCGTATCGGGACCTTTCCTCTGCGATGAAGGAAGCTGTGAAACTAGTGTTACTGGGCCCGAGCCTGATCGTACTCAGTGTGTTGTCATGCTCATCCGAGTGCCTGTATCGAGCTGTGCAGAACCGCGGATCTGACCTCTCGAATCGGAGGCGCCTTGAGCTCCCAACAAAAGAGGTTAGTTAGTGCGGCCTCCTTCGTGCTTCGGATTGGTAGCGGAGCCGGGGTGACGACCTTGACCCGCTGACCGCACTTGTGCTGAACGTTCCCGGACTGGACGCCCTGCTTCGCGTCCGATTACCTGACCCTCCGTTTTGTGACAAAGTTCTTTATGATCTTTACCGTGCTTTGTGAGCCACGAGCTCCTACTCGTGTGTTTTGGTGACCTAGGCCTTCATCAAGCCAGGTGATCTTAACGAGGCTGCCGCCTCGGCGTTTTTGCTGCTGGGATCCCGAGCTTTGTTTGTGGTCCTGGCCCAAGTGCTGCACCATTTCGGCTGTGGGAAGAGTTGAAGGTGTGGAAGTGCGGTGCAGTGGAAGCGTGCTGTGAGCCTGCAACAGCGGCCCCTCGGACTTTCACGAGGAATCCTATCTCCGGTGCGGACCAGATCCCCAACGGCGGCCACTGCGCCCTAGGGGGGGCTGACGGTCTCGATGGCTCAGCTGGCGGAGTCAGGAAGTCCACCAATTACCGGATGGAAAGTGCCGAGAAAGAGAGTAGTTGATAGAGGCGCGCGAGCGCCTGCTTTCCTCCTTGATCTCCATCCCAGTGTGGCTCACTTGTCCGTGGAGGATATCACCTCGGAGAATGGCTGGAAGGAGGTAGTGCCGAGCACCGGCTACCTGGCCACGAAGCAGACAGAGCTTCTGAACTTCGCAAGCAAGGGCGTGGATCTGCTCGGTAGTGATGCCGGCCAGCACTTGCTAGGCCACCTGGTGATGAGGAAGGGCGGCTTCTCACAAGATGAGCAGCGGAGGATCCGCGTCTGAACAGACGGGTCCATTGACTTCCGGAGGGTGGAGCTGGCGATCGGAAGGTGTTTGCTGACTCGGTGGATGATGTCGGGCTGTACAAGGGCCGTGCCACAGATTGGGGCGAGTACGGTGAACGAACGGAGGAAGACCTGCGTAACTACTACGGCGACCAGCTTGACTTTGGCGACCAGGTCTACTTCGGCGACCAGGTCTACGGTGAGGATTGTGATCCGTTCGAGGACTTTGGCTTGAGGTTGACGACGGTGGCTCCGCCTTTTCCTCAGATGCTTGATGAGGACGAAGCGGTGGCCTACATCGGCGACCTTCTGTCGTATGTGTACGGTGAGGCCGCTGGGCGATGGAATGCAAAAGGGCAAAAGCGAAAGGGAAGGAGCTGCCAGGCTTCTCTGGAAAAGGGTTTGGCATCTACGGAACGTATGCCGATCATCGGAAGGCCGCTTCGGGAATGGGCCAGTGGCCGCCCAAAGATCAAACACGTCAACGTTGTGAACAAGACGATCGCCGAGCTTGAGCGGACCAATGACTCATGCGGATTCCGCTTCAGAACGGCATGTGGATATCGGTCAGCGACGTTTCAGTGGCCAACGATTCGGAGAAGTCCCAGGGTGGCCCTGTAGACAAAGAGGGGGCCCCGGCGATGTTCAGCATAAACTGCTGTCGATCTCACCGCCTATCGGGTTTTGAAAGCATCTTTGGGTTCAGAAGCTCTGGCCACGGATGATGTTTTGGCAGAGCTGGAGTGGCTCAGGGCCATGTTTGCCGAATCACATGCGGAAAACTCCACCTTCTTCGATGGTGGTCGCTTTGGGCCTGACCTGGGGAAATGCTTGAGGAGTCTGACTTTGACGTCAGACCCACTCGCAGCATTCCGTGTGAATAGATGAAACAGTCTTCGATGTCGTTGTCTGCTTTTTGAGGTGACCATGGTTGGACGGAGTTGCAGAAGGTATGGGTCGAGGCAGCCTGTTTGGCACACATTTATTGGGTAAGTCAGCGAACGGATCCAGCAATCCACCGTCAGCGTGTGAAGTGCCCTTCCTCGGTTTCGGGGTTGCAGGAGTGAATTGAGTTGCGGGCAGGTGCTGCGTGAAGCTCGGCCGGGTGGCAGCCGCCCCATGTCGGCAGAGAAAGCCATCCTGCGTCTGGCGACTCAGAAGAGGGTCGGGAGCAGGGAGCGAAGAAAACATCCTTGGGTCCAGAGTCCAGGTGTGCGAACTGCATGGCAGCGCCAGGCCGGTCGCTGGCCTCCCAGGGTGTGGCACAGACGGAAGGCAGCTAAGCTGCTAGTGTCGGTGCATCTAATCGCCGCAGCCAAGGTCGGCAGGCGATCAATACGAACTCTGAGGCCATTCACAGCAGCAGCCAACTTCAGCTGATTGGATTCTTCGTTCTCCATGTTTCATGTAAGCTTGCTAGAGCTGTTTGTCGAAGGTGCCGTATTTGTGGTTAACACTGATGCACATAGGCCCAAGCCCTTGAAAGGCGCGTTTCACCACGCTGAAGGGTTGAAGGGAGCACGCTTCATTTTCTGCGGGCAAAGCTTGAAGCGCAGGTTTCTCGGTGGAAACCCCAAAATCCCTTTGCAGTCGCAGGAAGCACGAAAACACGACAGCGGCGGCTGCAAAGACCGAAGCACCCGCACACAAAGATCAGAACGTAGACAGCAACATGGCAGATGTGTCGGACGATGCGCCTTGAACTTCAGCAGTGGGGCATTACCGCCAATCACCACCGAAGCCTGACGGCATCATCTCGGTTTTACTTCAAAATCTTCAAAACGTAGTGTAACCAAATTGCGCAATATACACCTGCATGAGTCAGGTCGCCCTTCGGTCCGTTACCCGCCATGTGCAGCAGCAACCGACAGCCGTTTGTTGGCCAGCTATTGATTTTTTGTGGCCCTTCGTGCCCGTGGATTGGTCACGTCTCTGCTCAAGTCTTTGTTGTCTGCGCTAGTTGCACGCGCAGCCTTCCGATTGCAGACAGAAGTCAGTGGTGTTTGCCGTGCTGTTCAGATGTGCGTAGTGGCTGGCGATGGACAGTCGCCGAAGTGGCTTTGAGCTGCCCGGGGAGCGAGAGGAGCAGGAAACAACCCCGGCTTTATAATGCAATTAGCAGCTTGAATTTTGGAAGTTCTTCGACAACCGTATGCGGTCTTTTGCGGTTTGAGAGTCATAGAGGCGCCAAGGAGAGGCCTGCATCTCCTTCAACTCCTTGGAACTTCCTTGGACTTTCCATGGCTTCCTGGGAGGTGCGGCTCAGTCGACGGGTTCAACGCTTGGCTGCCTCAAACCTGCGCAGGCGGGGTGCCACTTTACGTTCCGCCTTTTCTTGTGGCAACACTAAAGGGTTCTTGCATTGGAAGCAAGGAAAATGTTGATTGACATGGCTGCGCGGCGCTCCTCGAAAAGGAGCTGCCCGTGCTTTTGTTTTTTCGCGGCAAACGCGAAGCCTTGCGGCCATGCGGGGGACCCGACCACTTTTGCTCTCGAAACCAGGGAGGCGCAGCAATATTTGCGGGAAAAGATACAAATCTTGCAAGGGGGAGCATAAATAGGCTGCTAATTTGGGGGACAGTAGTTTCACGCTGGTCCCCGACCCGCCAGTACTTGGCGAATGTATTCCCGCCGTGCTCGCGCTCCGTGGTTGGGGAAAAGCCGTGGTCTCCTGGTGCCCCGGGCCGTGGTCTGATCTCTTGCTGGCCTCGTGCTTGTCTCTTCGTGGTCTCCTGGTGGTCTCCTGGTCCTGGTCGTCGTGCTCATCCTGCTTCGCGGCGCTCGTCGTGGATGGTAACATGGCGTAAATGCTGTAAAGCAACTAGTTGCTAGTTGCGACCTGTGTTTAACCTGTGTTTCCACCCAAGCAATTCAAGCTCGTTCGCATGTGGCAGTGGACGTGACTTTCTGGTCCGAATGGCATGCTTCTGGTATGGTCTTTCACTGTCTGGGGATTTCCTCTGGCATCATGAGGCCAAGAACATGTACGCCCTTTCAGTGCTGTCCTCGATCACAGGTGTGCAGCTGCAGATGCTCGCCTGAAGGTTGGGGCCACAGGGTTCAAGCGCTGTGTCAGTGAGGAGTTCTTAACAGCTGTGATCTTGGTGGATGCCAGCCGTCTCAGGAGCTGGTGACCCAGGCTGGCAAACGATGGGAAGGGATTCTGAGGAGGGCCGCTGGCGGCAAGGGATATGCCAAGAGGCGAAGATCGGACAGCTGTCAGCCTCGTCAGACCTAGTCTCCGTTTGCAGTTCAGAAATGGAAGACGGATTCCCTTCGGCCGCACATTGCACCGTGTGAGTTTCACCAGCTCACGTGTTGGGGGTGGCCAGTGCAGTCCACATGCCTGGTATGCCTCTCTAAGGATCCCGAAGAAGTATCTTTTCGCAGGGACAGATCTTGCTGCAATAGGCTTCTTTGCCGATCAGGATGAAAAGAGACGTGGCGCAAGTTCACCGTCTGACCATGTCCTGCCATTGCGGTCTTCGTATCGAAAAGCTTGAGTCTGCCTCATCTCGACATGGCTCGATGCAAGCTCTCAGCATTCATAGCCTGTGTGTTCAACAAAGTGTCCACAGTCTCTGCGAGACTGTCTTACTTTGTGACTGAAGGTCCAAGGGTCAGCACTGCCTAGAGGTGAGCATGTGAGTCCAGTCAATGTCAAGCTCGCTCTCGACGTGGAGACCCTGGAGGCATCCGGGGTTCCCAGCATTGACATGGCCATCGGCGTCTTGCCGCCATTTGGATGTGGACTCCTTCTTGACAGGACGACAGCGGCCCAACAAAAAAAGAAGTACTACGAGGCCAGTGTGGTGAAATCTCTCTGGCATTTGTCAGCATCTACACATGGCTTGTTGGCTCGAGCCCCTGCGCAGACGGTCCTGGAGGAGCGAAAGGAGCTGAGGCCACTGTTGCACGGCTTTTTGGCTGACGTTCTTCGGAATGTCTTGAGGCAACAGCTGGACGTCAAAGAAGCTCAGCATGTAGCTGCAATCAAGGAGGCCCCGCTTGCACGATGTCTGGATGACGGCATGTCCATTTACTTCGAGGTAGCGCAAGCATCTGCAGGCATCGGACCATCAACGAGCTCTCTTTGGTGATGCACGCCAGACTGTTTGGGTTCTACAGGTAGGCACGGAACTCGAATCCCAGTCCTAGTTTTTGAAGATTGAAGAACTTTGCTTCTCCGTTGTCGATGCAAGATCTGTGTATCTTTGACATTTGACCAGAGCCGCTGGATGAGGGTTCTGACATGGCAGCTGCTGGTGGCGGAGCCACGTCTTTCGCACGGATCGGGATTGCATGCCGACTACGACGCTACGCATTTGCCGCGTGATGCAGATCTGTACAAGACCACATGTGGAGAACAACACACTTCAATACTGGAGGCGCGCCTGCCTCGCGAGCCTCAAACGCATCATGTCCTCTAGCGCGTGTCACGTGAGCATGTGCATGAAGATCTGCAGGCATCAAGCAATGTGCATGGCATTTTGCGGAGGGTGCCTCGGATGGTGACTGAGGCCGCGCTCCCAGGCCGCTGTCAAGTTGCTTTCATCGCGTCGTCTTGTGCCTGTGGAAGGGCCGGGTAGCCGAAATGGACTCCGTCCGAGAATGCTCAGTGGTTCTCCAAACCCCGTGGCAGCGCATCATAAAGCCGAGAGAATGATGAAATTCTCAAACTCTTGCCTGCCGCGGTTGTGGCCTCGGGTACATATCACAGGCGACAGTAGGGATCACGTGCGGCCGAATAGAGCTCAACCGACTTCTTTCTGAGTGGCCAAGTTGCGACGACATGTCTGGCATTTTGGCCTTGTTGTTGCCATTTGAACTCGTTTCATCACTGGCAAACTTTGGTTTGATTTGCATTAGCACGTCACAGCCACGGTCGATGATACGTAGCGCTTCGCACCCACGGGGGGCCCTTTGCAACAGCCAGGTACAGACGTTGCAGGAGAAGCTCCGTCAAAAGAACGAAGCATCTGAAGAAGACCGAAGGTTCGGCACTCGTCGCAGGGATCCGCCGGGGCTTCACGTGGCCTCGAGAGGCGCCTAGACGAAGCTGAGCGTCGTGCCGAAGACGCGCAAAGAAGATATGATCAGGAAGCGGCGACAGTTTCTCGGTCTTGCCACCCTAAGTTCAGGTGGGTCTAGAGAGCATTCCATCCTGCCAATGCTTGATAGCTGTGCACATCTCGTACTGTCACCCCTGAAGCATTTTGGAAAGCCTGGTGCAAACATTTGCCTTAGCCTCTCCCTTCCTCCAAGGCTTTGGCACACCGGCAGAGCCTCACGGATCTGCAGCGGAATTACGAGTCGGAAAGGAGGCCGAGTAAAGGAGCAAGCCCATTATTCGTGTTGCAGAGGAGAGAGCTGATTCTCTGCCAGCGCGATTCTCTGAAACTGGTGGTGCCTAAGTGCCGTTGCTGTTGCGACATGTTATCCGGGTCGTTCCAGGCCCGGCATCCAGTAAGGCAGAAACCCACGTGTGGAGCAATGGATAAAAATTCACATCTCGCTTCATGACCGCTGGTCAGGTTCGCTCCAGAGTGTTCCGTGCGACCGCCCCAAGATGAAACGGGCAACCAGAAAACCAAAATGCTTATCCTCCAATCTGCCATGTGTGCTGGAAGTGGAGATACAAACGCTCAAGATGCGTGATGATGTGTGGACCGACCTTCGGCTTTCAGTGCAGAAGCGGCCGCGACATTCTGCAGCAGCCCGTTTAGCTTCCCTGCACTTGCCGCAGGTCGCCCGAAACCCTTACAGCGCATCGGCTTGCCACTGTCTCAAACATGAAAATAACTCGTCTTTCCTTTTTGCTGGAGTCGTCCATTCTCTAAAGACTTGCAGGAAGCCGTTACAGAAGTGCGAAGCGATGTGCCCTACGAGAACGCCAGCTGCAATTCGGAAGTGGCCATACTGCGAGAAGCTGCATCACGTGAGCTAAACAAATTTCGAGCGGCACACAATATCGCTAGGCCCAAGTGCTGTCGATCACCGTGAGATGCACTATAACGGAGAACTGATTTGATATAGCCATTGGCCGCCTAAGAGCGTTTCAACTTGAACCTTGAATCTCAAGAGGTTGGCGTGGAAGTTACATTTACTGTGCTCCAGAGCATGAAAGGCAAAAGGATGATGCGCAGAAGAAGGCACAAGAAGCCTGCAGTACCGCAGAAGAGGCGCTGCGAGCTTGGGAATCCAGCTTGGGAATCAATCACATTTGTAACCTGCGCTAGGCAGACGGAAGAATCAATGACTTGAAGCAACTACCATAGTTCAAGAGCAATCTAAGGTGACGCTGCGCAACCAAGCATTGGAGAAGCGCTTGGTGGAAACGGAAGACTTGCTTCGGAAAGAGAAGGTCTTTCAAGAGGTTAAGCCTGTGGACGCCACTGCACATGTGGGGCTGGCAGGAGAAGAACCGACAGTTGGAAGCGCGGCTGCAGAGCCTGGAACGTACCGTAAAGGCCTGGCAACAAGTTACGCGTGTCTCTGCAAACATGACTAGGCCACCTCAGCGCCCTCTGCTTCTGTCTGAGTGGAACTGTGTGGAACTGTGCGACGAGGCTCTGGAGGATAAGGCCGATGCAGCAGCGCAGATGGGGCGCGCAGAGGGTGCATCCGAACTGGCAGAAGTAAAAAAGAAACATGGCGTGAACTTTAAACACTTTGTGTCGATGAAGCCATGCAGAGTCGAGCGCTTGCGCACGTTTTTGTCTTGATTGTTGCATTCAGGAAGTATGCGGAGCTTAGCGCAGCCAAAGACAAGGAGCTGCAGGCCACTGGGCTGCAGACACGATCGACCTCAAAGTTGAGTTTCATCTTGCTGAGGTGGCACTGCTGGAACTGCAAGCTTTAGCACAGGGCCAGGACGGTACGTGGGTCGTTTCAAGCTTGTCGCTTTGTGCTGCTGGTCTGCTCGTAGAGAGCAGCCATAGATGGCAGTGGTGCTTTAGTCGCTGTCATTCTGACAGCGGGGGCTGCAACGGCAGCAGGACTAGGAGGAGCATAAGCAGGAGAAGGAGTAAGGTTGAGTGGAGCGCGAATCTACCGTCGGAAAGTTTGTCGCCGTTAATGTTAGAGTATGCTGGGAGCTTCGCTGCAAAGAACAGTCGCCCATCATTCTCTTCGCACCACGAATTTTCGGCATTGCAGGATTGAGAGATTCAAGCTGGCAGTTGCTTTCCGGGAGTTTCGGCCTCAGTTTGGGTTGTGCAATGTGCCAGGAGCTCCTTCGTGCAGAGCTGCGGAATAGTCTCCGGCCACTCGTGTCACCGCCCTGGCCGAGCCTCTCGCCCCCGCCCCGCTCGTGGCTCAGATCTCGCAGCCTGCCTCGCAGTCTCGACTTCAGCTTCTCGGCTCCAGGTCCCCTGCCTCGCATTCCCACGATTCCCTGGCACCGTCGAGTGTCCAAGCCGCTCGGATCCAGCAGCAAAGAAAGCCCCGTCCGATGCTTGCTTGCTGTGGGAGCTCGGATGAACGTTTGGGTCGTTTAGAGTAAAGCACCAATCGAGCTAATGTAAGCGCGGTCAGCACGAGATGGTTCATGAGGTCGGTCCTTCCTGTGAACAGAGGGGAACTTCCGGCCTGTGGAGACTCGATGCTTGCTACACCTTTCCCTGGAACCTCTACATTCTCTACAGAGCCCATGGCCGCAAGCACGTTCGACAGTGGGGAAGGGCAGAGGCTCGACTTTCCTGCAGAACCGCTGGTTCAGAAACGCTTTGCGCAAGTGTCGTGATTCTCAATGGAGCCTCGACGTGTCCACGCTTCCTTGGACCTCTGCCTCTCTCCATTGCTTTTGTACCTGGACAAAGCATCCGGGACTGCGAGCCGCCTTCAAAAGGCCTCCCATCCCTCCGACCCGGAAACCGTGACACCATCGTGACACTATGGTAACCTTTGAACACAAAATCCGTAGTCCCATTGCATGCAGAGTCAATGCAGAGCCTGAACATCACGTCTCCGGAGTAGGCACGCCGTTCTCAGTTGTGCTGTAGGCTAATGTGACCCGACTATCTTGCACCTGTCAAGATCCAAGAAGGCTGCCGTGCACCGGAGTTCCACAGGACAAGGCTAGTACTGAGGTACATCTTCTTGTGATGCATTGACTTGCTGCCAGTGCGGACTGGAGGTGACCCATAAAGCAAGGTGTATGACATTCATTTCTTTTCTTTCAGATTGAGGGTATTCTGATTTTCTGCAACCTTTCAACACAGTAGCTCTGGCATGTTTTCGTCACGTTAGCATTCCTTGCTGTATGGATGCCGGTTGTGCCACATACCTTGTGCAATGCCGGCAAAATCGTCGCGGGATGTCCAGAGCTTAGAGCCGAGAGATCGTGCCCGCAACTTCACGGCACGTGCCGTGCATCCTAGGACCTGGAGGCTCCGCGGCCTGCGCCGCAGGCCATGGATCAACCTCGAGGTGCGGAGGTAGGCCTGGGCTGCGCAATGCCGCGCAGCTGTGAAACAGGCGTGTATCTCAACGTGGATGACCTGGCCAGGTCCGACATTGCCAGGCCGTGTGTCGGAAGCTGAGTATACCTGGCGTCAAGAAGTAGACTGAGACAAAGCGTGATGAAGGAAGTCATGGTGACACACACTGAGGCAGGCAGAGAAAAGGGGAAGTCAGGTGCAACTTCCGTACTGTGTCCAGATCGGTACAAGTCGACTTGCTTCAAACATAATGCAGCTTGACGCACTTGAGGAGCTTTGTGGGGGAAACGTCGTGCAGCAAGGTGGTGCAGCTCACAGAACATGTCTTTGTTGATGCCCCTTTGGTGCCTCAGTCCTTCCTTCGAGCAATGCCTTGCAGATGCCATGCCTTTGACAGCGGAACTGGAAGAACTGATTGACAAGACCATCTGCGAAATTCAAGAGTTGGAGAGCCAGGACCTGGAAGCTTTGTGGTCACCATAGGACCATAGGACCATAGTCTCTGAGACACCACGAAGCATCTCGAAGCCGTGGGAGGAGAGGCAATGTCTATTGCAGGACTCAGACTTTTGCCAGGACTTGGCAGCGGACAGTTTCATAGCTTCCATTCTCAGCTCGAAAGTGTTGGCTCGTCGTGAGCACCGGCAGGAAGTCACGCCAGAGCTACAGCAGAACTTCTCCAAGGCTTCAGAGACTTCGCTTCTGATTTCGGCACGCTTTCCTCCGAATGATGGTTCCAGCCGGTTTGAAAGCTGCGCAGGTGGATGTCCCCAGTCCGCCTCAAATACCTCGAGCAAGACGTCCTGTCACAACAGGACTTCACGGCCTGAAGGGACTTCCACGTACTGCTAGAAGTATGCTACATCTGGATCGATCGTGTTTAAGGCCTCGCAGGCTTACAGAAGCCCCGTGTATTCGTGGCGACTTTTTCTGTTGGGCCTGGACTTCAACCAGGCTTTGGCCTTGATCGGGAAGCTCGGGCGTCGCACACGGTCGCAGTTTGATGTTTCGACAACTGTCGGAGGAGTCGTGAAACCGACAACTGTGCCGAAGATCATTGTCAGAGTTGTGTGAGGTGGGCCACGTTCCATTGTAAAGGCCCACGCACAAGACAGATGGACAGCATTGGACAGCAGGATCACTTCGACAAGCACGGCTAGTGCCGCTACAGGCTGTGTGTGCCAGATACAACACGACATGGCTATTTTGCAATCGTGATGGTATCTCCGATCATGCGAACATGACATATCATGACATCGCTGATGAATGAATCGTGAATCGTGTTTGCTAAACCTGACCATGAACGGTGCAAGCCTTTTTGCCTCCCCAGAGGAGCTCGTGAAGCTGAAGTGGAGGCTGTCGAGCACTGCCGACGATTCCTGGCACAAGCTTGCCGGCCGCAGGTGAAGATCAGGCCAGCTCTGCCGTGCTGATGGCTTGTGCTCACATGGTGCTCGCACTGTTGAGTGCCAGGACGCCCTATGCTGTTCCGAAGTTCGATTTGACAGATACGGAACTCAGACGTCCTCTTGACGCTCGGAGACGCAAAGTGCACATGGAGCGGGAACATGCAAAGGGTCACATTTTGGCATTTTCCTCTCGCCGAGGAGAAGTCTTTGGAGTCGATGTCCTTCGACCCTTTGGCGTTCCGAATCCTGCGCCGATCTGCTTGGTGAGACTCAGGGGACATATCCGACATGCGTGGGGGGCTCTCAACAGTCCATCTTGCTCTTGCCACTTCTTGCATCATGCGAGCTCCAGCATGTTGCTGCATGTGATCAAATTATCAACTTTAACACTTTCGGTTCAAGCCTTGTGTCATCGTTCTTTCATGGCCAACGTGAGGTTGAATACACAAACTTGCACGGAGGTGTCAAACCATCTTTAGTAGCCCAACCCCTTTTGCTCACAACATGGGCTGCACACAGGCCACCGCTTTGCACTGCATTTTATTCGAGTCAACCCGACGCTTCTCAAGTCCGGGACTTCCTCAGTCTTGGTCTTGACCCTTTTTGAAGAGTGGGCGGTGTCATGAACTTCGCTCGCAAAAGCCTTCCTGACACTGTTGCCGTTTACTCTGGCTCACAGCTTTGACACGACTATCGGCACGTGAGGGCCACAGAAGCCGGAGTCAGCAGGCGGTGCTTGGAAGAGCGAAGTGGGTCAGCCACTCGAAGAGACCATACTGAGCCACTGAGACATGAGCAGTGAGTGTTATGAATTCCAATTTGTTTTGTCGCTGCGATGTGTTGGCTGCCTCGAAAAGGCCGAGAGCCAGGAAGCCAATGCTCGCACAGCATAGCCAGATAGGTCCCTCGCAGCTGTACCTGTAGCCGTCGTTTTTCGAACGGATGCCGCATAAGCTACCAGCCCTTTGAACGCTGGTGAGCCGATGGTTTGTGCTGACGGCGGTCATGGCACCTCCTGCCTCAGGCCGTGTTTTGGTGCCTGGGCACCAAAATTCTCAGATGTTCCTCGAGGTCCTGGCGGCCCTGGCGGTGTTCCACCACTCCCGGCGCTTCTGCGAGGCCCAGGTGTGGCGGCTTTTCTAACCACGACGTTGCCGTCGTCTGCACTCCATCCGCTGCAGGACGAGAAACGAGGAGACACGAACGGTTGCAGACCAAGTTGTGATGCGAAGCCAGCTCAAAAACCTAAGCAGCGCTTCGTCGCCTCTTCAGGGCGCAACGAGAGTATGGAGTCCGCAGCTGTTTGTTTCATTTTCAGATTTCTTGGCAGAGCATTTTGCAACGTGTGAAGAGGTAGATCCCTCGCAGATTCAACTCTGCTGCACACTTGATGTCATGGGGCTTGGACGGTCCCATTTCGTGCTAGCTCGTGCCATGTCCGACAAGGCCAGCAGACCCTCGACTGATCACCGCCGAGATTTCCAGGTTGGGGACGGAAGGCAAGGTTCACAATGTTGTTTCTTGAAGGGGTGTTTGCTTACTGTGAGCTTCGTTGCCGAGGTGCTTGGCAAGATGCGCTTCAAGTGGTCGAGTCCTTCCGTGCCAGTCAGGGGCAGGCGCTTTTCAATTGGCCAGTGCTCTTGTGGGGGGAGGGGGGGGGCAGATGCAGTTGTTGCAACTCCTTGCCCTGATCCAGAAAATCATCGGAGTGAGTACTTCGTGAATACTTGAGGAAGCCAGATGCCGGACCGGTCGCATGATGCACTTGCTTGGCTTCGTCCCTGCTGGGAGACTGTCGAGGGAAGAACCCTTTTCACTAGAAGTTCCACACTGTCTAGGCTTTGCGTTGGACTGTTGTTTGCTGGGCTGGCGTAAGGGGGCAATGACTCTTGCAGAGCCCCCTGGAAAGCCGGGAGGTCTCAGCGCCTTAAGCAAGGCTTTCCGCACTTCCACCCTGTGCAGCAAGTCGTTTTCTCACTCACTCAGTCACTCGCTCACGCACGATCGTTCTCTTCGCTAGCTTGCTTGTCCTCCTTTTGTGGCCTCACCGCGCTAAGCTCGATCTGGTGGCAGGTCAACATTTTCCACTACAATGCGGCCCTGGCTGCCTGTGGCATCTGGGTAGAATGCAGATCTTGATGTTTCGCTTTTTGCCGAGATACGACGATCTTGCAACACAGGCCGAGCAGATCAACTGTCTGTCGCAGTGGCCTACTCGCAGGACCTTCCGTCAGAAGAGCTTGTTCTTAGGCGAGCACTTGGAGGCATTTTGGAAGGAATGCATGACATGAAGCTTTTGCCACAACATCTTCAGCTTTTGCTGCTGCAGGAGATGCGAGAGGGTAGAGTCGCTTTGGATGTCCGCGACCGAGACACTTGCAGAGGTGAATGAGGCAGATCAAAGCCAATTTGGTTGTGCCTGATTCTGTTGGACACATCCGGCTTGTTAGGCAGATTGGTTTCTGAGGCCTACAGCTACGGCAGCTTGATGCGTGCAGCCGCGGGCAAGGGCGACGGGGCAACAGCGCTGGCCCTGCTCGAAGAGATGCAGACAGAAGGCACGGATGAAACTATGTTGGTGATGGTGAGGGTGATGAGGACGATTTGCGGAGGTAAGGTGATGTGATGATTTGAGGCGGTTGTGGTGGTGATGGTAATGGTGCGATACTGCTACTGCATACGTGGCGTGAGAGTGATGGTGGGGCTGGCGGCCGCAGAAGTGCGACTGCTTCACCTCACCTCTGGTCATGTACGCGACACATGTGTTTGTGGGCTCCACTTCGCGCACCTTAGAAATGAGAAGTCGGTGCAATCTTGCAGGCATTGCTGCCAATGCGGTGGTCTGCAGCTGCTTGTCCTTCCGTTCAGCACGGGCTCCCAGGTTTCCAGGTGCCCTGTGCCGAGGTGCAGCCGTTACAGCTCTTGTTCGCAGCGGTGACTGGCATCGAGCACTGGAGCTGTTCCAGGTGACCAAAAGCAGCTAGGCAGCCAGGTCCTGCAAGCTTTGACAAGTCAAGAGGTAACGCGGGAACGTGGTGAAGTTGTGGATGCAGCGCTGCTGACAGCTGCGCTGGCTGCTTGCCGCTGTGCTGGGAATGTGGCGACAATTCCTAGAGTTTGAAGCTAAGCTTGCCTTGCGAATCAGGTGGAGCTGGTGGGCGGTGGGAGGAGGCGAAAAGGGTGCTTGGTGCTAGATGCACACGCCTTTCGTGGTTGACATGATTAGAGCGAATCCGAACGACGGTTGTGAAAGAGCTATGCTTTCAGGCGTTGCAGCTTCTTAAAGATGTACCCGAGAAGTCGGAGCCCTGGAGCACTCGAGTTCAGGAAGCGTGGTTCTCGGTTTCCGAGGCAATGTGCGGATGTTCAAACCTGGAATGCTGCGATCGCTGCGTGCGCAAGCGCCGGCAGATGGAAAGAGGCAGCGCTGTCCAGAGCTGTGGCACTCGGACTCTATCCCTCTCTCCCTCTCTCGCTTTATGTCTGTATGTGCATGTACAGGCAGAGGCATACATGTATGTGGAGCGCGCTGGCCTTTTCAGGAAACAAGTGGTAAATTCAGGACACCATGATTCAGGAAATACCGTTGCTTTTTCAGGAAACTATGGGTTCTCTCCGTAAGTTGCTTGGGTTGTTTCGGCAATAGGCAACTACCTTTGGGGTTTAGGCTACGGTTCGGCAACTACCTTTAGGGTTTGGATTTGGGTTTAGGGTTTATCTGGGCTGAAAGCGGCGCCGCTTATGGTGAACATGGTTCCATGAACATCCCATCACCCTCTGTATGTGTATAGGTATGGGAATGGGAATGAGTATCTTTTGGGTATGCGTACGGGTGCGGGCACAGGCATGGGTATGTGCATGCATATGTACATGCGTGTGTGTGTCATCCCTGTAACAAAGGGCTAAGTAGCAGTGCAGGGGGCACGGCGCCGCAGCTGGAGCCGTGCCAACGAAGCTAAAACCTGTGGTGGAAGCATTCAGGGACGCTTGAGTGCTTACCTGCCAAGAGTCGCTCATGGGTCACTTGTGTAGCAGCTTGAGGATTCGTTTGTGATTGCAACATTCATGCACATGTCAGTGATGTTTGTGTCGGCTTTGTCAGTCATGTACGTGTGAGCCTTGAGTCCCACAGACAAAACGCAGCAGCTAGACAGTAAAGAGAACCAAGAGGTCTACTGCAAGTGTGTGTGTGTGATTACAGTAGAAGCCCAAAAGTTGGGAACCCCATAGCCCCGATCCTTAAGAGTAATGTATAGGGAATCCCAGCAATATTTGGCCTTAATCCGGTTTCCAACTTTAAGTGGTTTACTGTAGGTATTCCGGCATTGGGGTTCATCGTTCGAGCACTTCCCGGGATTGACCAGCTGTGGCATGGTGCATAGTTTGTGGGCTACCGACCACGAGGGTCTCCCCACGGGGAAGGCTGGCAGCAGCTAGGCGGTGAGCCTTTTGGAAGGCATTTCTATGGAAAGAAAATGAAGACGGTGATGGGGGACGAACGGTGGGACGAAGCCCGTGGGCAAAATCCTTCTCGAGGCCATGCAATCCGGACAAGCTGCCCGCCGGGCACGGAGCCGACGACCACTTCCGAAGACCCGCTTTAGCGAAACAAGGACTGCCTTTGCCCTGGGGTGTCAGCACGGAGAGCATCCATTGTTTGAGGGCGGTTTTCTGCCCTCAATTTCCTTTACTGTGCGTGGGTGGTCTTTTCGGAAGGTAAAAGAGTGTCGTGTGCCAATGACCCGTTCCCTCGACAGCTGCCACCTCAGAGCTTTATCGAGGGTGGCTGGGCAACTGGACCGGTTTATCAAGAAGATGGGAATGTCCGAAGAAGCAGTGCAGCTCAAAACCAGGCGCTTCGAGTACAACGGGCAGCCTGTCGAGGCCGACAAGGTCCTCAAGGAGAGGTCCAGGCGCGGGTCAGCGGCCGTTGTCGACCTCAATGACTGCCTTCCCGACCGCACCTCAAGAATGCCCTCTGGACTACTCTTCCCAATTCCGGCTTCGTGGATCTGGTGCTTGCGCTACAGATCAAGAGTGGTTCAAAATAATGAAGGCCGGTTCGTGGCCGTGGTCGGCGAGGATGTCCTGTGGACCGAAGAGGGCACCTCATCACCAATGGTGTTGCCAGGGGGAATCAGTTGTGCGTCGGGTCCGAAGATGAAACCCTTAAGGCAAATCAAATCCCAACAATTCGAAGATGAAACCCTAAAGCGGGCAGGCAGAGCAAACCCTGGGGTCAGAGTTGCCCCGAAGAAGAAACCTTAAAGCGAGGAGGGCAGGGCAAACCCTGAGACCCTAAGAAGGTGTCCCGGCTGTCGGGCCTGGGCTGGTTGTCCGGCTGTCAGGTCTGTCTGGGCTGTGCGGGTGTCCCCACTGCCTGGGAGGGGGGGCCTAAGAGGGGGGGTGATGATGGAATTGGGGCGCAGATGATTGGGGTCCCTAAATAGACGTCAAACGGCGCATACGGCATCCTCTGTCCAGGATACGACCTCGTAGGCAATTCCCGCATCTAGGCATTAAAGAGCGCATTGTCTAGAGTTCGTGGATCTGAGTGCAGTTGTACCGACAGACTTCAGCTTCATGCCTTGCCAACCACATATGCCCACGAGCTTGACACCACGACTCAAGCGCTCCTCATGCCGAGACAACGGGGAAAGTGCACGGCAGGCATTGTGGCTTCTAGAGGAGGAGATGACCGCGGAGCAACTTGGCTTGCAGTCAGCATGCTCCGTTCCGGACAGATGTCGTGAGCCTGGACGGGCAAAGGCCTGACCTCTACAGCTACAACTCCGCAATAACGGCATGTGAAGATCGACACTGGGAGAGGGCGCTGCACCTGGTAATGTGTCTCTCGGCATGGATGTGATGAGAGACTATAGATGCACGAATCACTGATGTTGTTGTTACGGTCAGAGCCAGCGGCTTTTCCCACGTAGCTGACTCGAGCGTTTTAGTGCTTTTCGAGCTGGATGTCAGGCCGCATGGGGGAGCGCCAGCTGCAGCCAGATTCTGTTAGCTTCACCGCGGCCATTTGCACTGCGCGGGAGGCCGTTTGTCTCCCGTGATCTGCGAGCTCTTCTGTGGGACAATGCCTGCTGATAGGAGCATGACATCGCGCTCAGCTTGTTGCACGAGATGTTCGACTGGGGCTTGGAGTGTGGCTTCTTGTGACTTTGCTTGGACGCTCTGATACTCAGATCCGGGGGGTGCCTCGTACCGCTCGGACCTACGCGGCGCTCATTGCCACGGCAGGACAGCACTGGGCGCAGGCGCCAGAGCGGAGCAGAGCGGAGCAGAGCGGAGAGCCGAGAGACACACCGTCGTCACACCGTGGCATTTTGCCATAGGCGTTGGCACTGCCAGGAGCTCAGTTTTTGCATCGGACCGGGCCAACCATTTGTGCTTTGCGTCTTGGGCTTGAAGGTTCAAGTACTCCAAGCAAGAGGCAGGGGCAGATCGCTTGTGTCCATGCACTGCGCGCCGAAGTATGCTGGGCTCCGCACAAATGCAACCGTGCCTTGTTTTGGTGGATCACTGCAGGGTATTGAAGCCACGACGCAGCTCTGTGGCATCCCGACTGCATCATGGATGCTGGTTTGTTCCAACTTAGGCGATGCTCACTGGCTTAGGAACTATAACGCCCGCGTACGCTGGCGCTGGTATGCTGAAGTTTATGGCAGAGCTGTGTTTCGCCAGGCTCCACCTTGCGAGCGTGCGCAGCTGGGCGCCAGTGGGCTTTAGCTGTGGGCCTCCTGGAAGAGATGCGAGGACTCGTTGACTCCTTGGCTGGCCAACTAAGACCTGTGTTGCTTTCTGCAGAAGAAGCCGTTCTAGGACAAAACGTGGCAGTCAACAACGAAGCCTGCCATGCTGCCATCAGTTCTTGCTTCTGGGAGAACATATTGACATAGGTCTTTGTGTGCTCATCATGGGCACAGAAGCTGCACCTCTTAGGCATGGTCGCCTGGAACAACGAGGACCCAGGACACTGGCGTGAGGCACCTTGGTCGGACCCGGATCCCTTGTGAGAGCTTAAGGCGCTCTCGTTGTCGGGTCGTGTAAAGGCCCTGGCTATGGCGAGCACGCTGCGCCGTGCGGCACTGCAGCCAGATACTGCAACATGGCCTTCAGTAAGCTGCGCTTGGTCTTTCTCAGTGCTGTGGGAGGCATGACTTAAGCAACCAATGAGCTGATGAGCTTCGCAAGCCTGGCAACCTGTGCAGGAATCCGTGGAAACACCAGTAACTCATTAGTATGGTAACATTGGTGGTTACGCATAAGTTCCTCCTCGGCCCCCAGGCCACATATGTGGCTCTGATATCTGCCTGCTCCTGCTGCAGCAGGCATGGCCAGAGCAAAGGGAGGTTTGAAGTAGCAGCTAGCGCTGACATCGAGCTGGAGGTGGCAAGAAGCGTTGGCCATCCACACCGAAGCGCAGCTAGAAGCCGCGTCGGAGGCGCCTTTCTTTAGATTTCCGTGACTCTGCCATGTCTCGCTGTGACGAGATTCCCTGCAACGCACTTCGGTTTGGCAGAAAGTGTGTGTCATGAAGACTCGAATGCAGGAAAACGACGGCCGAGCATACAAAGCATGCTGATATCGTCGACGGGGGTATAGAACCGATCGGACAGTTCGACCCTGAATACCAGAGTAAGGCTTGAAAGACGAAGGGCCGCTGTCCATGAAAGTTACGAAGTTTACCCAAGAATCCGGGAAGAACTTGGATGTGCATGGAACGACATACTCGCGTGCCGTTGGCAATCCAGTCGCAATTGCGGTTGACTGATTGATGGAAGGATGGATTGAGGCAATGAGTGAGTGCGTGAGTGATTGAGTGAGCGAGGCAGTAAGCGAATTGGTGTGGAACTTGTGCCTCTGTAATTTGCAGGGGGCATTCCACTTTTCACAGTCACTCGGATTGGCTATCCATTGTCCACCCACAGCTTCTCGGAACCTAGCATCCGAACAAGACACTAGGGAACCAGACGAAAGCGGCCCTGGCAGACCACCAAGCAGTAGCCATAAACGTGGTTCCAGCTGTTAGGGAACACCCGGCCTCGGATCCAGAGCCGAAGCTCCGCTGCGAGTGTCAGGAAGGTGCGAGTCTCGAGAGGAAGATTTGCCGCACTGTCAAATGGCACCCAAGAACACGAAAGCCATCCTGCTGCTCCCCGCGCTCTTTCTTCTTGTCAACCCTCCACTCGCATCGCCATCACCGTTGCGGCCAACTCTGCAAAGGATGTCGATGGCTGCTGACTAACAACAGTGCAGATGGAATGGAGAGCTCCCTCACCGGAGCCTCTGCACTGTTTTATCATAGTTCTGCCGCTGCATCAGGACAGTGGCTGTCGCGAGGGTTTTGCTTATTGGCAGCTTCCTGGTGAGGTTGAGGAAATTCAGCGACGGGTTATCGTTCCTCTTCATGAGCTTGCTGTCTGCATATTTGTTGCGACTTACGCAACGAGCTTCTCCTGCAAATGTCCAACCTGCGGTGCTGGTTGCACTCTGTCAGTTGGTCAGAACATGCAAGTTTCGTTACACAATTGCATTCAGAACGCCATGCTGTGGTTCCGCGCTTCGCAGCAGGTTTTCAGGCGACGTTCTGCATGGAGCGGCTCCACCTCGCCATGGATGTAGTCAATTTCCACTATTGCGGACGAGTGCTAGGACCTAGAAACACCGTGAAGTTGTTCCTTCGGGTGTGACTACCTGACATCATTGTGCTGATGGTATGTCGGACTCACCTTACCCGCCTGCCTCCTTCCCACTCCGTTTTCCACCCTCTGTCAAGACGGACACGGCCTGGCATTGGGATTCGAGATCAGCACAGAGACGGTGTCCATACAATACGCACGGAGCCCTTCAATCAGTGGGTGGCCTAATGGCACCAGCAGCGCATCATAGCGCATCCAATCAAGACGTTTCACCCACCCTGGATTGCAACCGTTGTGCGACGACAGCAAATGGCATCACCACTGCCAGACAAGTATCATGACACCTGCACCTGCGTTACAAGCGCAGCGATCTTGACCGAGCAGTGGCTGCGCTGCATGTTTGACCATGGGGCAGCTAAGCCATGTCAGGCTTCGGCTACTGGGCCTACGGCTGGTACCGGATTCCATCCGACATGTCGTTCTCGCAGAAACTTCACACTCAAAATGTTCAGACGGGCATGACGATGACGATCGTAGACCGGGTCCCACCAGTCATCATCATATCGTCCTGCCAGTTGTCGCAAGGAAGTCTGGGCTGTCGCATACACCTTTCATGCAACGTGGATGTTTATCAGCGCATCTGCAAGCGTCATTGACGTGCGCGCTGGCATCAAACCATACAGTACACGCTAAGACGCTGCACAGACTTGCGACGTCTTCAAAGTGGATGCGGTGATCGGAATAATTCCCGTTGTCCACGTGTTCGGACGAGCCGATACGCAGCCTGTCAGGACCGAGGTAGCTTGAGTTACATGAGGTTTCGCACAGTCCGAGCATTGCATGGAACGACCCGCAGGGACTTTGGGCTCTCGCGAGTGAAAAGGAGCCATTGGCTGTGTTTTGCAAGCTAGGCTTTGCCTAGCCTTTCGTTGCGAGGATTACCTCACTTTCATGGTAGCGGAGCGGCTGTCTGGCGGCTGCTGGTGACTCTTCTTTGGCAACCGTTTCCCAGGATGTCTTCGGCGGGCTCCCAACCTGATCGTGTGGATGTGCCCTGGTGGGATGGAAATCCATCCACCTACCAGGCCTTTGAGACGAGCTGCCGTTGGTATGTTCTGACCTTGAAGGACAGTGAGAAAAGTGGAGCGGCGGCTCGCGTATGGGCCCGCTTGACTGGACCGGCAAAGAGTGTTGTGAGGCACTTGGACCCTCAGCAGTACCACTGCCCTGATGGGCTGGAGCTTCTCCTGGCGCTTCTTCGGGGAAGCCCGCTGCAGACCTTGCCGGTGCCGGACAGATTTGCTAAGCTTGAGCGTTGGAACACCTTGCGCCGGCGCGAGAACGAGAGCATCCCTGAGTTCCTGGTCAGGGAAGACGAATGCTTCACGGAGCTCCAGCAGTCGCTGAAAAGATCCAGGGAGCTTTCTAGAACACCTTCGGCGACAGCCGGGGAGGCCACGGTGAAGGAGGAGAGCCACGAGAAGACCGAGAACGCGGAGGCCGGGGACCGACCGAGGACTTCGACGACCTGCCCGACTTCAAGAAGGCTTCTCCTGGCTCTTCCCCGCACAAGTCGCCGAAAGGTGGCAAGTCCCCGGCCAAGTCGCGCTTCCAGGTGCCGGAGTTAGCCCCGAAGGCGGCCGAGGTCCCTGACTTCTTCAACGACGAGCTGCGTGGCTACCGGCTGCTTAAAGCTATGAACCTCTCCGTGCAGGAAAGACAGCAAGTGCTGACTTTGGCCGCCAACCGGGTGAACTTCCAGATCGTCCGACAGGCCCTCAGGGCTTTCTTTGATGATGGCAGCGGCCCGGCTCGACACCGACACCGGGACCGCCACGCCTGTGGAGCACCGAGGACGGCCCAGAGATTGGCGAGGGCGAGCTGGACGATGAGACCGCCGAGGCTTATTGGGGAGATGCTGCCTGGCATGACCTTGGCTGGGATGAGTGGGCCGAGGACGGCGTCTTGTACGAGAACGGCTACGGCGACTACTACCCGGAGGAGGCCTTTTACGAGGAAGAGGCGGACCCGAGCCCCGAGGAGGCGGAGTCTTTGAAACAGGAAGCCGACGCCGTGGCATTGGCTGCAGAAGCGAACCGGACCTTGCAGGAAGCCCGGGCAGCGGTCGCTAAAGTGAGGGCGGCTCGTGGCTACTACCCCATACAGGGCAAGGGGACCGGAAAGACCAAAGGCGGCAACCCCATGAAGTGTCTTATTTGCGGCCAGCTCGGCCACTTTTACCGAGATTGCCCTCGGCGTTTTCAAGGATCTGTGTCGATGGTGCAGGGCTCTGGCAAGGGAGCTTTTGGCAGCAAGGGCCGTGGCAAGGGCTTTGGAAAAGGGAAGTTCCCCACCAAGGGAAAGGCAAAGTCGAGCTACCCGGCCTTCTACCACGGCATCTACATGATGGAGGCCGACGGGACCGAGACCTTCTCCGAGACGGCCGACGAGACCAACGCGGACTTGAACGCGGCGGAGAAGGCGGAGACCCTTCCCTTGGTGAACCTTGGCTCTGGCCTTGCTTCAGCGATGATGCTGCAGACGATCGGTGGGCAAAAGGGCAAGCCCAACTTCGTTCTGGACACGGGCGCCACGGAGAATGCAGCTGGGGTTCGAACGATCCAGCGGCTGTTGCAGCATGGCATCAAGCTCCGTGGCGTTGTGCTAGAGGACCGTCCGGTCTTCCGGTTTGGTGACGGGCTGTCCTTGCGAGCAGCCAGCAGAGTCGACCTAGGGAGCACGTCCCTGGGGAACATGTCGTTCTACGTGTTGGACGGGGACGACAGAACAACAACGCGGCACTCTGAGGACACTCCTCTGCTGGTGGGCTCCCGTTTTCTCCATGATCGCAGAGCCTGTATTTCATATGAGCACCTCAACCTGTTTCTTCAGGCGCCGTCTGGGGAGATCCTCAGCTCCCCGTTGCAGCGCACCAGGACGGGACACCTTGTGTTGGATCCCAAGCTTGATCCGACCAACCTGACGACCCTCAAGGAGAAGGCCGAGAGACAGTATGGTGTGGAGCTTCCAGGCGAAGCCGCTTGCCTTTTGGAGCTTTTCTCTTCACCTGGAGCCCTTGAACCTCTCCAGAACACGGCGGCAACCGACCGCGAGATCGACGAACCGCCGGCCATGGAAAACCTGATCGAGGGAAGCATGTCTGTGTTCGTGTTGCGCGTGCCTTTGTCGCAGAAGCCTCTCCTTGAGAACCCAGCGGCTGAGAAACCCAGGTCCCAAAGGTCTCCTGTGCATCCTTGTGCGCCACATGTACATGTTCAGTGTGAGCCTCTACCTGCACCCCGACAGCTTGAACGCCGTAGTGTTGAAGACCTTCCTGTTGTACATGAGCATGCCGATTGCCTGAGTGCTGTGCAGAGTGCCTGGGTTCTCACGACCGGATCGCATGAGCAAGTGACCGTCTCGCTGCCGCATAAGATCAGAGATTTGTGGCTTCGCCTAGCCAATCACCGCCTCTGCTCTGCGACGGCCACGCCTCATGCAGAAGATCCCGGCGCCCGCGGACGATGCTGGCCATGTCACGGCCGCCACAAGGAGGGCTCCAAGAAGGGCAACCAGTACGGTTCCTGGGTGGACTGAGGCTGAGCTATGTGGCGCACGGCGAGAGACGGACGGCGGGACCCACTCGCGAGATTACCGTGCAGGCGATGGAGGAGCTCCAGATGATGGTGGCCCAGGGCGAGCTGACCACGGTGACCGACATTGTGGTGAAGCAAGGCCCAGCCGCCAACGACGCCGCCGAGGCCAACATCGGCAATGGCGAGTGCACCCAGTGCGGCTCCGAGCACCTCCTTGCCTCCACCTCCACCCGTGAAGGGGAAAGCACGCCCCTTGGAGAAGGAGCTCTTGGATCAGCTCGACAGCAAGGAGGGGGAACTCCAGGAAGCCGGGGCGCACATCATGTACTTGGAGAGCAAGCGAATTGAAGGACCGCCTGACCGAGATGGAGGCGGCCCGTTCGGAGGACTGGGAACGGATGAGTGTCTCACGCCCGGCTGCGGGCTCGGCGGTGGAAGAAAGCGAGGAGCAGAGCGAGCTGTGAAGGCTCAGGGCATGCGGTCCAGCGGGAGGTCCAGCTACGATCAGGACTATGACTATGAGTCGGGGGTCCTCGGACGGGCCCGACCTGGAAGGCCTCCCGGAGCGGAGTGACTTGACCCAGGCGTGCCGAAAGCGCATGCTGCATGAATCCCGTGGGTTCATGGCTAGTGCTCTTTGTATAGCGACGTCGTTGCTGGCGTTGACCTCGAATTCATTGGATGTGCTCGAGATTGGGGGTGGCACTTTGTCGCCCGGCCTTCGTGATGAAGGCCTTCTGTGCGAAACTTTGGCAGTGGACGACGGCTACTTGACGGACCGCCCCTCCGACATGAAGAAGATCCAGGAAAGGATTGCCGAGGCGGACCCGGAGATGCGGTGGATTGCTCTTCCCGACCACCGGCTACGAAAGCAGCCTTGGACCGGATGCCCGGGTCAATGGCGAAATCTTGAAAGGGCCCGGCGCCGTGACCTATAAGCTGCCGAGGCCCTGGCCACAACCGTGGCCAACCGGATCGCCAATGAAAAACTGTTCGCTTGGCAGTGGCGGTCTGATGCTTCGGCCGGCTGGCGGGGAAAGGGGATCACTGAGATCAAAGAGGCGGCCCTCAGCCACCAGGTGGACTTTTACGACTGCTATGTGAACCAATGCTTCTACGCCCGTGGGGTGGGGAAAAGGGACCTTCGAGCACCTGCTGGCGCATCTTGACCAACAGCAAGCAGTTGTACCTGAAGCTAGGGCACCGCAAGTGCCCCGGACACAGTGGCACGAGGAGGAGCCGAAGCACCCAGTGATCCCGGAGGGCATGATCAAAGACGCTGTGGAAGCCGTCACGTGGGAAGTCGGGGCGAGAAGAGGCTGCGTCCGGACCGAAGTGGAGGAGTATTTCTCCTTGGCGCCGCTGAACACCCTTGCCCATTACCACAGCGATTCCGAACACCATTGCCACAGCGATTCCGAACACCATTGCCGCAGCGATTCCGAACACCATTGCCGCAGCGATTCCGAACACCATTGCCGTAGCGAGCCAGAACACCAATGCCGTTGGGGAGCCGTTGAACCAAGAGGTCGGTGGGCACCAGGTCCATAGCCTAGACCAAGTGGAGCAAGCGATGGCATTGCAGAGGACCTCGTTGCCTGCTGAGAAACCGACTGGCAAGTGGCTTGATGACGTGAAGGCCCAGATGTTGAGGATGCACCGTGCGGCGGGACATTCGAGCTTCGAGTCCCTGGCCCGTCTTCTTGAACGACGGGGAGCAGCCAAGTGGGCCGTGGACTTGGCCAGAGAACTTCGTTGCGCTGATTGTGAAGAGTCCCGCCGATTGACACCGGCGCCCCCTGCTTCGACTGAGGAATCGCCGGTACTCTGGGAGTACTTAGGCATGGATGTTTTCGAGCATGAGTTTGAGTTGGACGGTTCACGGAAAAAGGGGAAGTTCCTTCTTATGCAAGATCGGGCCAGCCGTTTCTGCATGGTTCGCCGCCTTCGAACCTACCCTGCTTCAGAGAATTGGGAGCCGAGCACCAGTGACATCAGAGCGGCCATCGTGACCGGATGGATGGCGGTGAATCCGCCTCCGGTCTGGGTGCTAGCCGACAGCGCCCCTTACTTCTCAAGTTCCGAGTTTGCCGACTTTCTGGGCCGCTCCGGAGTGGGCCTTCTCCTAGCACCAGGAGAAGCTCATTGGATGTTGGGGCATGAAGAGCGGCGGATCCAAACTTTGAAAAGAACGGCGGCCCGAATCGAGAAGGAGAGCTTCGACCTCTCCATTGAGGAGGTCTTTGCCTTGGCCTGTCATGGGGCCAATTCGGCCATCAATGTGAGCGGATTTTCCGCGTTTCAGTGGGCCCGTGGATGGCAACAGGATGATGTGGAGGCCAGGCCAGATGGGATCAACCCCAAGCGAGCTTTCAGTCGGATCCTGGCCCTGCGTGAGAAAGCTAAAGCGGCCTTTGTAAGGGCGGAGGCGGCCGAGAAACTCTCCCGCCTCAACAACGCGGTGCGGAGGAAGGCCGACCAATACTCCCCTAGAGGCCTGATTATGCTCTGGCGCCAAAGGATCCGGCAAGGAAAGGGCCCAGGGAGGATGGACAGGACCGCTGCGGGTCCTGCTCCAGGAGGGCTCCACCATCTGGGCAGCCACGGGAGCCACGATCATCAGGGCCAAGCTGACTTGCTCGGCGAGAGAAGAGCTGATCAATTCCACCAAGGGTGTCTCCGTGATCCGGAATCCAGTGAACCTCGGAACTCTTCTTCGAGGGTATTCTGGGCGTCACTTCGTGGATGCGACACAAGAGACCCCAGCGACAGCTCTTCAGGAGGACCTCACTCCTGCCGGAGCCGCCGCAGGCTCGCCGCCGAGTGGGCAAGGACCGTTGGGAACTACGTGGAGACACGCTGGTGCGGCTGCACCTGACAACTCGACTGACTCTGTTCACTCCTGACAAGGTCCAGGAGTGCCCCGTGAAGGATACAGACTTCACCGGAGCCCGGCGAACATTCATCAACGACTCCGGGACCAACCGGCAACACAAGATCGAGGACAACTTCCGAACGGAGGAGAAGCCGAACAGAGGCCTGCTTGAGAGGTGGACCGGCGAGACACACTTCGAGCTGAAGCCTGGAACTGGACAGCGGAAGCCAGAGGCCTCTTCCACTACGACCGGTGAGGCGGCCTCTTCGTCTTCGGCCGCGGCTCCAGGCGCAGGTGTGCCTCCTACTCCTTTGGCAGTGCCGGGAACTCCTGGGCAATCAGTGGCGAAAAGGAGCCATTGGCTGTGTTTTGCAAGCTAGGCTTTGCCTAGCCTTTCGTTGCGAGGATTACCTCACTTTCACAGCCGGCTGGACGTCCAGAGTCAGGCGGCTGCAGCCGTTGGTTGCAGAACGAGCGCATCGTTCAGCGGTAGCCACACTCGAATGGTGCTTGAGCAACATTCACGAGTCTTCCAGCTTTTGCAGCGCGAGAGTATGCAATGCCCCACCAACGTACATGCACGAAAAGGGTCACTTGCATCAAAGAGCTGAAAATCGAGTGTTCTTCGACAGTGTTGCTGTAGGGGCGCAGTGCCCTTCAATCAAACTCTGTCCATCGAAGCTGTGCATGAAAGTGGACGTGCGGTTGGCAGAAAAGCCAAACCGAGTAGAAAAGCTGGCAGGGTCAGTCATTTTTCCCAATTCTTGTTTTCAGCATGCGCGACTGCAGCAATCTGACAAGCCAGCATGTCAACATGTTGCAGGATTGCAGCATCTAGTAAGGATGCTATCACCTTTTGATGAGCTTGCAAGTGTGTGGGTGGCCGTGGCCGGTGGGGGTGCCTGGATGGGCAGCTACAGTGTGGGTGTGATGGGACGTGTGGCCCAAGAAGCTTGCTGCCAGGTTGTGACACAGCCGTTCATTGCAGGTTTCGCCTCATTTTGTCCGTAGATGTAAACAGCGAGTGCCAGCCTAACAGCTGCAGCAACGGGGCATTGAGGGTTGGTGTCAGGTGCCGACTATGTGCACCAATGCTCTAATCACTGCTTTCGGGCGTGGTACAGAATGGAGGCGTGCGTTGGAGGCCAGGGGACATACGGTATGGGTGTGCTGCGAGAGTTCCCGGTCTCCTGTCACTGACAGTTGGTTGCCATTGCCCTAGCAAAGAATTCTTGGACGGAGTAAGGGCATGGTCGCCAGTGCAGGCTTTCGAGGCGGCAACTTTGCGCGAGAGGTTCTCTGTTGCTTGTGCTTTTAGAAAGATCCGGGGGCTACAGATTCTTCGGAAAGCCAGTGCTGGCTGAGCAGGCCGACCGTTGTCACGTGCAACGCTCTCATCTCTGCCTTTGCAGAGGGCTCCCAATGGCCGATGGCGTTGCAGGCGTCATCGCAGCTCTTGCCCACAGCGACATAGGTCTTGAGAACTTGCATTCATGCAGGTGCTTGGCAGTTTGCCCGAGCGATCTCTAGCGCCCACCGTAGGGAGCCCAGGACAGAGGAGGCAGCTTTGGAGACTTTAGCGTTAGACCACAGACTCTCAGGTCGTCACCATGAATGCGGCCCTTCATGCCCTCGCCGGAGGCAGTCATTACGCAGCTGCCCGGACGCTGCTAGGACAGGGCTCGAAGGCTTAAGATCTCGCGCGGCAGTTCAACATGCAACACCAAAAGCCCACAAGACAATAGGGAAGTTCCGGCATTTCGACATGAGCTTCGTCTGGCCTCCTTGCCGTCATCCGTCGATGATGTCTCTTTATATGCCTCTTTGCAGGACGAATGCCGGCTTTTCAACTCCAACCAGACTGCTGGAGCTTCACTGCCGTGATGACTGCCTGTACCAGAGCGACATGTGCCGTGGCAAATCATGGCAGCAGGCGCGAATTGTACCGTGCTTCACCGCCGTATGGACGAAGAGCCTGTCATTGAAGAGTCTTGTGGTTTCAAATCAGCTTTGTCTTTCTGCAGTCAGTGCTAGTCCGAGGTTGGGAGGCAACCTGCGGCTTGTCCGCAGTTTCTGATTCGGCAAAAGGAAACTGCATACTCTGAGAGCTTCTGGCTGTCAGACCCAGTCTCGACAGAAGTCGAGGTGAGCTGCTGACGGAGATGATGAGGAAACAGATTGACCCAGGTGCAGCTCGCAGTGTGTTTTTGCTGTCTGGCGCTCTCAAACGGAACGATTGCCAGATATCTACAGCATCAACAACATGATGTCAGCGCTTGCTGCCTCGCCGAGATGGGAAGAGGATCGATACAGGTAGTTTCTGACAACGAGATTAGCACACGTCGGGCAAGTTCAGGCATTGGTCCTGCTGAAGAACATGCCCCGACTAGAGCTGGCATCTTGCTTGCGGTTGATGGCCACATTCGGTTACCTGCGATGGCTGCTGTCAGACGTGCCTCGGGCATTCACCTCGAGGCTCCAGATGTGCAGAGCTACAGTGCCGTTCTTGCGGCACGCATGCAGGCAGCTAGCTCTTCTGGTGTTGCAAGACGCCATGCTGAGATCTTTCGTTTCGTAACACAAGTTCAGGTCCAGTCGAGCTCGGTTCAACTCTGATTATCAATTATCAGCTGCTTGTTTCGATCCGGACATGTGGACAGGACGAGTGTCAAGAGCACTTTTGCTACTACTTCCTTATCTTGCAGAACGCAAGACGTGACCAGTTCGATATCCCACCGCATTCTGGACACCGCAAGATCGGAAAGTTGGGCCTTAGCGTTGACGCTGAACGGTATGAGGGGGGGAAATAGTTATTCATCGGCTGCATGCTTTTTGTGTATTTCTGCATCGCTTGAGTCCCCCTGCAACTGTGGCGGTTCGACGATGCCCGAACTTTCGCGCCGTGCGAGCAGCTTCGCAGCACTCTAGCTGTATCCAATTCCGCACGTCGCCTGTGAAGGAGTTTGTGGGTTTGGCGGGGGTCCTGAATCTGCACCGCTGCTAGAATCTGCACATGTGCTTCCAACCCTTGCTAGGTTGCCCCTGCTGGCTTGGGGTGGTCCACGGAGATTCTGGTGATACCGGTTGCTTGCTCTGCCTTGCGAAGGGCCGTGACGTTTCCGGAGCCCTACGCACCGTTTGCGATATAAAAACCCGTCATGGGGTGGAGACGGCGCGGGTGCTTGTCCTTAGCCTAAGGGGCGACTCAGTGGGCGGAGATCTGGGGGCCGAGATCTGGGTTTTTACAGTGTTCGAGGGGGTGGTGCTTTCTCGCTCTCACATCTCTCACTTTACACTCACCTGACACACTCTCCTCAAACTCATGCTCGTCCCTTGTACGCTGTGGTTGAGCTGGGATGTCAGCAACACGAGATGCACTTGGCGAGCAACCGCACGGGCTTTCCGAAAAAGGCTGACCTCGTGCACACCGCACGGGAGGTTGATTCCACCTGACTCGATCCGAACCTCCAGTGCTATATGCTACAACACGTAGATGTGGTTTCCAAGAGGGACTGTAAGCTTTCGAGGACCATTGCAGGTGAGAGAACGGCTCATGACTGTTGGGAGCCAGGCTGCAGTCGGTGAGGCGAACCTGGCAGTGCTGCGGTTGGGAGGCAGCTTCTGGGAACAAACAGTGCTAAAGGCAATCCTTGCGCATTCCACGTCAGGTCAGGCATGATGTCGTGATGTGATGTGAAGCTCCACAGCGCTGCCTGGCTGCATGTGTGTCGGGTGGGCTATCAGGGTGGTCTGGCATGTGTGGCCCAAGCCGCAGATTACTTCTGCGTAGAGCCTTAGCCGTGCAGCATTTCGAAAAAAGCATCTCAGGTGCCCTTGCTTTGGAATCCAGAGCAACTTTGCGGTCAAGCAGTTAAGGCCGCAGACAAGGACTCCAAGGACGTGCCAGCGGCCGCATCAGAGGTGCGTTCGCGCACCTGCGCGCGGGAGGCTTTAACAAAAGCTTGAGCGTAAGCTTGCACTGCTGCTTGCATTGCCGTGTTCGTGAGCCCATCCACCACGGGTGCGACCGCGAGGCCCCTGGGCTCGCACCCGGAAAGCGTGACGAGGAGGAACGGGGAGCAGACCGAAGGAAATGAAAGGTGTTGGTTCTTTCTTGGACTCTCGCCAGATCTACCTCCCAGACACACCTGCGGATGCTTACCACGAGCAGGGGACTTAGCCTCGAAGCTCTTTGCGTCTTTGCGTGTGCCAAGCTGGGACATCCAAAGGTCCGAGGCGAGTATCTCGCGAGCTTCGCGACCCGTCCCGGAGGCAAGCCCAGATCTTTGCCAGAGGCAGCCGCTTCTTCATCAGATGAATTGTTTGGCCATCGCCCAATTCTGTTGAAAGCCATCTGCAATCCTCTTTTTGTGATTCAACCTGATTTTATTCAAAACTCGGTGAGTGGTGAGCCGGGTGCCGGGTTTCCTATCTTCCGAGCCCATGCCGAACACACCCTCCGCAGGCTGCCGCTGGCCGTGCAGAACCTGCAGGACTCGGAGAAATTGTGTGTTGCCGACACCTCGATAACCTCTTTGCGCTAAGGCGACTGTGCACGTTAGCTCCAGGACTGACTTGCGGCTCGACGGTTCGAGTGCAAGGTCTCACAGGAGACTCTGTCGCTGCCTGGGTGGACGGTCGGATTGTGCGAGTAGGGCAATGCAACAGTGTAGGACGTAGGCTCTTGTCTTGTCTGTTGAACAAATGGATCATGGCAACGCACTTGTTAGCCTGACTGTGCATCATGTTGGCAGAACAGGGTGTGCTGCCGGATAGGCTTCCCATTCTCTCATGTTTGATTTTCCGTTCCTTCATTCGACCTTCCCTATGCCTGTTGGTTAATGTTGGATCATCTACGATGAGAGTATTGGCGATGTGCTGGTTTCGGTTGATGCACCAGACCTTGCAGTCCCTGCTTCTTGAGGCCGCAAGGCTCAACGGCGAGAAAGGTGTCCGATGCCTACAATTCGATGCACCTGTCTTCATGCTTCACAACGAACTGGAAGCCTTGGTGTAGCCATGCTGAACGCGCTGCGATCAGTGGCCCCATGTTTTTCAGAAGTACAAGCGCGTTCTTCCAAGGCTCTCGAAAGCTGGAATGCTTCTTCCAATCGCTGGACGCACAGGGGCTGTCCATGGCTGTTCGGTGCCCGAAAAGCGAATGGGGTCACTGGCTATCTTGTCTGGGCAGGAACGTTCGACTGCGAAGTGGGGAAGTGAAGGCCATTCGCCCCGAGAATCTGGAGGAGGCCCCTGGCCCTTGGACAAGTTCAGCGTAGGAGATGACGTGTCTTGGTAAATCAGCACTGACTGCAAGGGCAGGTGGATCAAGCTTATCGCCAGGTAGCTGGCGGCTATGGTTCACAAAAGGCACGGCGAGAGTGCGATGTACAGTCTTGCGTGCGCAGCACTCCCTTCGTGCCACTGACTGCGGCTTACGCGCAGAGCGGAGTGCGAAGTGGATTTCTGCAGCTTGCGACTCGCAAACGCTTGCCTACGTGTCTCCGGGGGTTGTCGAACTAGCGTCAGTGTCTCTCGAACATGCGAAAGTTTTCAGACACCAAGACCTCGTCGGTCTCTGTCTCATACATGAAGATTTTTTTGGAGTACCTTGCATTATTGACCTTTTGGGTTTATGCCAGGCGCCAACACACACAGCCGAGTCCCTTCAGGAGTTCCGCTGTTCCCGCTTGCCTGCCCATGTTAAGAAGTTTGAACAGCGAGCTGGTCCCAGCCTTCCGCAGGACGACCCGCCTTTGTTGGAGGCTTTCCAGATGAACGAACTCCCCCCCAAAAAAAGCAATTACGGAGATTACGGAGTTACGGAGCCACTGTGGGCAGATATGGAGCCGACACCGCGAGAACTCGGAGCGAGCCAAGGCCAGAGCCGAAAGCCGAAGCGCGCGGCCCTGGGGCCCATCCCAGCCCGAGGCAGCCAAGAAACTTCTCGGGGGCATGGACGCGCGCAGTCCTTACTTGGACGCAACTTGGGTTTGAAAGACGTGCCTGTAAGCTCAGGCCACTACAGAAGCTGGACCTCACGGTCCCTCCCGAGCTTCTTGAGCAGGCAAGAGAAAGTGTAGAGGCAGAGTCAGTGTCCGGACACTTCTCAGCTCCAGGTGAAGCGGAGCCGTGCAGGCGGAGCCTCACAACCGGAGAACTCTTGCACTTTCCTTCGCTTTGGAGGGAAACGTGGCGAGACGGAAGTACAGTCATGTGATGTGTGCAGATGATGCTGCTGATGTCGATCCCGACTCACGTCTGCTGGCATCGGCCTGGGCCCAGAACTAGGGCTACTAAGTGCTTCAGGGCTGAAGCCCGGGTCGTGCAACTGGACTTAGGTTCAAGATGAGCGGATAGCCTTGGACGAGTTGGATTCCGACCTTCAGCCCGGACTTGACGGCGTGACGGAGGGAGGTGGCACACGTGCAGCTGTGACAGATGCTCAGGCTCCGAGCTACCGGCGTCACCACTCGACGGCCTGTGTCAAGGTGAGGAGACCGAGTCAAAGACAAAAGCACCTTACAGCTTTCAATTTCGGTTTTTGTGACCAGGCGGGATTGAGCCCACCAGAATTGTCCACAGAGGCAGATCTCAAGCACTGTCACATGCTGCAGTGGTGCGGTTGCGACTGTACATCGGGTAAGGGCAGGTAGGCTGTGAGTTTGGAAATGAACACTTTGGTGTGGCATGGTGAATCAGGTGGATCCATACGAATCGTGGCGTGCCAATGATCATCTGAGCCTCGTGAGCCAAGCCGACGAGTACGGCACAGCTCTACAGTCTGCTTCATAGTAAGAAACCGGCGAAGAGCGTCGGCAAGTTACCAGATCTACCAGTCGAACACGAATCGATGGTCGATGTGTGCAAGGCATGCAGTGCTACCCTGCTGCACAATTCGTCGCAATGCCAGTGCAGCAGAGCTTCGCCTCTCGTTCTTGGGCTCGTCTTTTGTAGCTTCACAGCTAGGCTAAATAGCCTCATTTGCTTCTTGCCTACTGTTTAATTAGGAACGTCAGTGTTTTCCATGCGTTGTTCAACCTGTCAGGCACATCGTACATAGAAGCACTCTAGAGATGCAAGATCATGCAAGTGCATTTGCGCAGGCATCGCCTGGAGTCGCAGTTTCAACAAAGCGCTGGTAGGTGCCGAACTTCACACTACACTGCATTGCGAATTTATCCTCAGTAGCCCGCCGTGTGTCATGGCTTTGTTGCATCTCAGACTCGAACATGCACTGCAACCATCTCCACATCGCATTGAAGCTGTTTAAGTCTGTCCCGCCAGCGGGGGATGCGCCGGCGCAGCCGCACGAGGAGCCCACTGAAGCTTCAGCCACGCCGACGGGACAGCCGACCGCCGCGCCCTTGCTGTTGCTATGAGTGTACTCCTTCCACTGAAATTCCAGGTGTGCTGCTCTCTTGTTTTTTCTTTCCTTCCTTCGACTTCAGTCCGTTGCGGAGCCGTGGTGGTCGTGCCGAGAACGACCGTGGTGATCGGCGGCGGGCCAATGCCTCAAGTGCTCCGCAGGGCATTTTTTCTGCACCACCCGCGACGAGCTTTGTGACCATTTGCCGAGTCCAGAGAACGCCTTCAGCCTCGGCTACGACCTTGGATTCACTTGCAGATGCACCACTTTGTGCTACACAATGCCAGTAGGTGCAGTTGACCAAAGCTGCCCCTGAGCTTCTCGAGGTCGAGCTCTCGATCCTTGGGCCGGAGGCAAACTGCGACCAGGCCAGAGCGGTGGCAAGTAAGGGCCATGGGGCGCAGAGGGTTTCCGGACGCTTCAGCGAGCCGACGAGCCACTGAACATACATCACTATCCAGCTTTCTGCATCCAGCAATCCTCCCCCACTCAGCCCACTCATGCCGCAATGGCGGGGCTGGACGACATGTGCTGGGCGTTTGAGACAGCATCGTGTGTCCGACACGTAGTGTTGGATGTTTTGCTTTGATGGAGAGACACCCAACTGCAACATGGGCATCAGATGCCTAGCCAGAATACAGGGTCTGGATCCTTGGTGACACACTCTCGTGCCCAATCTTTATACCTTACAAACAAATCAATGGTAGGGTGGCGCTGTATCGCCTGAGCCTAATGAATTGCTTGGTTTCTTAACATTAACTCGGTTTCCTCCACGTTTGCATCCAATTGAACAGGAGGCACTGTTGAGAATCTGTACCACATCTGGATGGGCCTAGCACTCCCCCAGGAGCACAAGTTACACGCTCGACTGAGCCATGTGAGTCCATGTAGAGCAGAACCGCGGCCAACCTCTTGAGCTTCTGCAACCGCTTTACTTTCCAAACTTGTCGGTAATGGTTCAGAGTACCGATGCCATTGGATAGAGGGGTGTACTTCATCTTACCAGGGAAGCACTTCCTCGACGTCGGCGCAATGATGAGGAGCGGATCCCGGAGCCAGCGCCGGAGAAGGAGAGATTGCTGCCGTGGTCTGTGTTGTGAAGATTGCAGCTCCGCAATGCTCCGCACTAGGAGGCCCGGCCTCGGCGGAGCAAATGGGACGATCGAGGCTCGGGACTCAAGTGCTCTCTTCTGAGAAAAAGCTCCGACCCTGCGCAAGGAGATGGCAACTCCCCCTCAACCCAGACTCAGACGGGTTTACCGGACTGGCTGAAGGAGAAGACGGATGACTCCATCTCGCGAGTTGTTGCTGTCCTCGGAGGAAGAGGCCATTCGTTGTGCCCTGAGGACTTGGAGGGCCCTCTGTCCGGGAAGCCAGTTCCGCAACCTGGCCTACACCGACGGGAAGAGAACTAGAGCGAAATCAGCATAGAAGGCTGTGGCACGGTGCGCTGCTTTTTTCCATGCTGCTAGCACGTGTGCGCATCTTTTTGTATAACTGAGGCAGATTGTGGTTCCAGGCCCAACGACGAGCAGGTGCAGACAGCGACAGCGGCAGACCGTGCGAAGTTCCTCGTGGTTGTGCGATTGCTGGACCGATGTCAGGTCGCAGCTCCCAAACTTGCTTGGGCAGAGGCTCGACGCTACGTTAAACGTAGGTCTCGACTTTCTGGAGTGTGTTGTTGCGGCGCAATACTCAGATAATTGCCAACAGCTGCTCCCTGCAGAGGCACAAAACAATGATGCTGAAGGCGGTGCAGATCAGAGTCCTTCTTGGCAGAGGAGGTGAAACAATCAAAAGCATTTGTTCTTGCCCCAGAATCGAATATCGAGTGAGCAATAGAGAATCTGAAGCGGAGCGGACAGCAGTTGTGTTGACTTGCATCGGCTGCTCAGGCGAGAAGGCGAATGCAGAGATCAAAGTAGATCATGACCGCATTGCCGATGAAGGCGCTTCAATGCACCTCAGGCACAGCAGGCGGCAAGCGGCCCTGGCTGAAGGCGAAGTCACCATCGTCGGGGAGATAGAGAAAGCCGAAGTCATCATCCGAGAAACTTTGGCGGCCAAAGGCCTGAGCAGAGCGGGTTGAAACAAGACAGAGACTTTGGGCTTGGGCTCTCTTCCGTCACTCGCCCGAGCTCTTGAGAGGTTGCCCGCTCCCTGAAGATGAGGCAGTGGCGTGAGACCTGAAGCAACGAAGGACAGAGTGACTATTGCGAGGCCAATCAGCCCGACGAAACAGACCTCGTTGTCCCGCCAGATGTAGTAGGCTCGCTGCTCTGATCCAGAAGTGGTGATTCATCTAGATGCCACAGCATGGGAGCAGGGCTCTTCATCGGGAAAGGTGGCGAGCATGTCAAGGCCGCATGCTTAAGCTTGGAATTATCAAAGTGAGACATGGTGGTTTGCGAATTCGGAGGGGCAGCGACTCTGCTAAGGCCATCCGAGAAGCTTGTGGCGGAAACCTCTTCATCGGAGTCATTCCTCCTGCCCAAGGGAATGGACCTCACAAAATTCAGATCATTGGAGATCAGAGAGCTGCTGGGCTGAACGGTGCGAAGTTTGCGGATAGTGCTGGCACCAATGTGTTGGAAGTGGTTCTGTGGAGGCATTGAGCACTCTTAGGAAAAAGCTAAAGCCATGGTGCGCCAGCGGCTGAAGGCGGCAGACAGCGATGGCGTCAAGTAGCAAATTCTGTGGTACCACTACTAAGATCTACTAAGTGCTATGACGAGGTGCAAGATCGAACGCCAGATGTGTTGATATGCGTGCCATGGCGATCAAATGCTGCTGCAAGTCCGCAGGAGCTGGTGGACACAGAGGACAAGAAGCTCCGGCCGGCAGAGATTCCGGCAGCTGGATGCAATGACGAGTTTTCTTTGGCGCGGATTCGCAAGAACCTTGCGGAGAGCGTAGTTCCAGGGCTTGGGGGACAGGTCTGAAAGGAGGCCGTCTGCATTTTGACAGCCCGAGGTTTCAAGCCTTGCGGGCAGGCCGGGCCGGGCTTTCCTGCGCAGGTCTAGGCCTCTAGGCGTAGACGGTAGACGGATGTAGACGGTTGATTGCAGCTCCAAGAGAGCACGCGGAGCTTTGGAGAGGCAAAGCTTTGGTCCAGGCTCAGGCGGCCCGGGCCTCGGGCCTCGCTGAGAGCTCTGGTCTTCCAAGTCATCCCTGCGCTGCCCGCAAGGCCTCGGGCCGGCGGGGCCGCTTGGGCTTCGGCCTCCTGGCATCTCGGCACCGCGTGCTCCCATGCCCGGTCTCCCCCTGACGGTGCCGATGCGGCCCATCACGCCAATGGTGCCCTTGAATCCGGTGAGTCATGTGAGCGCCAGTCCCATGGTGAGCCCTGTCCTAGCAAGCCCCTTCGCTGCGCCCACACGCCCTGTGGTCCGCCCCCGAGCGCAGACACCTGCCCCGAATGCCCCGAACCTCGGCCTCGACAACATTCCTCCTGCGCAGCGCCTCTTGGCCGCCCACGCGCAGCTCGGCCTGAGTTGCCAATGATTCGTCTCTCGAACTTGTCCGGCCACTTGTCCTGACAGGAGACCAGCATCAGAGAATCTGATGCCTGATGTTGCGAGCTGGGGCACCTTCGGTGCTGGTTTTGCTCTCGGACAGCTCTCGCACAGCTTCGAAGTGGACTTTCCTGTTGCTGCTGAGGCCCGGAACCGTTCCATGGTGCCACAGAACCGGAGGCAGAGGAAGCTGAGGAGGCAGAGCAGCAGGGCTCGGGTGCTTCGAACCTCTGAGAAAGTGTGACTTGCAGGAGAATCCCTGGCTCGGAATCGCATCTTGGACCAGGAATCTGGACACATCTCTTGTGCAACCGGCTTTGTTGGAAAACGTAAAAGCCCAAGAGTGGAGAGATGAGCGGCCGTAGAGATAAGTCTGCCTGACCGAGCCACGACCGCAAAGGTCCCAGAGTGTGAGCTTCCAACCTGAGCGAGTCCAATAGATGGTTCAGCTTCCAGCGCTTGCTGATGATCACCTTAGAGGCTCCAAGGTTTGAACATAAGAAGAAGCCAGTTGGACTTGTCCAGCACCGGACAAGAAGGAGTCTCACGAGCAGAGTCGAGCGGATTGCCACTTTCCAGGCGGCGTTTGCTTAAAAGGCAGTGTTGCGTTCCGTTCGGCAAGCTCATTGTCTCCATTCCTGTTTTGTCCAGCAGCTGTGTCTGTATTCTAAACGCTTCGCGTCGGGCCGCCTCGGCCTGGTCGCAGGTGCAGGGTCCAATAAGACGACGAGTCGACGACGAGGGAGGGGGAAGAGGTGCAACGCAAAACAGCACTGAACCCGAGCTCACAAACCCCTCAAGACAACGCCAATAAGCGCGAAGGCAAACAATCCTAAGAACTCTGAACTCGAACCCTAGCTCCTAAAGCCGAAAATAAAAGCAACAAGCCCTCCATCCTAACCCCGAAACAAACCACAACACCCCAAAACCCCCATCGTAATCCCTCAACCTCCAAACCCCCAACCCTGAACTCGTCCCTTTCCCGAAGCCCGATGCCCCAAACCCGAACAAGTCACAGGTACTGCACGCCCAAAGCCCCAAGACTCAAACCCAAACCCAAAAAGCCCCAGACCCCCCCCCCCCAATTTATGCCATTTTATGCCGAAAAAGCCATCACCCGAAACACCAAACCCGAAAACCCAGGACTCAAATCGCAAACCCGAAGCCGGCTTTCAAACCTAGAACCCCGAACCCTAATACCCAAGGGCAACACGCGGTTCACAAAACAGATGCAGTCAACTCAAAAGAAAAAGACGCCTCAACAAATTCGAGCGAGATACCGTTCATATGCTGGGCAATCCATACTATCTGAAGCGTCTGTGACTTAGGCGGTTAAAAGTAATTTAGGAATGGCGTACCTAGTGGCCTTCTTCAGACTGTGGGTCTGCTGCGCACTACTATCGCACCGAGTATCGCAAGAGTACTGTAATCAATTCGTGACACAACGTGGCTCTGATGCATGTGGCTCCAGCCTGCTGAAAGTTGCGGGCGCACCCCAGCCGCTTGGATCACACTGGGGCAGTTAGCTGGACCTGTCTTTGTTCCAACACTCGTCCGATGTTGGTTGCCCGAGTTGCGACTTCACAGACGGCATGAAACGATATGAATGTGCAATGTTTCGTGTGTGAAGAAGCGTCAGCCAAGGCCATTGGCTGAGGGCCAGCTTGGCCATTTCGCCTTCCAGTTTTTGTTGACTCCAGATTCCATAAAACATATAGAAGCTTCTCGATCGCATTGTATGGGTCAGGGAAGAAGATTGTGGGTAACTGCGGTTTGGATTCCGGCACATGCAAGAGTCTTGTCACAAGGAATTCAACCTTGCTGCGTGCACGACGCTGACTCCTGACAGCCCTCAGGCTTCATGCAGCGACTCCGGTCGCTGCTCCTGGCACCACTGCTGCCACTGTTACTGCCACTTCCAGCAGACGCGGTAGGCGGACTTGTCTTCAATGGTTCTGCACGGCACTTTGGCTGGGGGACATTGACGCAAATAATTGAAGGTGTGTCTTCTCACGTCCAATGTCTGATTGTTTGGACCGCCTTAGCCCTCCGGCAGAAACGCATGCGCCGCATGCGGATGCAAGCTCCTTGCTGCGCCGCGAAGACCTCCACAAGACCGCAGCCTGGCTGCAAGCTTCTGCAAGCTTGCGGATCTAAAGCAATTATGCGTACCGCTTGCGTTTTCCTTGCGTCCTTTGACAAGCAGACAAGGAAGCTGAGGACTCGCATGACTCGCATGACTCCCACACCGAAGCCTTCTTCGGCAGGACCTGTGCAAGGGTGACAGTTGCTGAATATTCAATCAGACGATTGCCTGCTCCTCAGGCCAGACAGGATGATGGAGATCGAGGCCTTCCAATCATCGGCACACCTCGGAAGTGGTTCAGCTTCGCGTTTCCAGGTTGGACCGCTCGGAAGCATCAACACCAAGGCAGGCTTCGCCCTTGCAAGGATACGTAGGAGATGGCATCTGATCCAGACAAGGAACAGCCGGACCCGGACCGTCGTACTGGGAAGATCGACCACCAGGACACGTTAAGCATTGCTGCTTGGTAGCTACTAGTACTCTGTCAGTGTCATCAGTGCTGCCCGCACCATGAGGACTTCGTGGCAGGAGGTGCAGAGCAGCATGACGAGCAAAGCCGCGTTGACTCAATGTCTTAGCCAGGTGCCTCCTTGGCAGAGGTTCGTGCAAAGCCTCGCGAGGTGATGCCCTCTCCTCAGTTCAGCGAGGGTGCCTGGTTTCACAGGAGCCCAACAGAACCGTGCTGCCTTGCTGCAGAGGTTCGGCATTTTCTGCAGGCAGGCTTGTTGACACCGGGACTTGTTGGGGCGCACTTGCAGCTGCATGCAAGGCGCGTTTTCGATGTGGATGTCATCAAAAAGACCTGGACAGGACAGCTGTGCCCAGCAACTGGGAGTTCGCTTGAACATCTTGAACAGAGCAACAAAGCCCAGCAAGACCAGAGTGCCTTCTGCTGTAAAGGAGACATCGTGCTGACAGTGAGCTGGAATGACCCTGAGGTGTCTCAGGCCCGGGTTCGCAGCTTCCAGCGAAGCTTCACTAGGCTGCAACGGGATCTCTTGAGGTACTACCTGTTGGCAAGGAGGATACCCGCTACTCTACAGATGATGCAAGGACAGACTGCAGACTGACAGAAATCTAGATCACGAGAAGGCCTTCAGCTTGGGATATGAGAATCTGGACTGCGCAGCGATTTTCAAGCATCGAGCACACCTCGCAGCCCCTACAGGAAACTCATTTGGCTGCCAGATATTGGAGTCCGGCATTTAGCAGCTTCAAAGAGCATGCCAGATGCTGAAGGACTGTATAGCCGTCGCCTCGCTAGGTTACAAACCGCGATTTCAAGAATGTTGAAGTCATCTCCTCCAGCGTGAAGATCTGGTCCTCGGGCTGGGCAACAAAGGCAGGGCCGCCAGGGCCCGGGCCAGGGCCAGGCTGCTCTGAGCAGCCGGCAGCGCCAGGTCGAGCGGATGCTTGTGACGATGACGAACGACTTTGACACGTCAGCCATCGTCTTACCACGTGCTTCTTGCGACACCCGGTGTGCACCGAGCACGTTAGTCTGAGGCATACCCTTTCGACCGTCAGTCGCTGCAAGTCATCGTTGCATCTGAGAAGCTGATGGCTGATGAGTTAGTCGGAGCCTCGGACCGTGGACGGGAGAGTTCAGGCAAGGATGTCTGATTGAAAGCTCGTGCTGCTGAAGCTGCATTTCTGGGCCGGGCAGAGGTTCTCAAACCTCACACAGACACGACACTGATTGGAGCCTCTCGTCCCACGAAGCTGACAGCTGAACATTGGCATGGCCGCTGCTTCAAGTCAAGGATGCGAAGGGGCCACTCCAGCCGAGGTCAAGGATGATGTGCTGACCGGACTCCATGCTGCAGTCTGGAAGGGCCTTCGAGACACAGGGTGGGGCTGGCTAGGCTGTGAGATCAAGCAACAAGGCATGATTGCACCAGCCTCCGCAAAGTTAGTTACCACGGCCCTCGGTCGGAACAGGATGAGGAGTAAGGAGCCCTAGAAGTCTTGCAGGTGGAGCATAGAGAAGGGGCCCCATTGCCGAGAAGATGTAATGAGTTCAGTTGTCATGACGTGAGTGAGGAACTGGCTTCGGTGGCACAGAAGGAGTGTTGCCAAGCATTCTGTAGAGACTCAACATCCTGACAAGGAACACCAAGGAGTGACATGGTGTGCAAGTGACAGGAGCAAAGCCGAAGTATTCCATTTCCAGCTTCAAAGAGTCAGATGCGTTGCTTGCTCGGGCCTCAGCTTTGGTGTCCGTTCCAGGCACGCAGTGTTTGGTGGTCCAAAGTCGCATTTTTCCATTCTGAAGGTCAAGAGCCGCGGACTGTTTGAGATTCAGATAGCCCGTGATTCTGCTGCAATACGATGGAAAGTATGGCCTTCGGAGCTGGAGACCCTCTCTTCACGTTGAGGTGGTTTCGGAGGAGCAGGACGCCAGATCTTCGGACCCACGTTCACTCTGCTGGCTGTGTCCTACTCCGTCTTCTTCTTTCCCCTCGATCCTCGTCGGCACCGCATGCCAACACAGCGAGAGCACCACGCTTGGCTTCTGTGAGGTTCCAGCCTTTACCATGCCACGAGTTGCTTCGAGCGTCATCAGCCTGCTAGGTGACTCGGCAGCTAACACAGTCCAACACAGTCCAACACCCTGCAACGGCATGCTGGAACGCTGGCAGCCATGAAGCGTCATGAAGCAGTCTTGAGGCGAGATGACCCTGCTGCCTCTCGGCCGAAGAGACAGGTTAATTCTGTCAAGTGTTGCGGTTGAGCCTTTCCTCTGAGGACCAAGGCGAGGGTGCCCGACTCGTGGACGGACGTCTATATGGAGATGGTCTGCCTGCTGATCGGCTCCTGGGTACCAAGTCTTCTGTACACACGAGCTTGTACATGCTTTGAGCACGGGCTTAGGCTCTGTGAGTGTGCTGAGCTTGTCCATGGAGTATCTTGGCAAAGTAGAGAGAAAGCCCGCCCAGAGCGGAGGATCTCGCCGACCAGCTGGCAGAGTCCTCAACCCTTGACCAAAGCTGCAGTCTAAGGATCTGCTTTCACACATACAAGAATGAAGTGCCTTGACATCTGTGATCATGGATTTGTGTGAGAGGGTGTGACTTGCGAGCAGCAGCTGATTGACAGGGGAGCTGAAACGTGATGAGCGTATTATCTTTGTTCAGGCTTGACTTACACCTTGTGTGTATGTTCGTCGCAGCTACTAATTCTCCGGTTCCGGTTGACATCGGGCACTCTTCTTTGCTTGAAGACTACGTGCACTTGATCGTCGTTGTTGTTCCCTGCTCGTGAGTGAGGAACTGGCGAAAAAGCTGAACCATGTGTACAAAATCTTATATCCCGCCGCACCGCTGCAATCAATGTGGCCTGCATGGGATGTTCGTAGTTTGCTGAGCTTCAGGTGGTGTTCTTGATTCTCTTCATATTGCTGCTCTGCTTCAGCTCGGGTGCCTTCAACGATCTTTGCGCATTCCTGGTCTCCCGGCACAAACTAGCTGAAGCAGCACTAACATGACTGCCACGCACCGTCTCAGCTATTATTACCAAGCCGTCAGGATTGTATCCGGAGGCTTTTGCAAGACAAGCTCTCCTCAACCTGTCTCTGAACACCCGTCGCATCTGGTCACAGGTTCGGACGATCGTCTGTCTCTTGCTTGCTCCTTGGACAAGATGTGGCTCGTAGCGATGAGCATGCACATCTCACTCCCCGAAGTGCACTTGATGGCATGTTTCCTCACAGAGAAGATGTTGGGTGGTGTGCTACTGGCACATCATACTGGTGTTGTGCATCAGATTCGTGGCTTTGCCTCGTTCAATGCATTGGCGTTGTGCCACATTGTGCTACACGTTCTGCAACAGCAGCTCGGTTCCTGTTGTGACTTTCAGCCCGAGGTTGCGAACTTCGTGTGGGTTCGCAGGCCGGGTTTCTGACAGCCGAAGTAGAATCGGAATTGGCCGGCTCGTTGCTCACCCGGCACCTGTTAGATCCTGTTAGGCTATTCATGGCTAGTGTGTGGGGTGTGTGGGTGGGACTTGACCATGCTTTGGTTGCATCTTGACACCGTGGCATAGTCCCTTTGCAGGAGTTTGGCTCCTTCGGATGGAAAGTCGGAGGAGCCAGCTGACAAGCCCGAAGGAACTTGAGAACTGCCGGCCAAGTGGTCTTGCAGCGCAGGTAGATCTCCAGCTGTCGCAAGTTGGATATAGTTACATAGGGTTTCAGACCGCACGGCCCGCCTGTGAGAGCCAAGGTAAAACAGAAAGGTGCGCTTTGCAGCGTAGGATCAGCGGCTGCTGCTTGCAGTCTTGGGTAAGCATGCCTCGTGCTGAATTTGCAGAGTAGCTGGCTCGGTTACATGCTCATAAACTACGTGGCATTCGAGCCCTTTGGTTCCAAGAAGTGGGGCCATGCGCGAGCACCGCCGAATGGCGGGAGATGTACACCATAGGTGTTATTGCCTACATCGTGACTTTGATGCATGGCCATCAGCTGTTGTGTTGGTCTCTCGGTGCAGATTCGCGTCCAGTCGACAGAGAACAGCTAGTGGCAGAACGGCACGGTCGCCGGGTGCTGCATGTCCAAAGCCAGACTTTCCGGCTGTTGTTCGGACGATCACATGGCTGGCCACACCCCAGATAAGATGCAGCACGCTGAGCCACACAGCCTGCCGAGGCCATTGCAAGCTCAGCCAGGGCTTTACAATTAACATCACGCCTTGCTTCCACTGCGGGGTGCACAACCGCCGAAGAGTGCACACACCGTAATGCAGCCATGTCGGATAGTGTCCTTGTCTATATGACGATGTCTATATGACGATGACGGTACTTTGCTGGGTCAGTGGGAGCTACTGGGAGGCTGCCTCTCCCAGAAAAGACAAGATCCCAACCAAAGCCAGAAACCCGAAGTTGCAGTTGCACAGTCTGAGTGGTGCAAGTAGAGCCCTTTTGCAAAGGACTAAGGAAACTTAAGAGATCCGACAAGATCAGAAGACTGATGTACTGACATGTCCAAGGCGCTGGCACCACTGGCATGCTGCTCTGCAGTAACAGCGAGCGCAGCGAGCGCCGCTCTGTGCTTTGAGGATGGCATCCCGCCTGAACGCTTGGCGAACGTGGTCGCCGCGTCTTGGCAAAGTTTGGGAGGTCGTCTTGCATGTGCACCGAGAAGCTTTCGGCGTAGGAATTGTAGGGGGAGGCAGCAGGGCGGGAGGACAGACTGAAGCCCGATTTAAAGCGTGACTGTCCGGCAAGTCTTCTACCCGAGAACGAGATCCTTTCGAGTGTGTGTGTGTGTGATTTGTTTTCCCGCTGTGCAAAGATGATGCCGGAGCTTTCTTCTTCAAGTCATTTCGAGGATGGTGACGTGTTCCCATTGGGCATGGCTGTGGGCGACTGGTCGCGGACCTTGGCTTTCCATTCCTTATGTATCAGTCCGCTGATCACCGATCTCGTTTGTGGGAATTCACGTGATGCATTGCATCCACAGAAACTTGCCCGTCTTGTCTCCCTTCGTGCACTGCCTGTGTTAGCCCGTGTCCCAACGCATCTCCAGGGGAGCCCCCCTAGGGCCTAGGGCACTTTCATTTCGCAGTGATCCCTGACCCTCTTTGTTTCCTTTAAGTCTCCTCTTCTTCGCTTTCGGGATGCGGATCTTGCACTCTTTAAAGACTCTTGTCTCTCCTTCATGCTGTGCTCACTCTGCTCCGATGAGTCCCACTGTCTCGGCAGACTTGTGTTGCCAGTCATGACTCCGCACATCTGTGTAGGCACTTTAGGCAGCACCAAAAGTTGGCCGGTTTCGTGCTGCCAGCACCCTGAGAACTTCAGGCCAGTTGCCCGTCTGTTGAGTGCGGTCCGGCGGCCAGCATGAGTTTTTGATCGGCTGCTCTGGACTTGGCCAAAAGTTTCAGGTGTCGGAGATTATCATTGAAGAGCTGCTCGGAGTAAATGTCAGTTCGATGATTTCGGGAGGCTCGGCATTGCCAGAAGCTTGGTTTGTCCTCTAGATGAGTCTGCCGAGATGCTATGGAGCTGACAAAGTACTGACCCACCATGTCCCGCCGCACTCCTCGAGCTGAAAGCGCGCGGCAGGAAACTCTGTGGATGGGTTCTATGCAATGGCAGGGTGCACAACACCGAGTCAGGTTACCGACCGAGGACGGAGGGTGTTACCGGTGAGTGAGGCCGCGGATCAGGAACCTTCGGAGACGGAATTAGAAACGTCAGGATGCGGGTCGAAGACCACGAGAATGCACCTTTACCTCGAGGCCTGGATCAATATTTATCGAGGCGAGCGCAGAGCTCAACTTCTTCAACTTGTTGCAGATGGCAGTCTTCGGCTTGGCCGCAACGCACTGAGGTATGACCAGATTCAACGGGCCTCGAGCCCATGCAAACAGTCTCTGCCCATGCTGGCAGGCCCTAGGCCAACTGCATTTCATTAGTGAGGATTTCCCGGAAACTGCTCCAAAGAGCTTGGGCAGCACGGCTCTCAGTTGCCATGGCACTTCAGACCACCGAGCTGGGTCTGTGTCGAGGCAGTGGCTACACAGGGACACAGTCAATGTACCTGCCGAAACGGATCTTGGACTATGCAATCAATTCAGAAGGCATGCGAAGGAACTCGATCAAGACTGCTGCTTCTGAGAGTCTGCAGTTCAGGGTGGGTGACTTTGGCAGAGCTTGCCGAAATGTCCTGGCAGGTGTACCCTTGGAGTTCTATCGGACTTACAATTCCTCGTGGTTTCGACCTCAGAAACTTTCCAGTCCTGCAGCATGCCGCGAATTGTTGCAGCCAGCGTTGGCAGAGGTACGAGCCGTCAGAGTACTTTGACAAGCTAAGCGCAGTGAACCTGTCGTGGCTGATACCATGCGGCTTGGATTGAAAACTGCGGAGACAGAGACTGAAGTGTGATGAAGCAACGTCTGGTGCCTGAGCCAGAACCCTCGAAGTTTCCAAGCCTCGAGGAGGCAGCTGCAATGTCTCCGCGTCATATTCTGGCCATTCTGGTTCAATCGTGTCGTTGGGATACTGTAGACACTGATGCTACTGCAGTTGTTAGCTCCTGCCCGGGAATGGCAGACTTCGAAGTGAACTTTCGGAGTGGAACCCTTCCCAATCGTGGTTCGGGTTCTGCGATCTCGGGCGTGAATCAGCCACTCGCAGCCCGAGCATCTTTCCTCGTTGTTGCTGCTCCTGAATCCGTCGGCAAGCCCGCGACACCGAAATATTCTTGACTGGGTCGGTCATGCAGTCCACCGTCCTCACGGCCTAGATTTCAATGAAGATTGGAGCTCTGCCGGCTGACATTGAAACCAAGAACCTTCTCAATGAGAAGGCTTGACACTTGAATGCCAACCTTGAATGAGGCACATGACAAATGCGTTTTTGATCATCTGAGTTGTAGCAGGGGATTCCTTGTGATGTTGTGCATCATCACTGACACTGAGTTGTCACGGTTCATTTTTTGGATTGCTCGATGCATGTCACCAGACCGGTGAACAGGCTGGCCCGACATCCACATTCCGTGCCTTTCGTTGCGGAATCCAAAGATAGCCCCAAATCCGGATGTGCCTATCCTTGATTGGCCCATAGATTAAAGCCTGTGTACTTCTCAGTCTCAATTTCTAAAAACCGGCCTTTTGCTTGCAGGCCTTCTTTTCCCCCTGTGATTCAAAGCGATGCTGCACCAATGTAGAGAACTGAAGGGGTTTGCCACAATTGAATCCGTAACTAGCGGACATCAAGCGCTTCCAGGCCATGGCAGTCGTGACCCTGCAGGCAAACACAAACGTAATGCGACACATCCTGAACATGCAGAAGATTCATGAAGATAGTGCAACCCAAGGGACGCCGGTTAGACCGAACTGCGTTGAGAGCCGCATATAGTCTTGAAAGACCATCTATGCAAAAAGCTTTGCCTTGCCGATTCCAGCATGGCAGCGCGTGAAGCGAGGCGTTGTTTCCATATTCAACTAGTTGCGTGACCTTCCTTGCACCTTCGGCCGTTTCTGCTTGACGATACGGGCTGTTTTCAACGGTATGCCTCATCATTTACGCCGCTATCGACACGCCTCACGCATGCACGGAGGCACTAGCGCACTGCCATGGTTTATTGGGTTGAGGTCCCTGTAATCGGTCCTAGAGTTTTCCTGCATCCTAGGCAAAGAGCCAGCACATGCATAGCTTGTTTGGAATCACAGCCTCAGGTCGCGAGACGCGCTTTGTGCAGAGCAACAACATGCAGACCTACGTGCAGGTCGTGGTTTATGTGTGTGTGTAAACACTTGAACATGGTGAACAGTCCTTTCTTTTGCTGCCTTTCGTTTGCAGGGGGACAGAGGTAGTGCCCAGGGGCTCTTTCCGACGAAGCCCTTCCCGCACTCCAGGGAAACACACCGACGAACTCTTCAAATCTCCTAGTGTCTGCCAACGGATCATCCTTTTTCGGTGCTGTTGCTGGAGTCTGGCATGTACGCAGCAAAATCCGTCTTCATATCATGTCATGTCCTGCTCTCCTGTCTTTTCATCGTCGGTCTTGTCTGTCGCTTGTCCCAGTTTTCTAGTGCTGAGCCAAAGTGTGTGTTGTTCCGGTTTACCCCATCGGGATCATTGCTGTAGGATGTCACGTGCCCACAGTGAGCTTCATGGTGTTCATAAGGAGCTCGAACAAGCAAGGGACCAAGCACTGCACGATCGACTGCCTGTAGGTTTTGAGTTTTGGACAGGGACCAGGGTCAGGCAATGCCAGCAAGGCAGGTTTCAGGCAGTGAGGGTCTGCATGCCTTTGATTTGCCTTGCTGCATACAGGCCGGCAGTTGTGCATGCATGCTCCTCGCATTTGGGGTGTTTCTAGCTGTTGTTCTCTGTCGCCTCGGTATTGTTCTAGGGCATCTTCTTCTGTTACAGTGGAATAGTGTTTGTGTCCGTCTTTAACTGCTTTAGGATGCGACGTCCGCTCGGGTCAGTCAAGCAACTGCCGTAGCCCCGGTCTATCCCGAGGCGTCTCTGTGTGTGCGTGTCACCCTTGTAGCAGAAGGCTCATGTAAACAGTTCTGGGCTTAGAGTCAGCACGGGGCGACGGGGTTGTTCAAGTGGCCATCGCAAACGAAGCTCTACCTGATTCGACCAGGTAAACGTACGTGCCAAAGTACATGCGGGACCTAGGACCTAGGTGTCCAAGTACGCAGCTAATGTGCTTCTAATCACGAAAGCCAGCTTCCGGGCTGAGTTTCTCAACCGAAGGTGCAACAAGGGGGTGTGGAGAGGGGCCATCGGGGGTGGGCCAAAATCAATGCTTTCCGGCAGTTGTCAGATGAGGGTGGTGCTTAAGACCGCTCTGGAATGGAGAAGCGCGTCCCCAATGATGCTCATGATGCTCGCCTGCTGGCCCTTGATTGGGTTCCACTCCGTGTGGCGCCCAATGATGCTCACGATGCTCGATTGCCGGTCTCGGTCTGTGTAATTTGTCTGCACGTTGCGAGACCACACATCACAAGTGGCGCGATTTGTTTCGATGTGTGTATGTGGTGCGACCACATATCAATATTGCAATGACGCCTGAGACACTCTGCGCGGCTTGTGTGAAACCCCTGGGACACGGGTGCCAATTGGCACTCGCCAGACTCGGACAAAAGACAAACTCCGACGCTGCGTTTTTTCGCCTGCAGCTCTGCAATCCCCTGCTAGCTGCTAGTTGCCTTTTCCAGCTTTCGTCCCAGCCCCTCCTCCCCATGTTTGTGTCAGTTATGAAACCAGGTTTTCAGGTAGTGGCGAACACACTTGATGCATGATAGTCATGTCTTTTCGATGTCAGTTACATGTCCTTGCCTGCAACTGTCAGTGGTTAATGTGCTTGAGCAGTGACAAAGCAGCAAAGCAGCAAAGCAGTAGAGCTTAGCAAATTAGGAAAAGGAGACGAATGAAATGAGCCACATCACCGACGACATTCCAGATCATGAGATCTGATGCAAGTCTTTGTGTGTCGGTGCGTAAACGCTTGCACATGTTGAACAGCCTTTTCTTCTGCTGCTTCTCGTTTGCAGGGGGACAGCGGGGGTGCGGAGGGGCTCTTTCCAACGAAGCTCCCTTCCGCACTCAGCACCAAAATCCGTCTGGTCTTTGTCTTTTTTCATCGTCGGTCCTGCCTGTCGCCCGTCGCAGATACTCAGATACTCGTGCTGAGCCAAAGTGTGTGTTGGATTGGACGACGTGCATACGTATGCGCTGCGTATGCCACCAGCATTGTAGTGGACCTTCGGATGCATGAACACGGTGTGCATCACTGAGCTTGCTCGAGACGTCCTGCCTGCGTGCTTGTGCATGCAGGTCACCCAGGACATCGAGGGAGTTGAGGCCCGAACTTATTCGTCTTAAGATCGTCATAAGTTGTCATGCCTCGCGGCAAAGATGCCCGGATGCAGACATGTGTACACACCGGCTGGCATGTAGCTATTGGCCCGTGGATGTGCTGTGCTTCTCGACGTGCCGCCAGAATATTGATGGTTCCCTGATGGCCAATTGCCAGGACAGATGCTCGGAATTCTCAATGTTGCGACACATGAAGACTTTCATAGTGGACGGTGTGTGGCCAGGACGGCTTTTTTTGGCGAGCCCCAGCATGCCGGGACAATGTCACACGCTGCGTCCCGGTGTTGACAGGCCAGGAACGTAGACTTGCAGCATGCAATGTCTTTCCGGCATGCTGTAAGCAGCCCTTCCTTACAACCAGAAGCGATTCGGCGTTGATCCCGGCAGCTAGGCACTTCAAGGCTTTCGGCAGCTTCTGTCGGGTGAAGCCTGTCGCGGCTTCGCGAACGGTTTCATCTCTTTGAACGTGCCCGAAACTTCTGACTTGAGAAAGCAAGGCGAAGGCGATGAGTGCTGTGCGTGCCATGTCGGAATGTCGTCGATACTCACTCCGCAGCAGCGGAGCAGCCATTCTTCCAGCTTTCTGCTCAAAAAGCAGATGAACACCCATCTTTACTCGTGATGGGATCCCTCAGCTCTCCGAGTTTCTGTCAGCTGCACCTTCGCCTTAATCCATAGCTTCGAACTTGGATGAGGAGGATGGTGAACTCACAAAATCTGGATTGCGAAGGGGCCTTCTGCGAAGCAACAGAAGCCTTGTCGACAAAGTTTTCTGCTCAAGACTGTTCAAGTATAATCGCATCAGGTGGAACGGGATGGGAAATCGAAGCAGTAATGCAGTGCCAGCCTCAGCAATGCCTGCTGCGCACTGATCATCAGCGGGGTTCCACGCTGAATTGACCAACCTTGATCGCTTGGACAAAGGCCTCTAGCCTCTATAGGTCCTAGAAAGCCTGTCTAGGAAAGCGACGCTCTTCAGCATGCCGTTGGCCCTGGGGGTGGCGACGCCCGAAGGTTACTACAGAATTCCAACCGAGGCAGGGTGTTCCATGCACGCAGCAGAGACAGAGTAGACTTAGAGACCTTGTGCAGGTGAAGAGCCTCTTCGTGTGGTGGGTGCCAGACGACACCTTTCTGGATCTGAACCCCGTTGAGGTTCGCTTTCCCCGCTACGACAGGCTGGCAGCTTGCACTGCCGTGGCAAGCTGCGCCGGAAGTCGAGTCGTGGTGGTCGCGACGTCAATGCGACACATGCCGCTGCTCTGGGTTTGTGCGGTGGTATGCCTGCCTTTGCAGGGCAGCTTGGCTCAACGGCGATCTTCGCACCGCTCCAGAGCAGGTTGCCATCGTGCCTCGGGCTCGTCAAGCCTAACCTTACGACAGACAACACTGATGGATTACCTGCTCCTGTCTTCAATGTGATGTTCTGCGGATCCTGTAATCACCAGAAAAGCGAAATCGCCTCCAAAGTTGGATCACCAAGCCCGGGCAAAGCCATGCACGCACCTACTAGTATGAAGTTTTGCGCTGTGTTCTGTTGTGGAGTTACTGGGGCATTTTTCTGAGGAGAAGCTCGTAAGCCAGAACTTGGCAGAACTTGCACCAGCTGTCGAAGATCTTGTTCAGAAGATGAGGCCTCCGCCTCATTGTCTTGAGAATCTTTCGTTGTGCTGTGCCACAAGTTGTGCCGTGCGTGCATTTCTGTTCAGCCTGCATGGATTCTGATTCCGTTGTGCTTTCCTTCTGTAGACACCCGACTAAATCTGAGTTCCTCCAGAGGTGGAGTCCGGATGATGTCGACGTTATGCTGAGGGACATGAAAGCAAGTGGTGCGCTCGGAAAGTTGTTGATCTAGGCCGACTATGCTAGTGGCTCTGCGGGCTTTTTGAAGTCTAGTCAGTTTCTCTCCGAGGGTGAGCGATTCCCAGACTGGTTGGCATGTAGAATTGGCGGATCAGTTGTAGCCGTTCGGCAGAACAGGCAGTCTTTCCTTCTCATGATCCGGCCAATCTGTCCGATCCGTGGCCGTTTTTGCTGCAGCCGACTGCCAAGCATTCTCGCTGGTCAAAGCTTTCCAACCTCCTCCAGAGTTGCCGCCGTGTCCCTCTTCGAAACCCAATTTCGAGCTCTCAAGGAGGCTCACTGGGAGTACAATTACAACCTGTTGGTGTTGCGGATGCCCGGCTTGGAACGGACCATCGTGGACGAGGGCCAAGACCCATGCCAGATTGGTGGTGGGCAGCCCGTGCAATCGTCTTATCAGCCCTTTCCAGACTTGGTTCGTCGAGCAGATTCTCGATTATGTCGAGTATCACTGGCTTGATCAAGGTGTTGACCATGCTATCCAGCTCGGGCTAGCATGCTGCTTCGTTTGCAGGCGGCGCCTTCGACGGCATCAGGGTGATAATCATCTTTGCCGTGTCCACCAAGACCACAGGTCCTCTGAGTCCTCTGCTGTATTTCAACACTCCACGTGCCCGATGACTCCCTCATGTGATGATGACAGGGCACACACTTGGATGTGAAGGTCGTCGATGACAAAATATGAAGCTGTTCTCCAACAAGGGCATCCCCAGAAATTTGACTTTGGATGCAGTCAGCCTCTCAACGTGAGTGTCCCATTTACTTGCATCAAAATTTGTAGTTGGTGCTTTCAACGGGAGCTTGACAGGGGCACTTCACCTGCTGTGCCATTCGTGGCTGGGTGATACTCTGTGTTAGAATGTGTTAGAAGGTAGCTCACCGGAAATGTGCTAAGCACAGCTACTGGTCGACACTGCAAAAATTAAGTTGTACTTGCGGCTTTGAGAGAAGCAAGTGGCCTCGATAGTGGGCTTTGCCAAAGGTTGCACGGTCGCATCTACCGGGACTTCGTGCCCTTCGAGGGCGCTCGCAAAAGCTTCTCCTCGCCCATGACGGCATCGAGAATGTCCGCCGTCTCCTGCAGCGCCTGGTGCACTGGACATGCAGATGGATCGGATCCGGTGGCTTGTTGTCAGACTGCTCGCTAGTTCGGTGAGTATCACCGTGCAAACACCGTTGGCTGAGATTGCTCCGTCAAGTGGCTTGTTCACACAGTGACGATACCCAGTGAAAGGCTAAGGAACCGTGCGGAGTATGAAAAACTCTGTGGAAAGAATGTTGGAGCAGTTGCGCTCCCTTCGGGTGCAGGCTTACCGATGCCCGCGTGACGCAGCATCCCTTCAAGCTAGTAAGCAATGCAAGCCGAAGGCCCCTCCCCGGCAATCGGAAAGCCAAACAAGACCCGTCCGAGACGGTTGATCGGACGCCAAGGCGAAGATCCAGCTCGCACAGTCGCTTGCCGCTGGTTGGTAGCGAACTCTGAGACGTGGTCTTCTTGGCTGCTTGTCAGCAGTGTGCATGACTGCCCGTCTGGTTTGTACTGTGAATCCTGAGAAAGGATATGAAAGGATAATGAAAGGTCTTGCATGGCTCTGCGTTTCACGTTTTCTGGCCGGACTCTTGCCGCGTATCTCAGGCTTGCGGGAGAGACTGCCTGCTTCGAAGGTTTTGGATTATTCGACGGGAGCGGCTTTGCCACTTGGCAGCGGTGACCTGCAGCGCGACTGCTCCACGGATATGATCGTTTGACATGTTTTGAAATCTGTTCTGCAGGTAGCTGAGCGGGATGGTGCCGCTGAGCTCGCATGCAGGCCACATTTAGCATGTCCACTTCTTGCACGGAGCAGAGTGCGAGAAGGGCAATGGAAATCCTGTGTGCGCCGGATTTGCAGACTTTTGTCTGCAGACCTCAGCAGCATGCATGTCAGGCCTTGTGAGAGCGGGAGCTACTCTGAAGAACTTCGGGATACAAAGGGTTGGAGCCTCAATGCAGATCGCTGCGCGGCCGGTCCTCAGTTCCCTCAGTTGCAGGGAAGACGCACATCTGCCAGAAGTGTCCCGTTGGTACCATCCAACCATCAGGACTCGCCAGGGGGCCAAGGGCCAAGCACTTCTAAAGTTTTTGAGATGTGTGCATAGAGCAGTGCCCTGTCGCATGCGTGCGGCTGTCTCAACGGAACCCCATGCCAGCATGTTCTTCATGCGAGACCGGCTAGAGGCCAATCATGTAGCGGGCATACCCGTAGAACCCCAGCGCGAGCTTTGTTGGTCAGTCAGTTTGGTCGGGACACGGTTGGTCATCACATGTCAAGACCCCTGTCCACTTTCAGGACAGCTCTCTCCTGACATACCAGTCGTCTTTGCAATCTTCCGTTCCGGAAGACAGCTGTCCTTGGTGACTGCAAGTCGCCGTAATTCAAAGGGATTGGAAGCGAGAGACACCGAGCAAAGCTCTTGCAAGCAAGTGGCAGAGCAGAGATGCAATCGGCCAGCAGAGGATGAGGGGGCTTTGAAGCTTGGAGAAACTTCTGGAAACATTAGTTCAGAACTGATTTAGCAAGCGACAAAGCATCTGAGCACGCATTCAAGGCAGGAGCAGTCGAAATCGAAAGGTGGTCGGGACAAAGGCACTTAACTTACCGTCGTGGAGACGTTGGTTCTCTGGTGCTTTCTGGTGCTAGGGGGGGCAACCGACCCTTTCGGCACCCAGATTTCATGAACCCCGACCCATCTTCACAGCCTTGTAGTAGTGGGAGCATGGCCACAAGTCAGGATCATCGCACCGGCCGTTTTTGTACAGCAGACACCAGCAGAGGACGAGTTCCTTTGTCAACGGTACAGCTGCTTCAGCGGCCGGCCACAATCAAACTTGATGGCATTCGGGATCGGAGCTAGTGAGAAAGTCTCATACTTACTTAGCCTGAGTACTTAGGACTCCCAGGACTTTTCGGAGTTAGTTTGGCTTGGATGCCGGCCGATGCCTCCTCAAGAATCGCGGCAAACCGCTCAGCGCGATTGCATGACGTCCTGGGCCCGCAGCGTCTCTTGGGCTTAGTGCACTCCGAAACATAAAATGTCACAGAGTCGTGACGAAGCACGTTAACTGTTGCCGCTTCAAAAGTATGTGCATTCTGGCAGGAGCTGCTGCAGGGTGCGACCTATGTAACGAAGGGGAGTATCAGGACGAGGAGAGCAAAATCACTTGCTCAGCTACCGGTGTCTATGGCGTATTGGAGTTTACCACTCAACGCAGTGTCGAGCCGCATGCGAGCGACCTCAACGACGGAAGGAAGGCGCTGTGAACTGCAAGCGCTGCCCACTTGGACGCTTCCAAGATCAGAAGGTGCCGTTGCGGATTGTTGCACGCTAATTGCTGTACGTGTGATGCGGCGTGCGTCGCAGGAGCGTTCCCGCACATGCTGATGATGTGTCATTGTGTCATTGAGGGACCCACTATTGACCCTGAATGTGAAATTGATCCTGACTGGCCTTGCCAGGGCAAGTCTGGTTGCAAACTCTGCAGCAACGGCACGACTACGCTGGGACTGGGTTCTTTGTCAGAGAAGGCCGCCCTGGATTGGGCTTTGGAACTCATGAACCTGTGCAGTTGCAGCCCCAAGCAGTAGCGTCGCAAACGCAAGTTCTGAATTTTTCGTGGAATGACGCAGTTCATGGCCTTAAACTCCTGCATTGGTAGACAGCTCCCATGAAAACGCCGAGATCCGTGGGAGTGTTCTTTTGCTTGCAGATCACCGAAGGACTGTGGCTGTCTCCCTGGGACTATCAGTGAGGTGTACAACGTTTCCTGCCAGCCTTGCCCAGAAGGCCTTCGCTACTGTGGTGCATGTTTGTTTGTGCATCAGGTCTGTATGCGACTTACCTTGCACGGGCATTAGCACTCTCATCGTGATTGCCTTGCGATCAGCCAACTGGCTCACACAGTGCGCAGGTTTGAGCTGTCCAGTTTTGTCGACTCTGTCGAGCATCTGGACTGCAAGCGCACAGAATGGCAAAAGCAAATCTGCCATGAGAATCGTAGTACTGCTGATAGCAACTACTTCCAGTGAAAATCGTCTCAATAGGAATAGTTCGAGCAGAAAGAAAACCAACAGACGGAGAGTTGGAGATGATTTTCATGGTGATTTAGCAGCAACAGGGCTGTATTTTTTCTCAAACGCTGAGGCTTGCTGAACGGTTCCGCCATTGCCCATGAGCTCTCTCCACGAGTTCGTGCAGGCTGGGGTCTTCTCAGGCTGCGCCTCTGCTCGGACCCATGCGACTCCTCCAGGCTACTTCAGCACTGTGGAGGAACCTCTTGAGCTCTTCAAGTGCATCCCATCAACGCACTGCCCAGGGGGTCCTCCAAACACATGCCTAGGAGGCATGAGGGAGAAGAGTTGGAACTTGATGTGAAGTAGGGATGTATGACTGAGTTCAGGTCTATCAGCTTTGCCCTGCGCTGCGTGCCTTGAGTTGACATGGAGATTTGCACGACATGCCTTAGAGCATTGTCATAGAACTCAGGTGTGGGGAGAGAGAGTACTTCGACGGACAGGCACAGCTTGTCAAAAAGAAACTTCAGACTTTTGCGCGTCTTTCTGCGTCACCCAGATGTTATGGATAATCTTGTGTTGGTTCAGTTTTTCAGGTTTGGAGTACTGCAATGAGGCAATGAAAGTGAGCCAACGGTTTCTGTGGATAATGTTGATATATGTCTGCAACGCTCTTCCATGTTCCCCTATCAAGGGAAGTGAGTGCTGCGGGTCGCGCAGACTGGCGTGCATACGGAAACACAACCAGTTTCGTACCTCCAAAATCTTGAGCACCTGGGAAGGAACGCGGCGCGAAGAGATCCGATGTTTCGCGCAGATGCTCGCAATGTCTCCTACTCATACCCTCCGACTGAAATGATGCTTCTGCAAGCCCAAACAACAGTGTCTCTGCTAGAGGGGGTTCTTGGAGCCCAGGTCAGGTGAGTTGATTTGCTATCATTCGCTTGTGTCTCTTCTAGTGGTTGGGATCCACAGTCTCGAACAAGAGGGCCGCCGCGTGTCTGAATACTGAAAACCGAGGAATCGCGGATCTTCAGAATCTGAAGCAAAAGCTCAGCAACCGGCAAAACTAAGGGTTGACGGTCGAAGCATCTGCATCTTGTCATTGTTACTACCATTACAGTCTCTGCTTCATATTAGTGCTGCACGCATTCGTTCTGTCTGGGGACTTTGGGATAGTGGGTTATGGAAGGTGAGAAGCCCAGCCTAGAGAGCGAACCCCATCCCTTAACCCCAAGTGGAAGCCCTCTAAACTCTGAACCTTTAAAGCCGAGAAGCTCCGACAAACGGGCCCAACCCCGCACCTTAAACTGCAAACCGAAAACCATGCGGAATGCTCGTAGACGGAATCCAGCACCAAAACCCGTTGTCCCACCCCTGCCGGGGCTGCCGCTGGAAAAAGATGGATTTCGCTCGAGACTGTTGCATCGAAACAAGCAAAAAAGCACAAGCGATACCCGAGAGAAATACACAGGTGACACCAGAGAAAAGAAACAAGTCGACACCAAAATTGAAGACACAGGTGATCCTAAACTTGCGACGTTACGGCCAGGCAATCGTTAGGATGGTGTGCAGATATTACTTTTCCCGAATGCGTAGCAGAAGGGTTCTCGTTTGAAAATTTGTGGTTCCAGAGGTCGAGGAGTGGACAAGATGCCGCGCGGTTGAGTTATCGAAGCATTCGCGAGGCGTCCGCGAAGCATGTGCGAAGCCGTGTCACGTGCCCACTGGAGCTCTCGGACAAGCCGCTGGGGGCGGTGACGGGGAGCAGCTCGGGACTTCGGGGAAAGCTGTTTGGGAGTTTGGGACGCATCGCGGGTCCTGTCCGGGAGTGGCGTGCGCGGGGTGATCTGGCGGTGTCCGCGTGGGTCCGCGGGAGCTTTGGGGAAAGCCGTTTCAGCACGGTTCCAGTGGAGTCACTTCTCCCCTTCTAAAGTCTCTATAGTCAATAGAGTCACTGAAGCAAGCCTTGATGAATAATTGAAAAGTATGCAGATCCTAGGAGATCCACCGTGCAACACCAAAATCTGTTTGACTTAAACCACTTTGAAGTCGTTTGTTGGGGGTCCAAGATCAGTTGGAAATCGCTTTTGCAGGCTCCAGATCACTTGGAATTTACTTTTTCGGAACCCTTTGATATCGCTGTTTTCGGGCCGCAAATCACTTGTCCAATCACTTCTGTGAGCTTTGTCGGCTATCCAATCACTTTTCGCGAATTTCCCAAATCACTTTTCAAATCGCTTTTCCCCGGTGCAGGAAATCCATATCACTTTGTCAAATCACTTCAGAATCACTTACTTTTCGAAACCTGACGGGACCCACAAACCCGAGTGCAGACCCGTGCCACGTCGGTCACGTGTGTCTATGGACCAACTGGAGAAGACGGAAGGCGACAGGGCAAAATTCAGTGCCTTGCACTAGCAGTTAGACGCCATCGTCGCGCCGCGACACCTCCCATCCGACCACTCTGACTGCACTTTTTCGCACGGTCAACGATCACTTTTTCAGTTTTCCAAATCACTTTTCAGGACACGTGAAATCAGGTTTTCCGGGACGAGGGTTTCTGCAATCGCTTTTTCCCTTCACTTGAAAGAAGTTTGACACCGCGAAATACGATTTAGCGATTTCCGGTTGCCTGGCCCCATAATGGCAATCCTAAACCCACGTGGACCTTTCTGGCCATGCGACTTGGTGCTACAGTCATAGCTTTACGGCAGCATTCCGGAACCAGGTATGCTCTAAGGGTGACCGGGTTCCACGCGCAGCAATTCATCGGGTTGAAGAACAAGAGCTTCAATCGTCTTAAGTCTGCCTGCCACAGGCGTGCGTGGTCTGCATTTCTTCTCGGCAGGTGCGTGGATTCGCATGAAGTTGTTTTCAGTGTTGTTGGAGGCAAGAAAGACAAAGGTCGAGCCAACATCAGCCATGCTGAGAACTCTGCATGCATCGGTGGCACGCTCCGAGAATATCTCAAACTTGCAGGAACTCTTTGTCTTGGGCTGTGTGGCGGGCCTCGCCGGGTTGGGCCGGCACGGATTGAGAGAAGCGGGTTCCGCGGGAAGCATGTTGTTTTGCTGTGACAGCGGTCCATCCATGCATCGCACGCACTTCGCTCTGCACAGGCTGGTTCTGGCATACTACGTTTTCAACTCGCCTATGACAGCAAAGGCGTTCTGGATCCCAGCTGTGGTTTCTGTTACAGTCTTCCGTTTTGTGGCACGAGAAGCTGGACTCTCGACATAGCACCTGCTGAGGGCTTGCTGGTGAGTGCGGCTCGGGTAAGTTGGCCTGAGTGGCATGCTTCAGAAAGCTGCTAGGAACCCAAAACGAGGACGACGCGCACGTGAATGCCCGCATGTACAGCCCCGTCATATTCTCCACCATAATTTTGAAAGGAGCGCGACTCCAACCACATCCTAAAGGACATTCGCCCCGCTCCACTTCCTTGACATTAAGCAGTCACCGTAATTCCACTTGCAAAAACCCGCTACGCCGCTAGGGTCCCCGAGCAAGTGTGCAAGGGGGCGTGCCATGCCCAGGTCCACGATGCTTACTACCACCACAGCTTTGGGTATGATGGTGATGATGCTACAGAAAGTCGGTCCCAGACCCGGAGACCGGAGGGAAGACACAGAAGTCTTCATCTGTGCAAGAAGCTCCTTCAGGGATTTCTTAGAGGCCGATACCTTGTTGAAGTTTAGCACCTTGAGCTCGTGTGGATTGGGAGATGGGAGATCAACCCTTACTTTTTTGGCCTTTGCTGTTTTTTATTGTTTTTTGTCGTGTGTGTACGCGTTGATTGGAAGCTAAGAGTGTTGGCAAGACATGTGCTTTGTGCAGTTGCCGAAACGGAAGCAGGGGGCTCTGGGAGCCTAACTGGGACCAGAGCCAACGAAACCCTGTCAGGTTGCAAAAACCAAGGTTACAATGCTTTAGTAATTTCATCGTCTTCAAGATCTTCCCCAGAAAGTGCGGGTGGTGTACTCCGTGTGCGGCCTTGTCGCCACCGGCAACACTCGCTCATGCGAATAGCGAGGGCACGTTGTGCGGCCCATTATGGTACCACAACAAGTCGTACTCCTTCGGGACAGACTACTGGAGAGCGTGCCGCGCTTGATGGTGGCCAGCTTATTCAGGTGATAGGCCCAACCGATCCTACGGGGCCAACAGTGGAATGGTGCCCCGATGTTGCCAGGAGATGGGCTTTTGTGACCAAAGGTCACCGGTGACTCGAGCAGTCGTGTGGTGCTCATGAAGGAGCGTGATGTTGAGCGTTGATCACTGTCAGCTCAGGGTTTCTAGCAGCATCTACGGCGTCCGCAGTTGGAATGCTTCCAATTACATCAGAATGGGAGGCGCTTTCCGTTTACAGAACCCATCACACCACTGTCATTGGCCACGTTGGATGCAGTACATTTCGTTCAGATTGCTCCGGATTACGGGGATTCTGAGAATGTGCACAACGAACCGAACAGGTGGGTGACCTCACTTATGGTGAACATGTGCAGGTCATGCAAAGGACTTTGGCTGTGCAAACTTCATGTTTCTCTCTCTCTCTCTCTCTCTTTCTCTTTGCAGTGCACGTTGTGAACTGTCCAGCGTGCATGCGGATTCAGAGTTGGTTGACAGCTCAGATCTGCTTCGCAGCCCCGGTTTTGAGTGCAGCCCAGAGTCTGTGTACATCGACGACATTTCCGAGGAGATCTTGCCAACAAGTTCATCTGAAGGACGTCAGCCGGATTCTGCAGAACCGTCCGGTGCATCGAGCAAGGAGCCATGTCTGTCTGTCATGTTCAGTGAACATAAACCCACAAGAGACGTTACAAGAGGTTGGGGCTAAGCCTGAAACATCAACCAAGAGGCCTCGCCTTCGGGTGATGCGTGAAGATTCGGATGGAGTTCGAATCAAAATCATCCCATGTGTGAAGGAACAATTCCGACAGCGCATAGCCGCCACCAAGGTGTTGGAGGGCGATTTTTGTGTGCCCAACATGGCGAAGCTTATGCTGAACTTTCTGCAGAAGCTTGGTGACCGAGTGGTCAAAGAGACATCATGTGCAAAAAAAAGCTTCTCAAGCACCCTTAATAATCTTGTACAGCATGCGATACGAGGGGTGTGTGTGTGTGCACACCCCCAAGGGTCTTGGCAAGACATGTGCTGTGTGCAGTTGTTGAAACGGAAGCAGGGGACTCTGGGAGCCTAACTGGGACCAGAGCCAACGAAAACGCCGAGTTCGTGCTTGTGAAGCAAGGATTGGCGCATCCTTGTGCACCTGCTTTTTCATTGAATGGCATCAGGCTAAGCCGAGAACCTGCCCGTTTTCGTGAAGCTGCTTCGCTTGAGAGTGTGAGCCCTGTCAGGTTGCAGAACCAAGGTTGCAATGCTTGAGTCATTTCATCATGTTCAAGATCTCCCCAGACGTGTGAGTGGTGTGAAACTATACTTTGTGTGTGTGTGTGTGTGTGTGTGTGTGCTTGTGCATGCGTGCCTTGTGCACGCGCCATTTGTGAGCGAGCTGAGCTGTTAGAATGAAACCCCATTGTAGTTGTAGGATTCACGCGTACATCGCGATGAGAGCAGAGGTGTCATCGGCAACATGACTGTGGACTTCCCGTTCGAAGTACAGGACCCTTGGCCGGCATTCAACAGCATGCTCAAGAGTGCTGGCAAGGCGTGCCGACTGGTCCCACTTGCTAAGGAGATCTTTCAGTCAATGCAAATCTTTATTTTGGACATGGAAGCTTTGGGCGCCATCCTCATGTGCTTGTGTGCACGGTTTTACAAACAGGGCGAGTGCTGTGTCTGCGAGGCTACCCGTGCGTGGCCAGCAGCGATGCTGTTCGGCGGTACCTATCCACAGTGATGCTTTTCCCTGCGGTCATAGTGGGCATCCTGTTTTGTGCAGCTCCCAGCCTCGAGACTTCAAAACGGCCTTGCGCTCCTCACATCGCAAAGGTCTCGCAATTTCAAAGCTGCTGCCCAAAAAGTGGCGCTGGGCGACCTCCAAGACTTTAAACCTCATGGGGCAATTCTTGCAAATGGGCGGCTGGGCTTCAAACTTCACTTCTCGGCAGGCCTCTGTTGGTGGATCTCTGTATAAGGTTACACAACCATGAGCGTGACCGCAATGGTGCCTATGACCTGCTACAGAGAGGGCCTCAGTTGCCTGTCGAATGGAGCGGCTGGGCAAAAGGAACGGCCATTTAAAGCGCTCTGACGGACCAGTGCGGCAGACAAGCAGTCGGAGATGGGAATCTCCGCAGCCCTACCAGCGCTTGTTCATATGCCGAGGTCATCCAAACGGCCTTCACAGCTTGCTGAAGTTCCCGGAAGTGCGTCTCGGCTGGACCAACTGACCCAGGCTTCAAGCCCGGAGGATGGCATCGCCCTCCAGTTTGCTCTTGCTGTCAAAGGTTCTGTGGGACAGAAGAGCACTCTGTGATGCTTGCGGCTGGTCGCGATTGAGAGCTGCACTTGCGTTGGTTGTTCCTCTAAGAAGAGTGGCTGATGGGGGGGTTCGCTGATACCAAGGCCGGCGGTTTGGCATTGCTGGCTTTCGGTGTTCTGGGCTTTCTTTGCCTCTGCGTGTGGGCAGCTTACCAGGCCTGGACTTTCCGTGAGAGCCGAGGCAGCCGAGGTATGGAGATGTCTGAGACTTCACAAAGAGAGAGAGCAGACGCGGCGACGCGCTTTTCAGAGGTGCCGCTTTGGAGCTCCCAAGGCCTCTCCGACAGAGTACCTCAGTAGCAGGCAGCAGATGGACCGGTGAGCCGTGAGCACACAAAGAGCGACGTTGCCCCTGCTGCCGAGGTCAGCTCCTTTCGGTTTTTGCTTGCACGATTCCGCTTGGATGGCTGGTGGTATGGGGTGCCACTGCTTGTCCGCGGCTCCTTGCTGAACCTGCCGGTGGTACTTGCGACAGACTACCCTCCCATTCAGTTGCCTGGACAGTTCAGCAGGGCTGCTTAGCTTGGTTTCATGCTCGATGGCATGAACCGAGGATCGTGTCAATGTCCGTGATCTTAGTGTTCTTCATGGCTGCGCAAGCCCTGGTTTGGCCGTGGAAGCCGCCTTTGATCAACGCCTTAGACTGCTCCCTGCCACAAGTGGCTGGACAACCCTTTGAAAGGACATTCTGATGGATCTTGCTGCATCCTTAGCTGATCAAGCCATTACCTAGGTTGGATTTCCGCCTGTGTCATCCTTCTTGTGGTCTCTGCGGCAATGTGTCTCCCAGATCTCACAGGCACATGACATATTCCGCGATGCAACACTGAGTCAGCGCCACGACAACTTGTAGCGGGTAGGTGGAATGTTGATGACCCATGACCACGTCATGCGGTCTCCTGTTGCATCCCTGTTTCAGATGACATGCTTGGATTCCGTAACAGCTTCACTGTTGTGGTCATCGTGCTGCTCTTTGGTTCCGTGCTGCTGGCGCTGGGCTCCATCGGCCTGGGCCCTGAGAGCCGTGGGCCCTGGGCCTGACTCCTGGGGGGGTCTCGGGCGAGCCGAGCTCCGAGGCTTCTCCTTGCTGCTCCGGGCGCTGGGCTTTCAGGCCGCAAACCTGGCAAAACATGCCCGCCATTGCCAGCCCACCAACCGCTCCTCACCGCTCCTCTGCTCTGCGAGGAGGAGCTGATGATCGTCACCCTCGGGCCGATTCCCAAGGCCGAACGCGTGACCCAGCTGCAGATGGCACAAAGTGGAAGCCCGAAGCTCCCGAAACCCAGGTATCTTCAGCCCTGCGGAGTCCCAGCCTTGGGCAGAATGCAACGAAGCTCAAGGCATGCAAGCTTACGGAGCGTAAACCCTGGAACAAAGACTCCCGTTCTCGAGGTCTGAGCATGGAGCTGTCCGAGGCATGGGAGAGCAAGGTGTAGACTCAGAGCAGGATTTTGCTTGCTGCTGACCGCTACTCCGCTACTGTTTTAGTGGCTGTAGTGGCCGGACTCGGACCGACCGCGGCGTGCACAGGCAGATGCTGATGTCATCGAGACTCGAGCAGCTCGGACTCGGCAATGCGACTGAAGTTGAGTTGAACGAAGCTGAGCAGAAACGCTGAGCTCGGAACTGCGTAAGGTCAAAGAGCTGGCTGTGTATGATGTGACACACATCTCGCGCTGCATCACGCTCTTGGCCAAGGAGGTCGCACTGTTGCAGAGTTCCACCAGCAACATCAAGTGAGATAGTATGGGGTCATTTCAGGTTCTTCATGATGACGATCCCGACTTTGACTTCACGCGCCGGGTAAGTTCTCAAGCTGCAGTTTTGCAAACAAGTAGACAGTTTTGCCGTCAATCTCGCAAGGCTCCATCCACAGCTGTTCCCATGCCTTGTAGATGCATTTGACTACCACTGTTCGCCGGTAGATATCACATGTTGAGACACAAAGCCATGAATCAATAAGATTGCACTTCAGCCGGCTCGCCGAGGTGCGAAGTCTTTCACTCGAATGTCGCGCTGGAGTCGGAAGAAAGTTGTGCAAGGCCTGCTAGCATCGGACCCGGAAAAAACCTAGCCCTCAAAGCTAGATATCATGCACCGGTTCAGCTGCTTCAAATTTCCGGATCTTTGGCCCCACCCTCCAAACCACGCCCCAGCCCTCCATCCTCATCGTCGTCATCATCATCATCGCCATCACCAGCACAAACACCAGCACCGGCACCGGCACTGGCAGCCGCATCAGCAGCAGCAGCAGTAGCAACAGCAGCAGCGACGTCGTCTTCGTCATCATCGTCATTGTTGTCATCGTCATCCTGAATCCTGATCACCATGATCATCCGTCATCGTCATCATCATCATCATCAGCATCATCATCATCATCATACCAATCAGTGCTGCTTCCGAATGTTCGCCTTGCGTGCCCGTCAGTTTGTGCTGAGAAAATGGTGCTGTTGGATCCCTTTTGGCTTGCTTTGAGTGTCTGGCTATCTGGTTGTCGTCCTTGACAGTAAATGAAGTCTGTGGGGTTAGCTTTGATTGCTGGACGTGACTGAGTCTGAAGATGAAGCTTTGGCGTAGAGCACTGGTTGAGGTAACCAGAACTTCGCCGCCATTGCTCCAACCGCTGAAGCAAAGGAGCAAGAAGGCGAGCCAGGCTCAAGTTCAAGCGTCTGTCCGCGAGGCTTGCTTCTTTCTTGTGTTGCTGCTAGTATTCGTTTCCGCGAATTGCTCTCGTACCGGACCACGTTCCGGCACCGAGCACAAGGTGCGAGCTGCGCGGATACCGAAGTCGAAAGCATTGTCAGTCTGATTCTTGGCTGTCGAGTCGTCGAATCGACCATGGTCAAACGACTTCGAGATGTGAGGGCCATAGCCCTGCGCTTCAGAGGTCCTTTTGACATGGAGATGACCCACGAGCCGCCTTTGGGCCTGATCGAGTCAGGCGACGACTGTGGCCCTGTCTCAGGCGATCGGGAAGTGGAGTTTTGGGCCATGGGGGTCCAGTGGATCGTGGAAATGCGGTCTGCTCGCCGGCTCATCCCTCGCCAGGTGGAACTGGCACTCGGCTGAGTCTGTAGCAGTTGGTCGTCTTGGCCTTCGCTTCATGACGTGTGCGCGCACGAAATCCAGCTTTTCAGAGGCACAGGATTGGAACGTGTACATGCTACCCGCAATGGATCAGAGAGGATCGATGCAGGCTGCAGTCAAACGACCAAGCATCTCAGCACAGCTTCAAGGCGCCAACGTTTGCATCGATCGACTCGTGCATGGATTCCAGCAGTGGCGAAAGGGCCGCTTTGAAATTCGGAATTTATCGCAGGATCCTCAGGCCCTGTCAGGTATCAAAGCGCAGCAGATGCAAGCTAGGCATGCCAGGCAATCCGCATATGACGGCCTGTACACTAGGTGGCGGAGCTTGCCAAAGGCACAGCTTCCGCTACAGGCGCAGCCCCTTGCGGCGATGTGCAAAACGCCGTCATTGAGGTTTGCAGGAAACTTCTGGTAGAAAGCAGAGGGAGCAGCACTGAGGGAGCCTGTCCAATCTTTTGCCGCGCCAAGCTGATGTGGCAGGTTACCAAGCCGATCGCAAATTAACGAGAAGGTGCTCGTTTGCTGGGATCCAAAAGCCCAGAACCCGATGCATGGCCTGATAGCTTGTCTCCATGTCTTGCCTTCTGCAATGTCGACCACCTGGGGAGCAGGATGAGGCTTGCGAGGCAGGTTGTCGAACTTTGCGCACGTGCCCGCCTTTGTTTTAGCTGTGCAGAGGGACTCCAAGCGCAGGATCTCAGCTCTGACGCCCTCAAGGAGATGATTCGTGAGCACCACGCACTGGTGATGCGGACACTGCAAAAGCAACAGGCCCCGTTGATCTGATGGCCACTTTCTTGCTGATCCGAGTGGTGCTTCAGCTGTAGCCATAATTACATCTTGAATCTATACCAGGCTGCCCTGGACGCCTTGCGTGGCTGGTGGCGTGCTGGTGGCCCGAGCACGCTGTTGTTGAATGCCCTGTGTCAGTCGAGTCAAAAGGATATGTCCAGATCGCACAGCTCGGTCCATCAGTGCACACGCCATCGTGTAGCATGTTCTCCAGTGCTGCACGGAGCTGTCTCGCACTTCTCGTTGGATGTTACTTCGTCTGTTCGTGGGAGTCAGACGGAGGGCTTCAGGACATGAACGGTTTGCTCGATTGCATCACGGGGTCGTTTGAAGTGAAGTGTTGCAGGGGGCATCTGCCTAAACACCAAGGAGATCATGTCTGTGATCGTTTGTGATTCTGTTTCCCTGTGGCATGGCCAGACGAGCCTGATGATGGCGATGGATATCATCATGGCACGAAAGGACAGCCCAGAGCAGTTTTGTAGGACGCTCAGCAAGGGTCGCTCGGAGTTTGATTGCATCACAGGAGCACAGGGCGAGATATCGATCACTCCCAGGGTCGAGGCGTCCAAGCAGAAGTCTCTACATGTCTTCCTATCTTTTTTTGTGGCTCTGCTTCAAGGCGCACGATCCTTTGGCAGAGGCAGCTGCTGCGCAAGTCAGCTTGGAAGAGCTCGATCGACTGCAGGACGGAGACCGGCTTGAAACCGCTTAGACGTCGAATTCCCTTTGCTATCGAACAGTATACGGGAGTTGGAAATCAGAAGCAGCTTGGCCGGCCTGGCTTCCTAACTTCACGCTTTATGACATGCACCTGCAGGACTTGGTCCAGGGTACAGCGGTCGAACTTCAAGTGCGTGAGCCGCCTCTTGCGACTGCCTATGAGGAGGCGGACTTCAAGCATGGATGTAGTGCTTGGAAGAAGTTTCTTCTGGTGAAAGGGCACCTGCCAGCTCTTACCCATCCACTCGCAAGCTCCTCTGTAGGGTGTGCAGGTTGAAACATGTATCACCCCAAAGTACAGGCAAATGAGCAAGTTCCGGCCATCTCATCCCACAATGTAATACCTGGCTGCACGTAGCCACGGGAAGACTACGGAGCTTGTGCTGTACTGTACTTGCTCGTCTTGTCCTTGCAGCAATCACTGAAGAGTGTCAGACAAGCGCCAGATGCCAGATTCAGAACCCAACCGCTGCAGTGACAGACCGAGCGCCCCCGCCTCCCTCACCCCCCACCCACCCGGCCAGAAACTTCGAGAACAGCTCACCCACGGAAGGCTACCAAAGCTCGTTCTGAGCAGTTTTCGAGAAGCTTTCGTCTTTACTGCAGGGCTTGGCGATGCCTGGCCACCACAAATTCTGGACCAGTGCTGAAAACGACCGCATGTAGGCAGACTGACATCGCTCGCGACACCAGCAGTACTCTCGCTGATATTTCAAAGACTCAGAGAGTTCAGGATGGCTTTCGTGCCAAGTCCAGGTCTAGTAGGAGCTCTGGGAGCCTAGCCATAGGAAGTGCTAGAAAAGGTTAGAGCTGAGGGACTGAGGGAAGCTAGGATTCTCAGGCTTCGGTGGCAACAGCCTTTTACGTCGGAGCTGCTGTGGGCTGAGCATGCTTTGCACTATCTAAATAAAGCCGACATGCTGGAAGGCGTCATTGCGCAAGTCGCGAATCGCTTCGCGAATTCAGGCCGCGTCCACACGACGTATGTGCTAGATTCTGCTTTCAGCCGTGGGTACCTTGCTCGGCTTCGGAGGCTCGTGTTCACAAGACGAGGATCCTGAAGCAGTTGACGACTATGCAGAAACTGCACAGCTTCGTTGAGGAGGGTCCCCTGGAGCTGCTCTCAGTCGACCAACCAAGCCATGAAGCCAGAATGAAGCCATGAAGCCATGGCATGCCATGGCTCGGACTCTCAAAAAACTGAACCGAGGCGCCGAAGCCGTAGAATCGTGTAGTGCGTCGGTCGAAGGTCCCAGTCGCTGTCAGGTTAATTCGACGTGGCTACGTGAAGTCGTGTTGAGGGACCAGGCACAAAAAAATTAGTTTCTCCGGGTTGAATTCGACATCCGAGGATCTTCTGGCTGGTTTTATAATCTTGATCAATGCTGCCGTGCCTTGGAACAGAGGGAGGGTTGGCTGCTGGCCTTCCTGCGAGACGGAGCGAAACAGGAGTGTAAGACAACACCCCCCGATCTCATGCTTGCAGAAGAGCTCCAGTACTTGAGGTGCTGATTGTGGAGCAGCAGCTCAAGGGGTCGATTGCCAGTGGGGCACTGGATATGGAAGCTGTGTCGGGGTCCTTCATGATCAGTCACAAAGAATCTGACGCCCCTTGGCAGTCGAAGGAGTCGAAAGGTCTGTCAGGCAGAGTCAGAGCATGTGGTGAGATCTTGATTTACACGACGACATCCGGTTGTGTTTTATCATTCGATGCTGCTTGTATCGTGACTTGCTGAGAGCGCACCCACCTTAGCAATCAGACGTGGTGCCCAGGCGTTTGAAATCGCTGAGTACTGTTTCCTTTTCTTCTATCTTTGCGAGATGGCGATCAGAATCGGGGTCCTGCGAAAGCGATGGTACTACACGGAAGAAGAGGGCTACATGTGGGGCCGCGAAGCTGCACCTTAACATGGTCGACTAGTCGATTAGCGACAGCTGCCCAGACTGAGGAAACTTCTTTGCTGCTCGGCTACGGCTATTTGCTATAAGCAATGACTGGCATCTTCCTTTCTTAGCCTGACGTTGCAGAGGACATTATGTTGGTCGGATTTGGAGTGGTGGACGCAGTGCTGCTAGCAGGCTTCCGAGGACCCCGACACTGCCTGACATCTTAGAGTCATTGAACCCTAGCCCTAGAACGAATACGGCAACTTGATAGATCTGTCATAGCTAAATCCTGCCAAGACGTTTGTGTCACGAGTTTCGGAGCCGCTTGCTGTGCTTCTACGTTCTGCGATCTAAGAGCTGCATGCGAGGAGAAAACTACGCAAGCACACAACTTGTCCGGCTCCTGAGGGTCACAAAAGTTGTTGGATGCTTAGCGCAGACTTGTCCGCCTCCCCAAGCTAAACCGGAAGTTTTGGCCAATGCAGCGAGGTAAAGACGATGCGATTGGTCCGGGTCTCTTGGCTGCACTGACAAGTCGCATTATGGAATCCTTCCAGGTTCCAAAAGCTGGAGGCTGACACAGGTCAGACAACGGCATACTAGCCTGGTAACGGCATAGGAAGGAGTGTCTGGCACCCGTAGTAACAATACTATCACTTACCCAGTAGTAACCTTGTACATCCAGAAGAAAGAAACAAGGCGTTACGAGTTAGAAGCAGCCATGTGAGGCCCGGGATCTTGTACGCTGAGATGGAGCTGCAAGGTGTAATGTGTGGAATGTGGAAGAGATAGTGCTGAGCCCTTTATCAGACGATCTCATTGCAATGTGCGATAGAAGAACTATACTATAGTATAGCTGGGTCCTGACTCGTGACCGGCAAGTTGATGAGCGCGTCATGTATGATTCAAGGTCATGCACTTGTTCAGTCAGCTGAGAAGCCTCTTGGCACATCTTGGCAAAGACCAGAGGGGGACAGACAGGATCGGCCACCTGCACACAACTTGGCTTCCTTGCACATGTTGTGCGGACTGAATGCCGAGGGATGTGCAAAGACAGCCCTTGACACCACCTGTATACAGATTTTGCCATTCACATGGGGTTCTTTCTGCTCATGTTGACGTGCTCCTCGCATTTCATGGCATGCACCTCCCTGCCAAAGTTATATTCGCGAACCAAGCCCGTCGCGTGCGAACACATTTGAAGGACTTAGCCGAACGGAAGTGGCTTTGCCTTGGCTTCCTTCGGACATCGCAGCATGTCCCCGGAAAGGGAAGCCAGGATGATAGTCTTCAGTCGGGAATACAGGCAGAGCCTGGCTTTTTCAGCGAGGTTTGCATCTTGCGACGAAGGTGTGAAAAAGAAATGCTACTGGCTAACTGTGCGTGCAAAAAACAGATCCTTTTTGCAATGCTGTCGAAAATCCTTCAAAACGTACGAGTCGTTTCTGTGGCGCAGTTTTGGAGCAGTTGTTGCGCATTCTTATTTCGGAATCTGGGCGCAGGCTTGCTATGATTTCTGGATGGTATGTTTGGTTATTGAATGTTGGTGAATAGAGCTGCGACTGCCGAGAGCCGCCTTGAGAGT